TATCGGTTGAGTTTTGTCACTGTATAGACATCTCCATTCCTTGCGCAAAAAAGGTGTTTAAATGTCAAAGACAAGAAAAATCAGCCAGCCAGGATCTTGCAAGAGACAGAATGCAGCTATAGGCAAACTGAACCAAGATCAGCTAGGAACTATCTACTTTTGCTGGAATTATTATTAGCTTAATCCGTTTGGCTGGAGAATGGTCAGCAAACCCAAAGTATTTTACAAATATAAGTTATTTAGTTTTTTTTCTTCAGTTTGCTTTTAACAATGCAAGGGAAATCGTAACCTGGTTTTCTATCCAAATGGACTACGTACACAGCAATTACAAATAAAATGTCTTCAGATCTGCAAGGTCTGTTGGCTCGTTTAAAAATGTGAGTCATACAATATAAGTACGCATCTGAATAAACTATAAATATTGAGACGTACGTCTGATGTTTTAATTTTCTTCTTCAGAAATCATACTGTTTTATTGACAGGGGTTAAGTACTTCAAAGTTTTCCAATGTAAAAAGAACGAGCTATTTGACCATAAAATCACTGATTACCGTCTTAACAGTGAGGAGAACTACTACTCTAAATGGAAATATTGAAAAAAGAAACTAGTTCAATCATTTACGTTGGCATGCACATGGCACAAAAGCACTAATTTACAACTTTTTTCAGTTACATTTTCTATTTGTTTTTAACACAAAGATTGCATAGAACCACGTTCAGAGTGTTTCAAAACAAGCTTTTTTCCCAAGAATTGGTAAATGAAGGCCATCTGAACTGTATCACTTAGTTGGAAATTCCCATCTTGGGCCAAATGTTTCAAACATGCACCAGACAAATATTACCAAAATAACTGTAAAATAATACAAACTGAGGTGCATTGTCCCTTCTTATCAGCAAGATTAAAATAATAGGAGAAGGTTACCCTTAACCCTAACCCAGTGACAGAGGTAGCATGGGCAAGTAATGGGGATACTTGACTTGATACCCCAAAGTCAGGTTCAAGTCCTGCTGTCACCACTAGCTGGAGTTATTTCATGACCAATCAAGATTAACTCCTAAGCCAAGGCTGTAATAAGCCAGCTGGGCTACCTCTTGTCAGCTGTAATTTTTACACCTGTACACTCATAAAAATTTGAGACTTTTAAGAGCTACAAATGATCTCTCTCTATGGCTATTGTACTGCAAAGATGTCACTCACAGAATCAATAATACAGAAATTCTAAGTGACCAATAACATTGATACTGATTAAATATTTTTAACCAATATATGGTAAGTCATAATGTGAATTTCAGCTGCCTCCTCCACTTACTAAGTTACTTGGGGAGAGAGGAGCCAGCTCCCTTCCCAAGAGGCTTAGTGAGGTTAGGGAGCAGCCTCTCCCCGAGTGACTTAGTGAGTGGAGGAGGAGGCTGAAAATGAGACTAATAGGTAAGTTAATGCTAAGAAAGAAAGAAATTTGTACCTCAGATCCATTTAGGTGTGTATCCAAGGACAAAGGTCAGACATCATGCTGAAAGATTAACAAAACAATAAAATGTTGCAAAATGTTTGAACCCAGGAGTCATTTCATAAGTAGGTTGAGTATGATTGTTGGGGTGAACGTAGTCCATTGATAGTGACTGACGGTTCTACATCCTGTGCGGTAGTCATCTTCAGAGTCAAAAGGAGATGTATCAAGTCAGTTGATGGTATTAAACTCTGGTTATTGACCTGATTGGTCAATTAAGTTGCCATGTTATGGGTCATCTGTCATTTAAGCCAAGCATGATGTTATTGGCTATGAAAACTCGTAATGTCATTGGTGCATTTCGATCCGTCTATTGTCACAGTTAAACAGTCATTCACTTGTAGTTAGTTTTGCTTGAGTCCGTCTATAAGTTCTTTGTAGGGTGCTGGTAACTGTTGACTACGATTCAGTGGTGTTTGTTCATTGCAAGATGTGTCAAATAAAAAAAACATTATCAATAATGGTTCATTGATTATCATAGGCAAGTCTGAAGGTCTAGCCATCATGATGAGTCTCTCGGTAATTCCTGTAGTCTGTAAATTCAGCCAAGCTCAATATACACAACTTAAACATTCATTTGGTCACCTTCACTTTCTAACTTAGCTGCTGCAAGAGGCCTCAATAAAACAAGACTAAGGGACAAGAGTTGATTCAATCAAGTCTAGCCTCAGGGGTGGAGAGGTACTGAATAAAGTTTTATCAGGGAAGGCTCCACCTCAATTCTTGAAAGGATCACTTGGACAAACAGCAGCAAGTGAAAGCCAGATCTTGTTGTAGATCAGGATCAGCAATATACAATAACACTTAAAATTGAAGGCAAGGTTGATCGGATAGCTAAGGGTTGGTAATTTGTCCATTATGATACCCATATAAACCATTATACGGGGTACCCACCTCCTGGGGGGTTTAGTCCATTTGTCAACGGCATTGCTACTAGCAGTATCCAGGTCACACGTTTTCACAAATGGGCAGGATCAGGAGGTCATGGCTTCCTCTTAGAGGCTCAATCAATCGATCAGCAACAAAGTGATCATCGTGAGACAAATGGTGAACCAACCATACCATTATTTGGTACATTGATCATCATCAGTCCCTTTTCTACTGAGATTATCAGGGAATGGTGCAAGAGCAATTTTCAAAAGAAATATCAGTTGTGACAGATTTCTATCGTAAGAATTCATTCACCTGTATCTAGGAACGTAGAAAAGTGCATTTGTACTCGACAGGACGAGGCGACATCTACTTTGCCTCCCCCCCCCCCCCCCCCCCCCCCCCCCCCCCCCCCCCCCCCCCCCCCCCCCCCCTTTTTTCCCTTCGCCAACCCCCCCCTCCCTTCCAACTTATACTTTTTAAACACCCCATTTAACAAGAACCACCCCTTCAAACCCCCCACACATACAAACAAATATTTTTTTTTCTTTTTTTATACAACCATACAACCAAAACTAACACCAGTCAATAACAGTCCCTTTTCTACTGAAGTTATCAGGGAAGGGTGCAAAAGCAATTTTCAAAAGAAATATCAGTTGTGAAAGATTTCTATCGGAAGAATTCATTCACCTGGATCTAGGAACGTAGAAAAGGGCATTTGTACCCGCAAGGGCGAGGCGACATCTACCTTGCCCCCCCCCCCCCCCCACCTCCCCCCCCAGACCCTGCCGCCTCGACATTCAGCCGTTTATTTACCGGTGACAAACTCTCCTTTCCGTGAAAATTTACAGTTCGTAAACGACGTTTGAAGCAGAAGCCATCCTTTAAAACCCCCATTAAATCGAAATCATTTTTAGTTTTTATATCTCGACAAAAACTGTCAGCAAAACGCCGCGCGCAATATTCGAAGCCTAAGTGAGACAAATGTGGTTTAAAATAAAGGTGATATGATAGCAAATTCAAAAACAAAACATTTGATCAAGTCTATCATTTACTCACTTATTAGTTTTGTTCAAATTAAATGATAAAAACCGCTTACCGTATTTAAACAAACATAACCTTCACGCGTTCGACCTAAGCACTGTCCTATTCAAACAGTTGAATTCAGCAAAATAAAGGCGATCCCTTTTCACATCCCCATCATCTTGAATAAGCCGTTATAGCCAACACAGTCCAGTTAGCAACAGAAATGGAAAATTTCACGCGGAAATTTATCCCGAGAAGTTTTAGGAAAACATCCACAGACTAGAAAGCGATGTCCATTTGAAGTCACGCGCCATGCGTGAGCCAATCAAAAACGAGTAATTTATTCTTGAAATTGGAAAGGAGGGAGGTAACCTGCGTAGCAGGAGCCCAGAAAAGAGTGCATGGGGTAGGGGGGTATGGTACGGAGACATGTCAGAGGTTTGGCGTTTTTCCTCCCCTTTTACAAATCCAAAAAAAATTCTCTAAAAACTTTGGAAGGTTTAGAGCACACACTGTTTAAAATAGGAAATAACATGACTTTGAACGATTGTTACGCATAAAGACCTGTAATAACCTGATATCAGGCTGTGGCAGGGCTCCTGGCCGTGGTAAATAAAATTCTCCCTCAAGAAAAATGTTCTCTTTGGCCATAAAATTCGCAAATATTTCGGGAAAGCTTCCTTGTGTCGACTTAAGAACCCAGTTGTTCCGAACAGTTAATATTCGGACTGAAATATCGCAAAACAAAATGGCTCATTCAGTGCCTAGCTCCGCTCAAGTGTCTCTTGTTGTAAAAATCAAAATTTTTCAACGACGTAGAACGCTAAAATCAGACTTAAACAATAAGGTAGTGTTGGCAAGAAACTCTTCAAACAGTCTGACAAATAAACGGGACTGAAAATAAAAATTAATCGCACGAGCAAAATGACGAGTTAAATAAGCGTGAATAACAGTACTGATTTATGTATTTAACTAACAACAAAGAAAATGCGCAAAGAAAATGAAGGTTTTAAAGCAGCACAGCCAGTTTGAACATGATTACAGGCACTACCCAACGCACATAAGCTTAACCTCAAAGATCTTTCCTACCTGAATCCTGAATGTAATAGTCGCCCTCAGAAGCAACTACTTAGTTTTGTTTTCGCCTTGACTAATTTCGGATCAACGCTGGCACCACGGATAATTAACGGCAGAAAGAATAAATCTTGCCGAAAATAACATTAATTTACACGTTTGGTACGTGCATAAAAATGAAAAACATCGAGATGCTTCGAGATGCAAAATCCACTGAACAGACGAAACGCATAGCAATTTTTTCCCGCGCTTTTCTGTCACCCGCGCCCTTCCCGCGCCCGCGAAGCGCCCGCGTGATTTGCTGGGTACCAGATTTTTTTATCACAGCCCGCCATACCACTCCCCCTTCATTTCCCTTGATGCAGGGTGAAGCATTTTTAAAAGTGTTACATTGACGTTGGCAAAAAGGCAACAACATTCTTGTGGTCACTAGTTATCAGGAGTTCGTTATTTTTGTTTATTATAAACTTAAAATTTCTTTCTGTCCAGCAATCTAATGCAAGAAAGAGGAACTGGATTTAATTAAACATGACAGCTTCTCTTTTCGATATTGTCATACTAGAAATTGCTGCATCCACAGGAAATCTCTAAGCCAGTTCAAAAGTCTGCTGTTTGATGCAAAAGAACTCTAGGTCTTTTTTCTTGCTTAAAAGCGCAGTGATGACCGAAGCGGTGTGTTTTAATTTGACGTCCTTCTATTCCGCTACTTGGTGATAACTATTTAATATGATTTATATTCTTTCGTTATTTCACTTTCTTTTTGTCTGTTAAACCAGCGCCGGCATTAAATTTAAAGAATATTATATCTCCGTCGTGAACTACATAGTTCTTTCCTTCCTGTCTGTATTTGCCTGCAGCCTGTAAAAGAAATAAAATAGATATTATAAGACTCACCAAGAAAGGTAGGTGGGTTCAGTTGAGGTACCCTTGAGATTGGTAAAGGCGCACCTAAGCAATGAGGGCCAAACACCCGGAGATTTGCCTTGTTTCAGTAACCTGAATCCCGCACCCCCACCCCCGACTGGATGGGACACTAGTACCTTCTTCCCGGAACTCTAAAATCTTTACAGTTGAGTTTGGATAATTCAAGACCGTAAAAGAACTCTGTTCAATACCCTTTTCAGTTTAGATTCAAACAAGCTTCCGAGAGGTTTCTTTTCCTACATGTGAAAAAGGTTGATCTGGGCGGGAGAGAGAGGAAGGAGGAGTAGGGAGGGAAGGACAAACCACATAGTGCCTAAATCGGGGAGAAAAGCTCTGCCACTAATTGTACAAAATAAAACATCACATTAATAGATCCGAAACCAACGAAAATTTTATACTACAGTAAAAATGAGGAAAGCTGTCTCATAAGTTGGTCCCTTCAAACTAGTTAACACAACTATTCTAAGTTATCATGTCTACTTTCTTGAGAACTGTAACACTTAACCTTGACTGCCGTCTCAGAGCCATGCTCTTTGAAATCATCAAATTTCATCACTTCAGCCATAATGAAGCCTTTCTCAAAGTCAGTATGAATCTTACCGGCTGCCTGAGGTGCTTTCGTCCCTTTCTGTAAAAATTACCCCAAAAATTAAATTGTTAAAAACAAATAAATGCCGTCTAGACTTCTGTGACCATGGTTTTTTCAATCTATCAACTCTAGGCTCCTCCATATTTGATTTTCCTTCTCATGTTAGTAGTTTTAAACAAAGTGGCCAAAACGGTTTAAAAGTGAGAATTGGTGGAACTGAGAAACAATAAGGAGTGTAAGACACCAGTATCTACGCAGTGACAAACAGCAGACTTTTAAACCTTATAATTGCCAGGAGCCTTCTCATAAATAGCCTGAGGGGTAGGTTTTCCAAGGGAGCAGCAAAGGGGAAAATCATGCCCAAAAGAACACAATGCTTTGAATGGGAACAAGTCGAACTGCTGAAGCACCTCCCATGTAGGCAATGTTCACCACCTTTACACGAACATGAGAAGTCACTGATTGGTGGAAAGGAATTTGCATTTGGTAATACTGCTGCACAATAATGGAAAAAGCGAGGTTTCAGTTAAACTATATTATCTTAAAGTTTCTCAAACTATGGAAGGTTGCTTAAGTGTACAACGTTAAAAACATGTGTTCTCAGTTAAAACTCATTATACTCGCCAAAATTGTCCAGGCTTTGACTTCATCTTTGCCAGCAGTGAAGAAATACTGAAGCTGAAGAGCTTTGAATCCGGTGGTGATAATTTTAGCAAGAGCACTGGAAAAAGAAACAGGAAAACATTAATTAGTGTAAAAGAGTCAGTGCTGCATAGATGGCAGATTATTTCATCCATTGGTTGGACTCCCTTATCAAGCATCAGGGAGGCCCATCAGGGAACTGTTCCGGTGGATTGTTTGAAGTGTTGTGTAGAGGCCAAATAATGCTAAGTTCTTAATACCTTTGTGTTCCAGCATCTTTAAGGTACTTCTCTTCTTCTTCTGGACTCATATCTAAGAGCTGGATAAAAAAAAAAAAATAAAAATAGCTGGATTGCTTAATTTATGAAATGCTCTTTATCAAAGAAAAGAAACCTAAACTGAACACCCAATCTGACTCTATCAAAACAAAAATATTTACCTAATTTTCTCTTTTAATCACATACAACTAAACTTTCACATGTAACTCCCTACATATTGAACTCACAATTAAGAACTACACGAATTTGAAAATGATGACATGGAGTCATCAAAATGTCATTCATTTTATTCTCAAAAACAGCTTGCGTTGAAAAGTTCTTTCTGGGACTGATGGATACACAAAAGAACTTGTGTAGTTGAAATGAACAAAATTTCCAAAACTGGCACAAAAAGCAAAATTCATGCATCATCCACAACTCCTATACCCTGAAAATATGAAGAAAATGAGCATGCTACTTAAACCAGTTTTGTCTGATTCACAGTTTGCATAATGATGTGATAAATTCTCCTGCTATTAAAGAAAACATCACCTTATATTCCAGGGCTCCACTAAGAGGAATGATAACAGCTCCATTATCATTTGTATCTACCCACTCCTTTATCTTTGCTAACCTGCAAAAAGGTTTTTTCTTTCATTTAACACTCTGTCATTCGCAATTCAAGCTACAAGTTTTGACCATCATTACGGATAATAATTATTGGAAGAAAAAAAAACTGACCACTTGTTCTTCTTCCTAACGTAGTCTTTCTCTGATAAATTCACCAGGTATATAACAGGTTTTGATGTAAGCAACAAATGCTTGTTGAGAACTTCAATCTGAAATAAACAAAGAGACTTACTGAGTATCTCCTATGTGTGGCCTTTTGCAAGTGAGCAAGCACATGGTCCTTGACTCTCACTTTTACCGCTGTATCTATTTTTTGTTAGCAAGAGTACAAGACTGAAAAACCCCTATTTTTGGAAGGATTGTTTCAATCAAGGGCTTAATAATTACTTAAACAGGCTGCGACGTCTCTCCAGATTTCAATCATCACACAAAAACAAGATGAAAGTGTCTCAAAATTGGTGACTCCTCTTGACAATCACAGAGAAAAATAGGGGACTAAGAACAGTTCATTAGAGTACTGTACTTTCTTCTGTAAATCACAGATTTACAAACAATCACATTTCCCTTCCATGTTCCCTGCCAACACTTGTACAGTAAAAATGTGCCAGAGTGGAAAAATATATAACACAAGGTAAAACTAAACATGATAACTGCTCAGAGAGGGATGAAAGAGAAAAGTAACAGTGCTGGCTTTTTAATTAGCCAAGAAGGAGTAGTAAGCTAGCAATAAATTATTTAAATTATTCAAAGGTGAAGTTTCCTTTGCAACAATAAATATTATACACTCACTTCTTTTGCATCCCATGTTCCAAACCTAACATGCTTTTTATCCTCTGAGACCGAGTGATATATTTTTTTTAGGCTTTCCTACAAGTAACAACAGCAAATGATTAATAGCCATCTTATTCAAAAAAGTAGAGTTGGAAATGAATTTAGGTTCACTTACAAATTCTCCTAGTCTCTTTTTATCTCCACCTCTCACTACTGTCTTTTCCATGTTGCTCTAAAAATACAACAAAATGATAAAAATTATTTTAATCAGTCAGATTGCCACCTTATAATAATTTGCAACATAGACAATCCCCAGCTGGTTGTGTCTGAATAGGTTTCATCCACCTTCTGGTTACTAGTCCAAATGCTCTACCACTGGGCAACAAGAGACTTGTGGGAGCTAACGCCATTATACTAATAAGTTTAAATTATCATGTACTGTAAGATAAACTGCAAGACTTAAAACAATGATACTTACAACTTTATCTTTTAGGTATTCTTCATCCTTAAGAAAAAAAAAAGGTAATGTGTTGATTGTAAAAAATAATGTGATCTCCATACCTGACAAGAAGAAGAAGACCTCTTGTAGGATGTACAGAAAATATTATTTTTGTATTTTCACGTTACTCTACCTTTTTCCTCAATTCCTCTGAGATGATTTCCAGGTCTCGTACAGGGTTTACATCTCCTTCTACATGAGTTACATCTTCACCCTCAAATGCACCTTGTCACATCAAATCAAAATTATACATTATCAGTACAACTTATTATACAGAGAATGGTACATAATGAAAAAATGACTTTGTACTCACGTATCATATGGAATATAGCATCACACGCCCAAATATGAGACAGAAAGGCATTTCCTAAACCCTACAGGTGACAATATAACCATGGTCTCAAAAACTGTACATTCCATATATCACTAATAATAGTATTATAGAGCGGTTTTCATTTGAGTGTCGAAAAGTAATTGGTTTTGCACTTTCTACACGATGCGATTGGCTTAAAAGATTCGCGCCACCTTTTCATCCAATCAGAAGTAAAACCAAAGCCAATTGTGACGCGCTCGCATGCATTTTCCCGCGCTTTGCGTCAGCCACATGTAATTACTTCGAGTTTTGATTGGTTCAATGTATTGTCTGTGTCCTATGTGATTGGTCTGAGTAATTACTTTGGTTTTGGTTTTACGACACTCAAACGAAAACCACTCTAATACTACTAATACATTACAGCTGTTCACAGTAGGTGGAATAAACAAGGTTAGGGCACAAATGAGCCAATGGGGAACACACAACTGGAGCTTACCCCAGTTTTGGTAGCACGAAGCACCAATAAGTAATGCTACCTCCCTTTCAACTGGCGGGTTACCCCAGCAGTAAGTTACTGGTACCTATTATACACCTGGGTGAAGAGAAACATAGTGGAGTAAAGGTAACTTGTCTTCAAAACAACGAAATTACAAGGCTTGAACCTTAACCCAGGGCTGTCACTACAATTTCAGTTTCCAAGGTATTCAGTTAGTAGGTTGAGGGGAATTGAACATTCTCAATTCTGATTTTGTACGGCCAATAAAGGCACCATCAGAAGAATGGAGCAACTCACACGCAAGGTTTGAGGTGTTAAAAGGTTGGCCTACTTTATGTTAAATTAGCCTTTTTTACCCAAGAAAGATCTGCTGCCTCTTTTCTTACCAATTCATTATGTCCATTGATTCTTATTGCAGCATTAATAAAACAATCAAAATCAGTTAAGTAAGAAGAAGAGAAGAATGCACATTGAAGTAAACAGGAATGTCTCTTATTTTTAAAGACATACAAACCTGGCCTTCGTGTGCCCCTTGCACTAGACCAGCAATATCTGTTACATGAAGAAAAGCTGGCACTTTGCTGTAAAGGAAATACAAGTTAATAAATGCTGATAGTGTGGCAATTCCTGCCCTTTAGATAAAGTCTAAGTATCTGTCTATAAGAGTACAAAGGGGGCATCATGTAGACACAAAAGGAAACTAAGGTACTATTAGATTGAGGCTTTCAAGTTATGGATGTTTCTAGTTTACTAAAAGTAAGTCAAACAGATATTGGTATCAACAGAGTCTGAACTAACTGATTATCCTGTACAACGGTATGTTACGTTCCAAAGTGAAGTAGGTAGTTGGGACAACTGAAAGTAGTACTATATAGCCCTTGAAAAATTCACTGCCTCTTACAACAAACTTCTTTGAAAAGCCAAAACCTTATTAAAAGTATTACATTATTACAAGATAAGATCAACAACCTATTGCAGAAAAGTGTTTTTGATTCCAGACAAAATAGGTTGGGCATTAGATGTTACTGTACCTTGCAGGCTTGTGAAAATCACACAAGAAATCCCATCTATCATCTGGAACAGCCACTCGACGTGCAACAGAAAGAAAGAATAAAAAAGGATTATCTATTGACACAAATTTACTTGAGTTTTCCACTGTGAAACTCAGAAAACTGTGGGCAACTTTTGCTGTAAGGAAGGATTTCTGTGCAGTTCCACAGTAATACAAGTAACGACCATGGAAAAGGACATGCCAAAGCATCTTCTGTTAGGATTTAGTGGCTCACGAAACAAATATCATGGGCTCGCATGTTAGGAATAACATGAAAAAGGAAGCTGTCCACTCTACTAGGGTGTCTATATTGAAGACAGGTTCCACTGTCCATAGAGCATTTTCACTAAGTAAATTTCCTGGAACAAACGTAAGTGTTTCCTTATTTAGAAAAGAGTACAACCCCCATATGACTGGCTTAGCAAACTAACAAGGCCACTGTTCCATTGTTCTGGAACACTAACGTAGCCACTGTGACATCATGTAAAAATGCTCTATTGACATTTTCACTGCCTGTTTGAAGGCTACCTGTAAGTACTATGACAAAATTGAATGATACTTATTTTCATTGGGATCTGAAAAATAAAAATACCAATAAATATTGTTAATAAATAATAATATTATCATTGAAATTGGTGTAAATATAACAGGTTTATTTAGAAAGAGACACCACTGATTTGTGAATGAAAGAAATTAACATGTACAGGATTCAAACAAGTTTGTTCTCAATCACTTCCTCTTCAAAATGACTAGCAGCATCTGCTTTTCAATGATATAATGTTCTGAAGGCTTTCAAGCACCAATTTATGACTGGAAAAATGATAAGCTGAGGTAAAGAATGTCCAAAAGTGAAGAGACTCTTAAGAAATCAAAAATAAAGATCAACCAGCTTATATGAATAATAATAAACCTGGACACTTTACAAAACAATAAATAAGACCTTCTAGGGTGTTAACTCCTCCCTGGTTGCAAAAATTTGGTTAGCAATCACCATCCTCAATAGCATAAAACACAATAGAGTACTAAAGTGATGACGTCATAAAAATGAAATTTCTGAAATTATGGGATTTGTCAGGATATTCTGAAAGAACAATGTCCAAGAGGCCTACTTGCCAAAAATGAGCATTTCGCGGCAAATTGTCTCTGAGATCGTAGCCCAGCTATACTCAGAAAACTCCATACAAACCCTTCTAATTTTTTTTTGGGTCGACCCAAAAAAAATTTAGAAGGGTTTGTATGGAGTTTTGTAAGCATAACTGGGCTACAATCTCAGAGACAATTTCCCCCAAAATGCTCCTTTTTGGCAAGTAGGCCTCTTGGACATTGTTCTTTCAGAATATCCTGACAAATCCCATAATTTCAGAAATTTCATTTTTATGACTTCACACTTTAGTACTCTATAGTAGGAATGGATATAAAGACTCTTACACTGCTTGGTCAACCAGTGGTTTTTCCCGATAGTGAGTAAGTCCCGTAATAAATCGAGTTCACCCCAATGTTAATTAACCCCCCCCCCCACCCCCTGCAAGTGATCATCTTATTTATGATAAAAGAAGTCCACTTGGTGAAAGTCTAGCCTCCCTCACAGCCATTGAAGAGTCACTGAAAAGCTGAACTCGAATGCAATGCCAAAGAGGGACATGTGATTTTTGAAACTGTGGTGCTTGCACGCATGGTAAAGCATAATTTGGAAAATTCTCATGTAAAGGTAGAGAAGATCAATATTATTGATTGACAATGTTAACCTGCATTTGACAATGTTAACCTGCATTAATCAATTCTACGATGTTTAAAAAAATAAACAACGAGATAAATCTCATCGATTGGAGGCGAATTCACTGATTTTATGTAAAATAGATTGACTCTGAAACAGTCACACAATTTCAAGACATTGAAATTTTGATCCGTAACGATGGGACAACCATGTATCCTAGCGGTGTCTCGAAATTCCCACAACTCCTTCCATCCTCCCGACTTATCTGGGAAGATCGAAGGGCTTCTGAAGGGTACGAGACAGAGAACATGGAGACAAAATCAAGACAGTTATCATTTCGAGCTAGAAGTAGAACTGCTTACTATATACTGACCTATTGTGCAGAATGGAAAATTTTCGGCTGCTGCTGCACTCTTGGTCAAAACATTGAAGAAGGTTGATTTCCTGAAAATCCAGGTGGATAAACAACAGACTCACGATCAGGGGAAAAAAAAATAGAGACCTGTTGCACGCACGTATTCAATTGACTTACCCTACATTTGGAAGCCCTACTATTCCGCACTTAAGTGACGTTCCAAATCTTCCCATTAAAGGTGTTGGTTTTTCTTCTTCCTTCTTTTTGGGAGGCATTTTGAAAGTGAATGAACGAGAAAAACACCTTACAATTAACCTGTTTTCAACGCTTGAAACATAAAGGGCAATTCTTGCAAGATGGCGGAAGGGCATAACAGAGCATATCCTCTTTGACAAGCCGCTGTAAAGACTTATCGCAGAAAGGATTTCTGATTGGCGGGAATTTTGTTGGCGGGAAAATGCAACGAGGATGCAACTCACATTCCTTTCATTTGTAAAAAAACAACAGCAACAACAAACGGCAGATTCCTTTATGGGATAGTTATGGTAGAATCCCGATTTTGGAAATCAGCAGAACATTATATACGTCCACTACAGTATTCGTTTCCATGGAGGGTCACGACAGAACGACAGTTAGCCTGAGTTACGGTAAGGCATTAAAGGCAGCTAGGGGGAGGGGTGAAAACGCAAAAGGGAAACTAATCGTTGATTCCCTCGTCATCCTCATTCATTTATTCAATTTTCTTAATTTCATATTTTGCCCCACTGTCAACTCAAAACGTCTGAGTAGTTTAAAAAAACTTAGCCCCTTTATAATTTTCTGCAGGCTACATCTATAATGATGTCAAAATGATAAAAACTTCACTAAAACCACAAGTCAGAGGCGAGTGGTTAGAAAATTGTTGTCTACTGATTTGCTCTCTCCTTAGCCAAGCGATTTTTTGGTGAAATATCTTGGAAAATTGCCTACCGACAGTGAGAGCAAATAAATATTGTACTATCATTACATCTTTTCTATCAAAACATCTTCACAGCAGGCATGCAATGCAACCCCTTTTGTTTACACTTTTGGTCACCAATATTAATTTGAGTGTAGAGTAACTTTTGTTAGGATTTTGCTCATGTGAAAGAAAAGGATCTATATTCTGGCCCGTTCTCCCACAGAGAGTTGCTCTCAACCAATGAGTGTGTGAGGAATCACACAGTTATACATAGTACAGTGGAACTTTGCCTTACAACCTCCCTGGTCACATGACGGACCACATTTTTCCAACACAAACGTAGAAAACTTAGTCATGTTGTTATTCTGAAGACCCCATTAACATGACCACCTCATTATTATGACCAGGATTTTATGGCCCACCTGTGGTCACACCTTTGATATGGAAATGTTTTTCATTCTAATGCAAATAAAACTCATTTCACATGAAAGGTTGTGCACTTGGCCTCATTTTGAAAGTGAGGGTTTTTGGAACCCGGAAGTGGCCTGTACTTGGAGCTTTTACTCCAAGATCCAATTATGATAACACAAAATAATCCTCTGAACAGTCAGTACAGGAAGGTTAATACAATGGAGCTGGGAAAAATGTTGCTTTGATGTTAAAATCTCAAATTTAAAGGTTTTAAAATAACAGAGAACCATTATGCAACATTTGCATCATAAATTTTTATTTACATGTAATAGTTCATTCAATCTTGGTTCCATTAATGAACTGAGTTAAAAGTACCTCTATAGGTACTCCAAACACCAGCTTACAGTGCAGGCCAATTTACCTTACTAAATGTACCTCAGTTAACTAAACTAAACTTCAATAAATTACTGTTGATTAGTTTGCCACTCGGTAATGTACCATAATAATAATAGAAAGGACTTAATAGAAAGGACTTGATCCATTCATCCATATATGTATATATAATTCAAATGTGTATGAAAAAAGCAATGCAATTCAAAGGAGAATAGCTTCTCCTATAAATCACTCCAATACCCAAAGTAATATTACAATTTTCTCAGTATTATGGAGTGATTTTACTCTATAGGTACTCCAAACACCAGCTTACAGTGCAGGCCAATTTACCTTACTACATGTACCTCAGTTAACTAAACTAAACTTCAATAAATTACTGTTGATTAGTTTGCCACTCAGTAATGTACCATAATAATAATAGAAAGGACTTGATCCATTCATCCATATACGTATATATAATTCAAATGTGTACGAAAAAAGCAATGCAATTCAAAGGAGAATAGCTTCTCCTATAAATCACTCCAATACCCAAAGTAATATTACAATTTTCTCAGTATTATGGAGTGATTTTACTTAACCCTTGAAACAGTACCTAACAATTCTATTATTGTAAAACAGTTGCAAGAAAACAAAACAATAAAATTAGAGTGTAACACTATGTGGTGGTCTGCTATCTATTTCATGAGATAAGTAAACTTACTTATTGTCAGTCTAGGACTGACAGTCTTATTGTCAGTGTAAATTTTAGATCTTAATACACAAACTATTTCCATGACATTTGACCAGGTGTGGTAAATATTCCTTTGTTAATTACTTTTAAGCTTGAACATGTACTTCTAGCCCTGTACTTAAAAACTGCTGATAAACTTTACTTATAAGCAAATATAAAAATTGTTAACTTTTAAAAAGTATTCTAAAAATTCTCTTAATTTGAAGTATGGGACAAAAAATAGATGCAACTGAAAAAATAAATAATTTAAACACAAACTCTACAGAGGATGGAGGAATATAATAAACCACGTACAAAAATTGACATGTTTTCTCCTTTTTTTGTCAATGATTCAATATTTTTAATTACTGTCTCAGGGAGAGAAAATAGCATAACAAAATACATGATACAACATTTGTGTAAAAAACTTAACCCTGAACCATGATTTTTTTTTGTTTGTACCGTTTTTACATACAATTTGAAGCTTTGAATTGGCTTGGTTCCAATTTCTTTAACCACATGTCACACAGATGGCCATAAATTAGCATATCGGCGAACCAAGCTCACTCTGAAATCAACAACGTACATTTTAAAAACCATTGAAATTTACACCCTTCATTTTGGAAAAAACTATAATATTTACCAAAACCTATTTTCAAATTTGCTTTTAAAAGCTGGAAACGAAAACGAGCAACTGTTTGGCTTCCAATAGATAGGCAGAATAGAATGTTATACAAAACCTAGATTCGTTCGTCCATTTTATTCAATCTACTTGCAGCTTAACGCCTTACGCCATGTTTATATTTTGCGTTACTAAAATGGCTGTTCCTTGAGTTCCATCCATTCGAACAGCAACAAATTCGTGAGCAACACTCATATCGTTGAGGTACTGTTCAGTCGCTTCGCCAGTAAAATATTCACTTTCACTCAGCTGATTTTGATCAACAGCGACCGCTACACCAGGTATATCTACTCCAACAACGGCTGCTTGCTCTCTTTCAGCATCTTTTAGATTGCCTGTTTCCCCTTCTAAAATTGGTCGAATGTTTTGCACCTGTTGCAGTTCTGGTTGTGGAATCGGCTGAATTGGAATGGGTTCCATGACTTGCATTGAACTGGCTTTCATGGTCTTGCCATTCGAATGTGTTCTCACATGCTTTGACAAATGATCGCTCCTCATAAACCTCTTGCCACAATCTTTACACGCAAATCTTTTTTCTCCGGTGTGAGTCCTGCGATGACGCTGCAATTCGTCAGATCGAGTGAATCTTTTCCCGCAAAACAGCCAGTTGCAAACGAACGGTCGCTCGCCAGTATGCCAACGAAGGTGAGCACGCAAATGCGATGTTTTCCCGTAAACCTTTCCACAGCCTGGTACATGACAAATGTGCTGCTTTCGGCCATCAGCAGTCCTTCCTTCGCCTTCTCTACAATTCGGACAGGTACAAGCAACACGGCGTAACCTGCGATTATTACCTCCAGGACTGACATTCACAGAGGCGGCGGCGGCGGCACTAGTAGCAGCTATGTTTACATTGTCCGTTTCATGAGAGGCTTCTGCAGGTTGAACTTGCACTTGAATAGCAGCGTTTCCGTTTGTTGCGTTTGAAGGTGCCGCAATCACATTAACAGTTCCAGCAGAAAGCCATTTGTTGGGTTCTGTGCTCTCTTGTGTTAGTATAATTTGCCCTTGAGGAGTTCTTGTTACTTGGACATACGCTGGGTTTTGCGTCGCATTCTCCGAAGGTTCTGTTTGTTGTTGGGTTGCCATTATGGAAATACCTACGTCGTTATTTCCTGTGTACGTTGGCGAGGACACAACATACTGATGCGAAGGACTGCTTGAGTTTTTCGCCCAAGATAAAGGTTTTCCTTGCCACCACTGTGTTCCAATGGTCCCATTGCTCTCTTCGGTGTCCGATTTTAAGCTCCACGGACCAGAATCAACTGCTTTTGTCAAATCATACTCGGGAGCGTAGACGAGATTCACACTAGCTTCGCTGTTTGTTACAATCGTTTGTTGCGGCAGTGAGCACGCGTTTTGTCCGGTAGGACTGGTTGTAACGGTAGTATAATACATCTGCCCATTTTCCACCTGGCCTAGGGAGGTATATAAACTCGTAGCGGAGTGATTTTGTGCTTGTAAAACGTTCGGCGAATTGGTATGATACACACTTTCATTCGCGTGTGAGACCGCATGTTCGGGGACCCACGAGGTCGGGTATTCTTGCTGGGTTGCAAGTTGGCTGATCGGCGGCTGTTGCACGGTATTCGGCGCATCAAAACCTTGTCCGATCTTGCTACAAGTCGCAGCTAGCAATGCCAGAGGAGAGGGTTGGATTTCCTGTCGATTAAAAGCGTTTGGTGGGCGGGCACAAGAAAGGGGGTGTGAGTTTGAGAAGATGAGAGTGCCGTTCCAAATCACAATGCGATACAAAAGGAACACTTGCCCTGCTTACCTGAGAGTTCTGCGGTGGTTGTAAATACTCCATTTGACCCCGATATTGCGCGATAGCGGTCATTACGTGGAAATTGTCCGGTGATTGCTTTTACAAAGCGTTTTTTGAGCGCGCGACACAGTAAAAACGCATCGCGAGCTTTCTTTTTATGACAACGACTAGTTCGGGAGGACAGCTGCTTACAGAAGCACTCGAATGGTTTTTCGATGGCGACCAATCAGCTAGCGAGGTGGTCAATTTGATTGACAGGTATAGACGCTATTGTAAATGGTAACCATGTGCTTCAGCTGTCATTATAAAAAAACTTCGTATATCCCGACTGTAACTTCAAATTTTCAACTGGCATAAAATCCTTTTTAAAAGAATATTTGCTATTAAACTCTTGAAGCACTTCCTTTTCAAATCTTTGAAACACTTTTTCCATCCTAAATCGTTAGTCTCTGAAAATTGTAAACGACAACAAAACAAATGTTTATAAAGTGATTTTTCGCAAGCAGGCCTTTTTCTAAGAAGCTAATAAAAAACGAATGGAGCCATATCTCCGTTTTGTAGACTTACGTTTAAAGTAAACTTCGGTGGAACAGTGATAGGGGTTCTGGAAATAGTGATTTCGCAACATTGTTGACGAGGGGGAAGAGTGTTTTAAAGGAAAACGTAGCCTGCGCTTGCAAGTAAGATGCGAAAACAACGGGGTGCGCGACGGAGACGTAGGCTAAGAAAAGCCAAGTGTATCAAAACTTTACTTCCGAAATGATTTCATATGAAAATTGTACCTCCCTCCCCCCCAACCTCGCCTTGGCAATAATAATTTTTAAAATGCACCCCCTTCCCCACCTCTGCAACATCAGAAATGGCGAAACAGCTATCTATGGTTACGACCCCGCTCTGTTTTGGGTTCTTTCGGTGTCGTGCTGATGTCTTGCAAAGTTAATTTTCATGTAGTACGATCAGCTTTGCAGAATTTAATGTGTATATTTGAGGTCTTCTATAGATCCTTCGTTTTGCGGAAAATTCTTTGCATAATTAATTGGGGCCTGGGGCAAGCTTGGTTACATAGCATTCAATACGTAACCTGTCTCAGGGTCCCCTTAGGCGTTCAGATAGGAGTCAGAGAGCGGGAAAAAACTAAGGGGGGAAAAAGGAGCATGAACAAAGGAGTGCAGTTCGAGAAAAGTCAACCAAGGGAAAGTATTGTAGAAAAATAATAGTTCATAACAGGGTTATGGGCTCCTGTTCATAACTAGTTATCAAGTCAAGTATCTTGGCAATAACAGGAGCCGCTGGCCTGCACCTGGTAAAAATGAAAATTTAGTTATTGCTGGACTCTGTTTCGCAGAGGTCAAAAGAAGGGAAACACAGGAGATCTCTGGTTTGTTGTCGGCAAAGAACTGCCAGCCCAATTTCTGTCTACTACCGCTGACTATCAGGTGCCCATGGGCTCCTGTGACTATCGATTTACTTCAATAACCTTTTTACCTCACTTAGAGTGCCTATCTACGTTGGCACGCAGTGTTGAAACGTTTCTTCCACATACAAATCCTTATATTTGGAAGGTTGTGCAACAATGCCGACGCTCATATTTCAGGCTTGGGCTACCTATGCATCTACACCAGTTTGCGGGCTTAACTTTCAGCAACCCAACATTTTATGAAAGCAAGCCGTTATAAAGTCAAAAATGCATAAGCCTAGTCTTATTGGAAATGCGCAAATGCTTGTAGTGTATTTATCTCTTATTGATGATATAATCTATTCTTTGTCTCAACAATCATATCTTTCCATTTTTTTCTTTACAATGTCCATTTTCCTTTTTAAAAATCTTTTTTGTTATCGCTGCTTTCCCTTCTTGGTTTTTCCACTCTTAAGAGCCTCAATTTCATCCTGCTGTGACGTCAGTTTTTCATTCATTCCACACAGATGATCACTCATCATTGATAACTGTGTTTCATAGCTCCGTTTGATTGTCTCCACCTCGTCCTGCAAAAATGAGAAAAATGCAGTACTAACCGCAAAATACTTTGTTGAAAACGACCAGGAAAATAGGGGATAAACCACTCCGCTCTCTCTGGGGCGATGTTGTTGGGGTGGGGGAAAGTTTAAGAAAACGCTACTGTATCATCAATGTGCCCCATCCAAGTCAGAGGCTGTCGTGTAAGAAAAATTGAAGGGAGCCCGGTGCTCTAAACTTGTGAAATCCAGGGGACCCAGCATATTGGATTTGTATGAAAAATGGTTTTGGCTCCAGAGTCTACTAGGCGCTGCTAGAGCACAGCCTTACTGAGTGAGTTACTCACCTCTAGCTGACTGACTTTAGACGTAGCAGTCTTCAGAGATCTCGCTAATTCTTGTTTGGTCTTCTCTGTCTGTTTTATTCGTCGATATAAAGCGCGGCACTGGTAAAGATTGAACAATTCATAAATAAGAAAATTACCATAGATAATCACTAAAATATCGCTTGGATACCATCAACTTACAAGGCCATATCAATACCGGCTCCAATGAATAAATACAATGTATAAAGAGCCAAAATAACCCTCAAAATTTCCTTTTTCAGGTATTTAAAGTTGACTGAATACAGAACCAAAGAAAAAGTAGTGATTAAAACTTTCTGTACCTCTGCACTCATGGACGCTGTCTTGCTCTCAGAAAATTGCACCTGCAATCATATAAACGAATAAAAAGAAGGCAATGGCATTTCCGTTTGAAGTTCAGAAATCTCAAATCCTTTCAGCTATGTTATACGCCGCAAGTATTATGACAACAGGAGAAGAACTCATTTCATTCTAACACATGACTGATACCAAAATTAAAGTAATCAATTTACATACAAAGATATATCGCATGATATAACCGAATTAAGACTAACACTGTTGCAGATATCTCTCTTCTTTTATGATCGAGCTCAGTTTCCGGCGTTAAGCTAGTCTGCTAAAGCTTTACCAAAATCCAAGAACAAAATCATCCTCACTTCCTTCACAGCTGCATTACCTGTGAAGCTAGTTCAGATATTCTCTGTGTAAAGTGAGTCTTGATCAATGCTTCTCTTGCCACATGTTCCTCGCCCTAAGTCATCAAAACAAACAGTCACATTCATCAATGTTTAGATAATGAAATCTAGTCAGCTCATTACCAGAGCGAGAGCTTATGTAGTATATTATCACTTGATAAGGCCCTCTTCAGCTAGATGGTAAGTACTTTGTTAACAACAATTAACATGGACCACTGTAAGCTATTCTCAGCTTCAAGTGACTGCCAAGCTTATTTCGGGATCAGGAACCAGGCACGACATGAAAATATCAGGAAGGGACATAATTAGAAGCAGCTTGACTTGGCACAATATCCCACAAACGAACCGCCTACAGTGGCCCCCAAAAACTGGGGATAACTAAGTTCTATTCATTTGGAAAGTATTCTTACGAATTTTCCTCTTGCGGCATAAATCTGTTAAATATGTTAAAACATGAGAGAGAAATAACACTTACTTCATCCTGCAGCCTGAGTGATGCTAGTGCCCCAAGCTAAATGCACAAAAAAGAAACTAATAAACCATCAAAACGACAATGTAGTTTACCTGCGATCTACATTGCACTACTTCACTAGTTTTAATGTAAACATCATCATCAGTGATTTTGGAATCCCTTATAAAGGTTATCAAGGTAATTACATGGTGCAAGGTTACACTCATGTGACTACAGATTATCAATTCCGAAAAGGGACCATGTCTCACCCTCACAAATTATAAACTTATTGTCATGCATTTCTTGAGGAATGTTACAACTTCTCTTTCAAACTGAAGAAAAACAAATCGTGTCTTATTCTAAATGCAAAATATTTTTCTTTGAGTAACGTCTAGGTTCCGATAAGAAAATTAGCACAACTAATTGTAAGGTTAGGAAAATGTGCCCTTTTCAAGGTTAACAGGAATAAATAAACAGGCAGCCAACCCAACACGGCAGCACCTCATGGTCGCAAGAAAATCCTGCCGAACATTTGAAACGCTTACAACAATAACTGCGATGTTGTCTGTTGTTGTAGATCATCCCCTTTTTATGGAGAGGCCTTAAGCTATTCAAAAAAAGTTCCTTTCAGTCACAAAGCTTGTTCCTTGCTTCTTGTCTTTGAAAACGCAACAATAACGAAATTGAGGTACAGGTACTTACGTCAGAAGGTGGAGCTGGGACTTCATAGCTGTGTGACGTCAAAGATGATCGAGATGAGGTAGAGTCTGTTTCATCTGAGAGAGACTGGAAATTAAGAGAAGGAAAGATGAATATGTATTAAAAAAGTGTAAGGGCTCATCAGTCAAGCCTTGCGGGAACTCTATCATCCGTTTGTAAAAATCTATAATTAGAGAAACAGTTCTTACCGCAACCCCATCTGTTATAAAGTTCATGTTTTTAGCTTCCAATAATCGGTGGAGCTCCTGTTCTAGGGACTGTACTTTCTAAGAGGGATAATAAAAATTCGAAATTGTCAGTTTAGGCACTCCTGGTGGAAAATACAAAGAAGTTACCACAAAAAAGTTAAGAACACAAGCTGCCTTGTTTCTCTGAAAAAGCAGAGACTGTTTTGAAAGTCCTACCACAGTGAACTATATCCAGGAAATTAAACTGCTTGACTAAGAAAGGGTGAAGGCGTGACCATGTACAGTGCATGACTGCCAAAAGGTGGAGTCAGTGGCTTATGTGATGTGTTCACTGTCAGAATCTGTTAGTACCTGAGCGACTTGGCCGACTGGGGGCGGAATCTGCCTTTGTGAAATTATTGAAAGCGCACAAACCTTGACTTCTTTTTCATATTTCACTTGTAACAACTGAGACTCCAGCATCCAGTGTTCTTTGTCCTGTTCAAGTTTAGTTACTCTCTCGTGAGTCGCAGCGATCTGTAAAAACCAGGAAAACAAAAATTTGGCTTTTTCTCATAGCCTTGGACCTTTTCATTTCCACAGCAAAACATCACATCACTGAATTTTGACAATTCAGATATTACAAGCTGTTAGTGTTACTACATTTTTCTTATGTCTCACATAAACCCACATTACCTGAGACAAATGGAAAGAAATCAAACTGGATTGTTTTTAATTTTTGAGCTAAAAGAAAAATTTATTGTAACTACAGGTTAACAGCCATTTAAATAAAATAATTACTTTTTTGTCAGTGCAAATACAGGCTTGATATAACTTGTTAACTGTAAACGGGCTGATTCATACCTGTTTTTCCAAGGAATCTTTACTTTCCGTTGAGCTCACCAGGATTTTGTGATTATGAAGAGCAACTTTGTAAGGTACAGACTCTGGACAGGGCTTAAGTATGCAAAAAATTACATCATTAAAACGGGTAGAAAAGCTTTTGCATCTAGAATTTAATTTGATGGCTCCCTTTAATTCCCAAGAGTAAAACATTAATTTTGTCCTGACAATATCATTATATTATTAAGAGAAAAAGTTTCGAGAATTGATGAAATAATCACTGAAGGGAAAATGTTTTGATCTTTTATCCCATTCTCATACTTATTCTTCAAGGACATGTATGGAGATCAGTCTAGAGAATATGTAAGTGGATATTGGGGATTAAAGGGTTAAGCAAGGGTAAATCAAAGAAACTGAAAGGAATCGGCAGTATGAAAAGTCTGTTTTGAAAGTGAAGAAAAACACCAGTGTCACCATCTTACATAGCCTAAGCAACAGTTTTTCTGTGGTACTGTCAAAGCAAATTTTCCTCCTCCCATTGTCTAAGGGAAAAGCCCCAGAGATGAGGTTGACTGCTGTTTAACCCTTTAAGATCAAGTGACCAACACTAATTTTCTCCTACCACCATCACTACATCATTATGAAAAAAGGCTATGGGAATTCATAAAATAATCACCAAAGGGAAAATACTTTGATCTTTTATCAAACTTTCCCAGCCAATTCTGCAAGGAAATGTATAGAGCTAAATCTGGAGAACTTTGTATGTAGATATTTGGGGCTTAAAGGGGTGAAATCCAAATAATACTAATTTAGCCAGCTACCCTCATAAGCTTCTGAATGTAGTCTACTGCTTGATGTCTGAACCCCACCACAGCTGGAGAAGATGTTAACTGAAGGAAAAGAAAAGAATATTTCTTAAAACAATTTTAACGTAGACACATGTCCCTGTACAGCTCTCGAGAAAGTAGTTGAGTGATGTTTGTCTTTTCAAGTGGCTGTCACACAGATTATATAGTCTGTGCATGGCTGCCATGTTGGAGGAGTAAACCATAAAAATATATAAATTTTGCATGAAAATGAAACTTTTCCCCAAAGGAAAATCTTTTTATTGTTTTACTCCTGCAACATGGCTGCTGCACACACACTCTATTGTTTGAGGCAATTTAAGAGCATACATGGGAGGTAGATCAGTGTAAAACACACCTCACTGTTTGCAGCAGATGTTAGTCCTCTTGTTCTGATGCCAGACTTGGCTGAGAAGAAATCCAGGTTACTGCTCATGAATTTTCCTATCTGACAATAGAATTGACAATACATTAAATTCAATTTTTCTATTTACAAATTAGTCACTAAATAAAGCTGAGTTGATTATGTGTCATGTGTTGCTGCACTGTAGATTATACATATTCAATTAATTTGTTTCATTTGCTCCATCCTTTAGGACTGTCTGATATGCCAGTGTCTAGGGTGCAAAGAAAGTCATTTTTACAGCTTGCCATTTGGGCAAGCTGTGGCTTGCATGTACTAACCCAAGAGTCATTTCAACTAGCCCAAAAAAGTTCTTATCTGTAATTTGAATTCCTAAGAATTTCACTCACTCGTTGGGGAAGTTGAGAACAGAATTTACTAGTCTGATAGCAAAATCCACTAGCTCGGGGCTAATAGACACAGCTTTCCTTATATGCTGCTATACCTAATAGTTTGAGTTACAGTGAGGTCATTAACTTCAAATTGCATGCTACAGATATCTTCCTTTGTGTGGCTGTCCCTGATAGAAGCTAAAACAAAGGAAACTATCTAATCATGAGGAAATAAAACATTAAAAGTACCTTAGCAGTAACCGTTACCAGAGACACTAAAGAGGAAACAATACATTCATCTGTGCTTTTCAAAGTCTGCAGTGAAAAAAACAGTGACATTAAATTGGTGTCATTTCAGAACATATGCTATACTTTTATGGCTGTTGGTTTACCTGGGTGGCTGTGGGCAGCTGGTGCTCTAAGGATACCTTGGACTGGAAATGCATCGATAATACTGTGAAAGAGAAGAAGAATAATAACATAAGGTAATAATGTTTTTCATTTTTCTACTTAGGAAGAGCATCTTGGGTGTTGGGGTTACTTTTACTGGAATACCCATGTAATTGGTAATAATATTACTAATGTTGTAAAATAATATAATATATTGAAAGGTATAATAATTATTATTACCTTTCACACATTCATGGAAATCCTGTAGAGAAGAGGTCAGAAGTGAAAAGGAGGTGCTGTAATTAGCCAAAACAATTCCAGAAGACCCTGAACCTAACATAACATTGAAGGAAAAATATTAAAACCAGGGTTAATTCTTTCTTAAGGCCTTGTAGATCATCTTGAACAAAAACGTTGTAGAACTTGTACAGTTCATCACAATGCTTTTTTCAACTTACTCACTTGCTTTTTTTAACTTACTAGCAGAGCCCAGGATTCTGATGTGACTGTCAATCTTATTAAAAATTGTGATCAGTTTTGAGAGTGAATGTAACAATGCTTTGTTATAGGCTTCCAAGGTGCTGGAACAAGTTGATGCTTTACATTCTTCACTGGTGCTATCAAAAAAAGGTACAAAAAAAACCCTTAAAATGTAAGCAAGTAAATGAAGCATACCAAGCTAAACCTCTGTATTAAAGAAATAAGTCTCAATGTACAATTAATTACAGCCATATAGTCTCTTACCTCAACACATAATATGGTAGAAGCTTCTTTAAGTAATTGCTATATTTATGAAACGCTTCAGAAAAATCATGCAAGCCAGGAATAGTTTCCTAAAAATAAAAGAAATGGCATTAAATACTGATGAATAAAATTTGCATATTTATATATCAGGTAATCAAACATATAGGGACAAGGTGACTTGCCAAAATATGAAAGCAATCTAATCATTTCCATTTGATGTAATGCCATCTATTAAATGGATGTTCAACTCAGAGATGGACGGTGTAGTAAGAATGTGAACAGCGGTAAAGAAAAGGTATGGATAGCTAGGAAGACAAACCTATCTAATGCAAGTAGTTTATCTTACCATTGATATTAAAACATCTGTTTTTATGCTGGTATAGAAGGAAACAAATGCCTGGTCAACAGCTCGTAATACTGTGGCATTTTCATGAAGGTAGTCACAAAACTAAGAGAACAAAAGGACAAGACATAAGAATCTTAAAGTTAAATATTTATTATTAAACAACTGCATGGTCACATAGTTGTATCAATCAATTTCGATTTACCCTAAGCCCTTTCATTATATTAGCCTGGGTCTTGCCCTAATACAGGTGCACAAAATTATATATGATGGAATTTTTATCTGCAGTCATTATTTGAATGTAGTAGTCTTTCTCAAACACAAAAATGTAACATTTATATTTAGCTTAATTTACCTTTTGTGTGACTGGGGTGATTTGCTGTTGAGCTGATTCCACAAAGAATGTTTTCAGCCGCTGCAAAATGCAAAGATTTGGTGAAATTCAAAGAGAATGTTGTAGGAGCTATTTTACAATCAACTATGTCTTTCTGACATGTGGTGCAAGCTATGGTTTGACAAGCTTTGCTGAAAATCATTACATTTCCAATTGATTAAAAATTGAAAATAAAACTGACAAAAAATAACACTTCATTAGAAACAAAAAAGTCATTGCTTACCTGTTCTGTGTATGTGTGGAAGTTTGACATTCCAGACACAAGTTCATGAACTAACTCAGCTGCTTGACATATAACTTCCTTTGCCTTAACCTGGTGTCTTCGGTCATGCGTGGGTACATTTAACTTGTTAAACTCTCTAATGCCTATAAAAGATAAAGAGTACATGTCATTATTGATATCAGTTTATCATTATAATAAGTTATTATACAATAATAGTGGTGTATATTAAGTAGTACTACCTAACAAACACACAAAAGCATAATTTCCTACAGCAAACTACAAACTTACTTGTATCATTAAATGGCAGCTTTTCTGTAACAACCTTAGAAACATCATCTAAGCAATGAATAGAAAAGACGTAATACAATGAGCACAAGTTATTTTTTCAACTTGTTAACATTTCATTTGATAAGCAATAGTAATAGTAATAATCTTTAATAGGTACTTGTCAGAAAAGGCTATTATGTAACTATTTACAGATGGATAAGAAATAATTAGATCTAATAAACAGGAAAACTAATGGCTAAATCCAATAAAATCAATAAAATTCTATGAATCAATAATCAAAGACAATAGGTGGTCTCTCATTGCACTCTTAAAAGCAGAAATTGATGTTGTAATTTAAATGAGTCATCCAAGTCATTCCAAATCTTCACTGCCCTATAGGTGAAAGATCATTGCCCAGAGGCTGTTTTGAAAAGTGGGATTTTGAGGCTGTTACGGTTGCATGTCAACCTGTCATGAAAATATTTTTGTTGGTAATAAGTTAGAGGAAAGGACACCAGGTGCAAGATTATTAGTGCGTAAGCTATAATAGGTTTTATAATGTACTTCTCTTAGCCAGGGTTGATGAACATAATGATATTATTATCATTACCTTTCTGTTTCAAGCACATTACTCCATTAGAGAGTACCAAAGTATACTACTGTACTGATACAATGTAACCAAAATCCTCACCATATCTGGACGTCATTTCTTTGTGCAACAACTTGAGCTGTTGATGGCTAAAAAAAGCAAGATAAATCATCTTTAGTGAAAATACTACATTTTTTAAATTCTGAATTCCATTGGACATTGGATACTTGTGTTAATGATATATTTTTTTACCTTTTCTCTGCTTTCAAGCTTGCCACTTTTAATTCCTCTTCTGTTCTATGAAGTTTAGCCTTCAGATTTGAGGGAAAGAAATAAAAGAATTTAGTACCTCACTTATGAGACAACCCCTCTTTAACAGGAACTGCTCAAATGATAGTTAAGACCAAAAAATTACAAGTAATCCCATCATCATTATCTATTTTTATTCACTCAAGTTACAACTAGTTGTATTTACACAAACCTCAAGCATGGCTCTTTCCTCATGAAGTTTATCAACCACCATTCTGTGCTTCTCATTAGCTTCATCTAATATCTTCTGGTGATCAGTAGAATTTCTGGAAAAAATTAGTTAATATTAATCAGTATACTCATATCCTGGTGTATATAATTTACTTTCATTTGATAATTTCTAGGTTAGGCAGGCAAATACAGTCACTTTCTTAAATTTGATTTCAGGAACTATTAGACATCAATAGTTATCTTCCTGGATGCATGTTTGTTTGGTGGAAAATAGCCCCTTTCTGCATTATTTAGTTAAAATTCACTAGCATAAATTTCCACTTGACTGAAACAATAAATATAACAGCTGTAGTGTACGTCTATAAAAAGGAGGTAAATTAAGAAAAATATTTACCTTTCTAGTGAGTCTAATTTATCTTGGAGGGAAAGTATTGTCCCTTTGTACTCCTGAGTTGCCTCATACAACTAGGAGAAAATGACCAATAAAATTAAGTCCCCTACATGTAATGAATATCAGTATCTGCTAATGACAGAAAATGAGTGCTCCTCCCTAGCAGTCCATTGTTATCATAAAGAAAAAAAAAAAAATTGTTTCAGGTCAACAGCAGGAGGATAGATAATTAAAGGGAAGTCTAAATCTACACACATACTGAAATATAATAGACTTAACATGCACTGGAGCATGATTAAAATTTCAGCTGAAAGCTTTTGGATGATATAGAGTGTTACTCATCAGAACTTATTGGTCCAAGAATACTACACATCTAATAATATTCTGTAATTAACTTCCATATTTTCAGGAGTACCAGCAGTGTTTTGATGTTTTGAGTTGGTTTTTGTCATTATTTACCTCTCTCTGTAGTCTCTCATTTTCCTGAATTTTTATTTGGAGTTCCTGATCTTTAACATCATCATCATCAGTTCTTGTCACCCCATCAATTCTGGACTGAAAAATACAAAGAACAACAATAATAAGATGTGTGCTTTGGAGTCAATGCATGTGAGAAATTATAACCTTACAACGCAACTAAGATGATACAAAATGGAAAAATTGAGTAGTCTAGTACATCTTCATCTCAGGCTATGCTTGGCGCAAAGTTTGCCCATTGCCCAAATGATAAAAATCCACATTTTTCCTTTTCAATGCTTACTGCTTACCATACAATGCAACTCCAAAAATATCATAAGTTCAAATGAAAGCCCGATAGGAATGCTGTGATGCGAAGCACTGATTTTTAAAGAGTGGAACTAATAAAAAAGGTAAATAAACACAGTGATATCAACCTTTCCTCGTCTGTTTCTTCCATCATATTCATCAAGCTCTTCTTGTAAAACAGCTACTCTCTTAGACAACTTCAAAAAAGGAACAACATATAAATGCTTCAGAACAATGTTTTGAATTCAGTCTCATACAAAATTAACTAGTTTGCTTAACCAACAAAACAGGTGAACTAGATAAGTCCCTCTTTATTACTCAGGATATGTAAAAATTAGTAATAAAAAAAAAATGATCAAACTGTGTCACCTGATCATTTCTAAACTGCAGACTGTCAATTTCCTGTTCATATTTCCTGATTGACTGATCCTTTTGCCTAACAGTTTCCTTCAGGACATAATAAAAAGGTAACAGGAAAAAGAAATTCAAGTCAGTTGTCTGCAGGAAAGAGACCAGTGAAATTATTTAACTCCAAATCAGTCAGTTTTCAAACCTGAAGTGACTTTGTTTTTTCTTGCTCATCAATTACAGCTTTCTTCAAGACAGTGTTCTGGGCTCTTTGCTGTTGAAAAAAACTCACATTTTAGGTTTTTGGGGACTTTGCCATAGAACTTACAAAAATATTCAGGCAAATACTTAAATTCAACTTAAATCCAAACAACCTTTATTGGCATGTACTGGCATCGTGACTGGCAAATTATATGACTTGGAGGCTGAGAGTTAGAATGGGGTATCCAGTTTTGAAATGCACAGAATAGTCACACAGTGATAGCAGTGAGCTTAAATTCATTTCAATTTCCACAAAAATATTCCAAAAAAGGTGCTTAATGTTGACATTGTATCCTAACTGTTTCAAAGCACGTTAAAATTGTTGCCTTTCAGGTAGCTTTGGCAGTGCTCAAAGGTTATCAGAACATCTTCGGACATTTTTTCAGCAACATTCAGAAGTCTTCGGAAAATCTTTGGAAATCTTCAGCAGTCCTTGGGATGTTTTTGTCGTGACAAGACGAAAATTTCATGCATTTGACTCAGAAAAAGTTGGCAGCTATATGCTGTCTGTAACGATTTTACTTATCATCACATAGCAGCAGTACTTCATGGTTATAGCCACACAATCCGGCATCAGCAGCCGCTTATGAAAAAAGTCATTAAAACCCGTCCTAAGTGAGCCTACCTACCCCTCCACCCCTCCCCCCATCCCCTCTAATTTGTACAAACGGATTCTGATAGAGCCACGGAATATAACAAACAAAATTGCTACCGTCCATTTATCATGTAAAGAAATGTATTTACCTTGAGCAAAATATACATGTCAGATTCAGAGACTGTTAATAAATAAAATGAATAGGCTTCAACACGTCACTGAAATGCATACCTTTGCAAATTCAGCAGCCAATTTATGGTACTTTGCCTGCAGCGTCTGGGAATCTGCACTCATGTTCACTCCTTGAAAGAAAGCTTACAGACATCAGAGCCAACATAACATCATTAGAATCCTTGTTATACCGTGTCAGTTTCAGGTGTCATCTTGGTCAAGCAGGCCGCCATGTTGTTTTCCTCTTCCTAAGTGTCACGTGACTTCCGTTCAAGGAAGTTACAAAGTCTTCTGGGAAAAAGAGAAACAAAACAAAAATGGCGGATGAAGCTAAGTATTCCAGGTCAGTTAATAATTCGTCATATTTTGAATTTTACCCCCTTTCATTTAAGCAAGAGAGGTGGTAATGTTTAATTGAGTAGTTGAAAAGGGTAGATAATATCATTCCTTAGGGAAATGTGATATTTGTGCTCAATATTTTGTGCGGGGAAATTTTTTTGTCATGTTACGCTTTCACTTTCCAAATTGCAGGTGAGTTTTTATCTGGTTGTCTGCCAAAACACCAGGCTAAGGCTTTAAGAGTGGATGGATTTGAATGTAATGGATAAAGAAATAAAGAGAGAGGAAAACGAAGAAGTCTTTGAAGCTTCAGATAATTTGAGAGAAGTTCCAATCAGTGCAGGCGCTGCAGAGATGGACAGTGCACGTGCAAAAGTCGTTGCGGGTGAACTTGAACATGAACCGGAAGAGTTGCAGAGTGGTGAAGAAGAAGCACAGGCTCATATTGTCGGAGGTGGTGATAAAGATTTACCAGCTGAAAACAAGAAGAAGAAGAAACGGAAAAGACGGAAAAAGAAAAAACAAGATCGTGATTCCACTTCTGCTGCGTCAGCTGTTGTTTGTTGTGATGCAATAAATGACGAATGTGATGTTAAAGCTGGTCAACCCAACCAATGTGCTGACAAGGAAAACAACGATTGCGCTGATTTAGACACAAAAACAAGCCTGGATCAAGCTGACAGCGAGAAAGGTAGAAGAAAGCAAATGGAAAGCTCACAGCTGGGAGACGGTAAACCAGAAGAAATTCCGCCAGGACACGAAAAAACTATGGCTCAAGGAGATAATACAAGTAACAGCTTTGCGGAAGTTGCTCTTAGCAATGAACAGCAAGATTTGGTGGTTGCTAACAATGTAGGTAGCGGGAAAAAGAAAAGGAACAGACGAAGGAAGAAACAAAATAAAGTCCGTGCGAGTAATGAAGAAGTCGTTGAATTGAGTTGTCAAAGCGGCTCCACAAGAAAAGAGCTTCAATCAGCCGGTAGCGTGAGAGATTCAGGGACAAGAAATGCAAAACAAACAACTCCAAGCTCTCATGAAATATCTGCAAGAAGAAACACACCACGCAGAACCCCGAGGAATCGTGGGAATCAACGGAGACCACTTTATGAAGCGTATTGGCCACTGGAGAAAGTGTCAGCTGCGTTGAAGAGGCAAGAACTTATGAAAGGAGTTTTACGAATAAGTCCCAGGAACTATGAGCTTGCCTGGGTGACAGTACCTGGACTAAAACGTGATGTCGTGTTAGAGGGAATGCTGAGGCGAAACCGAGCTCTCAATGGTGATATTGTTGCGCTGGAGATCTTACCCAAACAGAAATGGAGAATTATGAAAGATGAATTGGATTACAATGGGATTACTCTGGATATAAATTACGTAGAAGAGACAACTGGGGGCTTAGATTCCTTGTCCCTGAGCCCTGGGAATGAGTCCCAGTCTCCTTCCACGTCAGCTTCAGGCCACATTGATAAACATATCAATGTCGATCAAGTCCCAGAAGAGTTTCTGCAAAGAACTGGCAAAGTAGTTTACATTATTGAAAAGAAACACTCTCGTGTGGCTAGTGGTAATTTAAAGCCCTTCCCCCAACCTAAGGAATGCCCCGATGGTTGCTTCTCCCCAGCTGACAGTCGACTACCCAGAATACGCATCCCACGTGAGCAATGCCCGCCAGGATTCTTTGACAGACCACGAGACTTTGAAAACACTCTGCTTGTTGCGCGAATTGTCAGTTGGCCCGAGACCTCTTCAAGGGATTCGTTTCTCGCGATCGGCTCTATTGCGCGAAGTCTGGGAGAGGCTGGGGAGATTGAACCTGAGACGGAGGGGATCCTCTTAGAGTATGGAATCGATTCAGGACCTTTTTCAGACGAAGCCCTGGCATGTTTACCTCAGGAAACGCCTTGGAAAATACCTGAAAAAGAGTTGGAGTACAGAAGAGACTTCCGTGATGACTGTGTTTTCACAATTGATCCCCTTACTGCTAGGGATCTTGACGATGCAGTTCACTGCAAGAAAATTCAAGATGGCCGTTTCGAAGTTGGAGTACACATTGCTGACGTAAGTTTTTTCGTTCGAAGGGGAACAGCATTGGATGAAATTGCCATAGAGAGAGCAACATCTACATACATGGTACAAAAAGTAATTCCCATGCTCCCACGGCGTTTGTGTGAAGAGCTATGCAGTTTAAACCCAGGGGAAGATCGTTTGACTTTCTCCATTGTCTGGCATATGTCTGAAAAAGGAGAAATCTTAGATGAGTGGAAAGGAAGGGGAATTATTCGTTCTCGCGTCAAGATGGCGTATGAACACGCTCAAGACATGATTGAGAAACCAAACAGGCAGTGGAATCCAAGTGAGCTACCCCCTATTTCAGACGGCGCAACGGTTGAGCAAATTTCTGCTCAAGTTAATCAGCTTCATAAGTTTGCCCTACGTCTCCGTCGTAATCGCTTTGAAAACGGCGCCTTGCGTCTTGATCAAGTCAAACTCCAGTTTGATCTGGATAAAGAAACCGGTTTGCCAAATGGATATCACGTGCACAAGCAGCGTGATGCAAATAAGCTCATTGAGGAATTCATGTTGCTTGCGAACATGGCGATAGCTCACCACATTTATGTGGCTTATCGTGAGACAGCCTTATTACGGCGTCATCCCAAACCTCACGAAAAACAACTGGAGGATGTAATCGAAATCTGCAAATCTTTTGGAATCAATTTTAATGGCACCTCTTCCAAAACTATCCAAGAGTCAATGTCCCAATTTCCGCTGTCATCCCCCGAGAGAGAGGTTCTGGTCAATTTGACTATGCGACCGATGAAGAACGCGGAATATTTTTGCACTGGGTCGGTAGAAGAAGACCAGTATGGACACTACGCTTTATGTGTACCTCTCTACACCCACTTTACGTCCCCAATAAGAAGATACGCAGATGTAGTAGTACACAGGCTTCTAGCTGCGAGTCTTGGCATCGACGAACCTCTGAATCAAGACCCTGACGGTATTGACATGATAGCGGGACAGTGCAATGACCGGAAACTTGCTGCAAAGCGAGCCAGTGAACTGAGCAACGAGTTGTTCTTTGGTATCTTTGTGCGTGAAAGTGGCCCTCTTGAAGAAGACGGAATGGTTTTGAATGTTATGGACCAGTCTTTGGACATTTTGGTGCCCCAATTGGGCGTGGTCAAGCGCGTTTACTTAAAGTTCTGCCCTGGAGTTAAAAGCTTTGAATTCACCAAAGGCGAGAAAGGGAAGCCAGCCCAGATACGCTTGCGTTGGAGCGTGAAGCTCAAATCGGGTGATGAACCGTACGAAGAGGAACAAATTCTGAAGATATTTCACCAAGTCCGGTTGATTTTGACAACTGAAAGCCAGACAGAAAACAAAAGGGCAAACCCCTTCAAGGTCATGGGAAAACTCGTTCCAAAATTGGCCTGCGGAGATGAATACTACATCCCCTCGACTTCAGCAGATCACAAGACTGACGAGAAGAAAAATGCTGTATGCAGCTCCAAAAAGGTTCACGGTCCCATCTCAGCTAACATTCGTGCTGCCGATGATATCCGAAAGAAACTTTTCGAGTCGGAACAAGAACCGGAAGGACCACGTATTTCCGAACAAGGGAGTGAGATCTGTCATCGTGAAGCAGCGGAAATAGAGTCGCATAGTTCTGATGACGTTATTGTAGAGGCTGAAGAAGAAGCGAGTGCCTTGCCGAATGGGAACGATAAATCTACGAACGCAACCGAAGATGACTCCGATGATGTCATAGTGGAGTCTGAAACCGATCCCGAAGAGGGCTGACAATCTTACAAGCAGGGGAATAAATTTTATTCTTTAACATTGTCCGTTTTTAAAGACTCCTTGAAATTTGTACAACAAACAAATTTCTTGATGGTTTTACTCTGTACTAGTTTTGGTTCTCTTCGGGAGCTCTCAATGCTCAAGAAATGAACTCGAGTTTGTTTTGATTCGTTAAAAGACTATTCAGTCCACTCTTTAACTCGAACGGAATAATGTATTATGCATGCTGGAGAAGCTGAAGTTTAGAAAAGAACATTTCTGGACTCTAGGTCCGTTTCATAAGAGGTAGTTACCGTATATATTATTTTACTCCCACAAAAATAATGTGTGAGGTACTCTTACTATTAAATCGGTTTAAATATGGGATTTGGGGGAAATCTGAGCTAAAGAATTTAGAGAGACTTTGACCTGGGCCGAGTTGTTCAAAGCTGGGTTTAGATAACGTAGGGTTAGTGCGAGATTTGAATTCGGATTTGTAAGCTCAAAAAGCATTTCAGTTTTAATTCTTTCTGTCTACAAGTTGATGATTGGAAGCTCTAAATATAACAGAGAAAATTATCCGAGAAAATACTTTTGAACACAAGAAAAAGAAACGCGGATTAAATTTAACCTCGGGTTAAGCGCTAATCGGCCTTCGAACAACTGGGCCCTGATTGTTGGGTCTATTGCAACCGCGCATTGCGATTTTGAACGCCAATTCTGATTTTGATCAAAGTTCTCAAGTGACATGCTGTTTGTATATTTCTGCGTAGAGGAATTGATTCTTTTTCACACAAAAGAAATTGTAAATGGAAACTGAAGGAAAACGGAGCTAGCCTGCGTGTAAGCGTGTCTTATTTCCTTTGTTGCGCACGGAGCAAAGAAGTTCCGGGAGACTCCAATAGCATACTTTGGCACTCCTTGTCTGCCTAGAGGAATAGAGCATTTTTTTAAGACAAAAGGGGAAACGAATAAACGTGTAACAAGATTTTTTTAATAATTACTACATGGTTACGTAACCGTTATGAACGAAAGCTTTGAAGCGCTTTGTTTTCTACACAGCTTATGAGCTTACCAAGGAGTCAGAAAAGCGCCATGAATTCAGATTCATTACATCATCCATGAAGGCTTGACATGGAAATTTGAAAAAAGATAAAGGAGAAGACCCTTGTTCTTGTACGGTAGGCTCTTAGCTTTGGCACAGTTTCAAACAACCAGCGCGAAAATCATTGCTCATAGCCCACAGTATAAACGGGTTAATGACATGTTTGAGATAATACATCGCCAGTGTGATCATCTCTATGTAGAGAAACTCAAGCTTGACAGCTGTTTCAGGTTTGAATTCTTGAATCAACATTACCACTCCCCTGGGCAGGTAACACACTTGAAAAGCCAGCATAAGAGCTAATGACATTCTGACAAGTCGGCGCTTTTGGCGTATGCGTTTTTTGAAGAATTCTACTGAAGAACCCCTTCGATGAAACACTTCTTTGGCTCTGAGTACACGGATGATATTGAAGTACGCTATGCATTGAATAACAAGAGGTAGTACTATAAACAACACCACGATGTAAATCTGGTATGCAATTCGATATTGATCCTTGGTGAAAACTGGAAAACAGTAGTAACGGTCCTCGTACAATTCATTCTTAAGAAATATCATCATCGGTAGCCCAGCTGTGAGATAACTAGCAATCCATATGACAAGTACAAACTTCTTAACTCTCTTCAGTGTCATCTTGGGTTTAAACGGTGTGACAATGGCACGATGCCTCTCCAAGGCTATTATGGTCTGTGCAGCGACAGAGACAACAACGAAGACATCTTGAAGTGGAGTGAAAATGAAGCACATTGCTTGACCGAAGATCCAGCCGAAGTAAACTTCAATGATCCTTAGAGGTGCTGCAAATACGCACACTCCTAAGTCCGCTGCGCAGATATTACCAATCAGAATATTACAGGGAATTCGCATTTCCACCGGCCAGCGAGTCAGAGTAACTAAGACCAAGCTGTTGGTAAACAAACCAACTAAGATAATTAAAGAGAAGAAAATTGTTGTGAGAAGTATATAGACTTGAGACTGCAGTTCGTCTGGCCATGGAGGCAGTAGAGTGGTGTTAGCTTCAGTTACGGCCGTTGCGTTTGCCATGAAGTACCTTCAGGATAACTGTCCAGTTCAACGTTTTAATCTTGGAAGTCGTCTTTATTTGCAGATCACTTAAGCGCTTGAGCGCCGACCATGTGATGTTTAGTGTAACCAGTCTATTCAAAATAAACCATCTGACATACAGACAGTTAGCGAGATAATTGATCTATATGATAATTGACAGTCTTGGATGAAAATAAACGATTCCTCGGGATGTAAATCATCTTTTGAAATGATAATTTATAAAAAAAACAGTCTAAATCGCTTAAGGGTAAAAAGTCAACATAAGTTTGTTTAGGTGAAGTCAACTGTTGATAGTCAAGCCATCAAAATCAAATAAAAAGCAGGGAGGCATAAGGGTGTGGGTGGGAAAAGGGAGTTTTCTTTGTCAACGCCTTAATGACAAGCGTAACCCACCAGAGCCCACCGACAAAACAGTGCTGTTCACTTAGCTTTCCTAGCCCTTGATGAAGACTAGTTTTGTCTAGTCGAAATATTGGGCAAATAAATTTGTAACCCTCAGCTGTCCGATCAGCCTTGCCTTCAATTTTAAGTGTTATTTCATACTGATGATCCTGATCTATGACTTTCCCTCGCTGTGTTTGTCCAAGCGGTATTTTCAGCTGGTCAGTAACGTCACTAAGCTCACGATTCCAGCGCAATAACTAGGCCGACAATTGCCCCGAGCAAGTTTGATTTTACATGAATGCAAAATAGGAAATATAGCGAGATTACTTGTGAGGAATCTTGTGTGTGTGATTTTACTTTATTAAACTCCAAAAAGTATACCAGCCTGTGAGTGCAGTCGCCTTTCCAAGCAGGTCAGAGCAAGCAGGTTATATAATAGTCATAATAGTCAGGAAGCCTGACGTCTTCTCTAACAGGTTACGTTATATATAATCTGAACTCGTGTATCAAGGAATCCTGCGTGGAAGGCAGCTTACAAGGCGGAGTGACGCTAGGTAGAATGTTTATACTTATATAATGTTTATACTTATATAATGTTTATACTTATATAATGTTCATTACGCTGTCCTCTGCTTTTCCCCAGCTTTACTGGAAAATTTCACTTTTCACTGAGAAATTTCAGGCTTCTCGGCACGCAGTTGTAAAACGTATTTGGATAACTTTACTTCGAATGAATTGAATCATCCGCGTGCTATTTTTATACAAGCCTGTTAAGCACGAAGCCTTCTTCTTCAGTTAACATGCAGTGGGATCAGAATGTATATACAGTTTTCTGGACTCCTGGTTCCATATTAATAAATAGCAGACTTTCTTTCTTATCTCTTGGCCCCTGCAGACCTCTTAAATATATCGAGTTCTAAAAAAGCATTAGGCTTTGTTTATGATTTGGTATCATCCAAGTCATCTGTCTCTCCTCCCTCGTCCCACTCCGTCTGGAGTTCAGACGCGACTTCAGTGAAAAGTCGGTTCCAGTCCCACCGCTTGTCCTCCTAAAAAAAGAGAAAGGAAAGTAATAATTAGAAAGTTGCAGCATTACCGTAAATCCTCTATTAAGCCCCCCGTCCCCTTTTCGTGGGAAGAAAGTTAATAAGCCCCCCCTCTCTATTAAGCCCCCACCTCCCCGCCCCTAATTATTCTTCACTAATAAATGATGGACTGTTTTAATCAATCACGACTGGAAAACTTCGTGTGAACTGATCCGTGGTGGTTTATTTACCAACTGGAAGTTCGGATTTGATTCTGATCCTCGGCTGCAAGACCTAAAACGTCTTGTACTTGAGCTTTTCCACTTTGTATTCTAGTTCTTTATGGAGAACTGATACCATCGTCGTTTCTAAATTAAATAAGCCCACTGTCTCTATTAAGCCCCGCTTCCAATGGGCTTGAAATAAATAAGCCCCCCAGGGTAGTCACTTAAAATAGTGGGAGAAAATTACCAGGGCAGTAAAATACGGTTGGTATGGTTTAATTCTGAAAGGCAGAATGTTGGACAGCACATGATACAAGTTTCCATTTAAAATGGACAGAGAGCAAAGCTACGTAGCGCCACGAAAGCAAAGGAAAAGCCTCAAGTCGAAACAACCCCCACCCCCTGCTCAGAACTGTTGATAGTTTACTTGTTTGATTCCTATTCAAATGACCTCTATAGTACATTACTATCTTACACTACTATATTTTTTATGTTATCTATATAGAAGCATACGAATATTTTAAATTTCACAAATTTGTGTGGTCATTGACGATGCAGTCTTGTAGAGAGCTGGCAAGTACCTGGATGATAATCACTTTGAGCTATATAAACGTCAGTTTGAGTGTTACCAGACTCGATATGGCTAACTTTAATTAAACACACATTAGATAAGCAAAGTACATAATCGTCACCTCAAAAACTTCCGTTTCTGGAGACAGAACATTAGTCAGAAGTTTGAGGTCAATTTCTCCATCCTGAAAATAGTTGAAAGAATAAGATATTATGTATTGTATCATGTATTTATTTACTCATTTAGATATTAATTTGTTTATTTATTTCAGGTTGGGATGTTCACTATTTCGTTACTCTTACCAGTAAGTTCACATTAAAGAGTGCAGATTGTTTCTGGAAGTAGCTGTCCAGTTCTTTGTAAGTCGCTACCCTGTTGACTTGAACACTGAGAGCAAAAAAAAGTAAAAAATTATCAATATGAAAAAGCAGTTGAATGCCATTGATAACTAATGGAAGTCACATGCATAAATTAAATTGGGAAAAAGCATTTGGAGTCTGCACATGCCAACCTCAAAATGAAGATGAAACTAAAATAAAAGTAAAAAAGAAAGGTTTTTCTTCAAGTACTCTGACTTTCCCCTCTTCTCAAGAACCAGCATGTTTGATCTGGAAAGCGTCTCCAGGTTTATTAGTATCACCCTCTCTCATAATAATAGGTTTTTACTGTTTATATTATAATCATGTGCGTTTATTGTTGAGGTGAAGCTGTGTAAGGGGCCTTGGGAGAGTATTAAAACAACTAAGGGAGAGTAATACAGAAATAATAACCTGGGTGGAGCAGCAATCTGTGTCATCATGTCTTCCTCTTGTACATCTTCCAAATCAGGAATCACAGGAATGTCTAAAAATTCACAAACACAGACAAGAATGTTATCAACTGAATAAATGTAAAATCTAACAATAAGAATCTAATGAGTACATCAGTCATGAGAATTCAAACTAATGACACTCTTACTATTATGACATAACTAAGCATTACAATAGTTGACATTGAAGGGTAATCTTACCACCATCATCATCATCCTGTGTTACGGTATTGTCCATTTTGAGTCTCTCACTGAACAAAAATGGAAAAATGCATTTGTAAGACTTAGTATTAATGGTGTGATTTATAGGATAATGGTGAACATAATTTTCTTTATATGTACTAGCTTTATTCAGGAATTATTTCCTAGTAAAAATGAGCCTTCAATAAAAGGAATTCTTACTCTTCTTCTTGAAAGGTTTCAACATCCCTTCTCCTGTCAAAGAAAGAAAATTATATAAAAAATTATAAAATAATCAAGATAGTGCCAGCGGGAGACAAATCTTTTATGATGAAGCTATTAATTGCAGAGTTTAAAATTCCACATGATAATTCATGCTAGTTTAATCCATACCCTTTCTTTTTCTCTTTGGGTGTGTCATCTGCCCAGCCTCCTTGTCTTCTAGAGGGTTTTGGTGGCGGCTACAAAACAAAATTAATACAACCTATTGAAAATTGCCTTCTTTCAGAAGGAGTAGGATTATAAATCCTGGCTCAGTGGTGGGTTGGTGTGGGGTTAGGCATCAGAAATTACAGTATCTCAGTACAGCATTAAAAGGGGAAAGAAATTTCAAAGTTTGCTTTCATGACAGTGTAGAAAAATATTCATTATGTAAAAGCAGTTAGAATTTTACTTGATCGTGTTCTGCTGTAGCTGCTGTGTTATTAGCTTGAAGTGTCATGTCTCCCAGAGACGCATCCAATACATCCTCATCTGCCTCTTGATTGGAGTGAATATTCTGAGCGGCTCTTCTGCCTTGTCGGACTTCCTAATAACAATAATAATATTATAATAATAACAATACACGTTTTTAAGCAATGGAGCATCAATTAAGCTCCTCTAGCTTCCCAGATGATCTTGTTAATGAAAAGAGTTGAAGATCATTGAAAGAAACTGAAAGAAGGAGTAAATAGCCATTAACATGCCAAAGTTACCACATCACCATCAGAAGGAAGAGAAATGAGTAAGAACTGTTCATCAGAGTAGGAACTGATCATCTCCTCTGCAGGCTACCCAGCAGGTAAGCAGACAACAAAAGAAGAGACATAGGAATAAAATCAAAGCATTAGAAAAAAAAAGATACTATAAGACATAAACTTAATTCAATCTTACAAGCATCAAAGTAAAAGTAAAAGTCATGGACAGAAATATAGAGTTAAGAGTTTATCAGTTCTAGCATGAGCTATTACCATGCTGCCATGTTTCATATGTATGGAAAAAGACCTAAAAACAGACTCAAGGGGCTAAAGCAAGTCTAAAAATTTTATGACAATCAGAAACCTACAATAACTTTGTTGTAAGTCTTCTAAAGAGTACAACCCATGAGTTTTTCTGTAACAAAGATAAAGTTGAGCGAAGTTTTTTTAAACATTCAATAATGCAAATTATGTTACTACACTGTTGGTTCAATCATATCTATTTTTATTAAATAACTAAGATAGTATGCACGTTCTGATTGGTTAAAAACCTATGGTTTATTGTGTAAACATATAGAAAACTTAAAGTTATTTTATAAAAGCAATAGACCACACTTTCTATGGGTTTACCAGCATGATAACCAACTTGGGATGTTGGGAGAACACTCGAAAAGCTTGAGAATCACTTGCTTCCGGTTTGTGATAAACAAGCTTTTCTTGTGTTCTCCCAACATCCCACGTGGGTTATCACGCCAGTAAACCCATAGAAAGTGTGGTCTATTGCTTAAATATTCTTCATTGCAGTTCCATTAGCCTTTTGTGGTTATGGTTAAAATATTTAAAGTTAAATTTACATTTTTATTACTTAAAGAAAGAAGTTTGTAACAGTTAAATGCATTATTTTCTCTGCTGCCTGCTCACTATAAGGACACAGGAAAAATCAGCCCTATATTTATATTTATATTTTAACCCTGTAAGTATAATTTATATTTAAGATTCATAATTTCATTGATTTAAGATTTAATTAATATATTTAAAATATTAACATGTACCTTGGCCATATCTGGCTTTAAGTCATCAGTTTTTGTTTGTTTAGTTTCAAAAGAATTGTTAACAGCTGATGAAGGAGCATGCAATTCAAGATGTGCTAAGATATCTGTCCACTCATTCAGCTGTTGGACTCCACTAACTCTCCTGTATGTAAAATAAAATAGTTATGAAAAAGGAAAAATATAAATGGTGTCACAGTCACAGGCACTGGAGGAGAAAGACAGCAATAGAGGTTAATTAATAGCACTGCTTTGTTATTCCAGATTACCAACTGGTGGCTGAGTCACAGACCAATCTAATAATCTAAAGTGATCCAAACTATAATAATATAATATCCCTGATCATCAAGGATTATGGGGACAGACTTATAGCATGTTCTTTGCTAAGATCTTTAAAGGACAGTTCACTTCATTAGAAACCTGGTGGGGAAAAGAATCATTACTGTTTTATGCATTAGACACAGTAAGAAATTTATGCATTGAAATATACATTCTGTACAGTGTAAGATGTACAGTATGTCAAGACTCTATGTTTAGTCTGTTGCAGTCCATGGTCATAATATTAACTCACAACATTAATTAAAATCAACTTTAAAATATTTTGAAAAATTAAAAAACTTAACCTCTCATGTTGGGAAACTGCTAAAGGGAAAACTTTGTTGGCCATTAATGGTTAAAGTAGGAAAACTAAAAGTGAAAAGTGAGTTGTTAAATGACTGTGGTCACATTAAACTTATAGACCGATAATGCTCTTGGACTAGTGAAGCAAATGTAAGAGTTCTATCTAAAGAACTAAATAATTATTAGAGTAAGTACAACTGAGTCGTTTACTTTAAGTCATACTTAAGTTCTTTGTCATTTAGCCCAGATAATGAAGTTACTAAGAAAACACACTGCAGAAGATATCTGCTTAAGAACTACACATCACAAAAGGAACAAATACTGGAATCCATCTGGTGATTCCCACAGACTCCACAAAACAAGCTTTTAATTATTTTTTGTGAATAAGCAAAAAAATGAAATCCTTGTGAGCAAGCCTTAAAAGGACAGGTGATTGAGGATGATTAAAAAAGATGTAAATAATTTATCAATTATTTGAAGTTTTATATGAATTCAAAGAAATGACCACCATTGGTTGAATCCTAAATAAAAATTGACTGATAGGTTTTAGAGCAGCAAAAAATAATTTCCTCTTTTTTTCAGGGCAATTCAACATTGTAAGCAGGTGTCACACTTGTGCAGCTTTTGAAATTGTTTGATCACATTTTAATCATTACTAGAATATAAATGTATTGTTTAACCTATCCTTCCAAAATCAAGCCTGAATCTGAACTGGAAATGGTAGGACATTTTTTGAGTTACCGAAAACATGAACCAGGATTAGTAGCTCAGGCATCCTTGCACAGTTTATATTTTTAGAACCAGTGTTAGATTTCACACTATCATTACATCAAGGGCCATGTTTTTACAAATGCCGAGTAAAATTACTCAAGGCTAGTAAATAACTATATATAATACAGCATGAGTGTAAAAGTACTGTTTGTAGCCATATATAAACTCCTGGTTAAGTCCATCTGTGAAACAGTTATGTATCCCTTATCTGTTTACCATTTGAGTAAGTGCCATGATTGGCCTAATAAAAAGGCAATGGTCAATTTGTCAATCAGGGTGAAGGGATACTCGAAACGCATTTCTGGTAATTTGTTGAACCCATTGGGGTACAAGAACAAGGATATCGGTCCTGCTTTGCAGACATTACTATCCAGGGTTAGAATAGATCTGTGATGCAGGCTATAATGGTTTAGGATGTTACTAAAATAGGGAATGGGGAGTGGGGAACAAGTGCAGGGAATGGGAAAATAGAAAATGGGAACAAAACCTAACTTGAACCCTAGCCCTATCAGTAATTTAATTTCCAATTCTCTGTTTTGTTCCCATTATCACTTTCCCATTTTGTGCTCATTCCGCACTCCCCATATTATCCTAAACATCAACCATTCTTTCATGAATGGTGGGGAAATTCTCAGCACGTGAGATACGGGTAGAGCTAGTCATAACACAGGATTCGCTTTACAGCATCTTACTCACTACCAGAGCCACCCATATAATTAAATGTTCCGCAATATTGCCATAGGGTGTCTATTTTACATACCCCTTTAAGCTCGTTTTGCTGAAGGTTTGTGAATTTGGTGATTTTGTTGGGTTAATTCACTTCTTTTGATAGTGGCCAGTAATTCTAACCCCACTCCCCTCTTGAATTTCTTTCCCATTTTTGTTTTACCGATGAACAAAAAAATTGAGAATAAACTTATTAAACAAGCAGGTGTTCAGTACGTTGCCAAGGGAAAGGACGTGAAGAAATATGCCAATTCAGAAGTTTATAACTAAGCCATGTTTCAACGAAGGGTACTTACTCTCTTAGGAAGAAAGTCATCCATGAATGTTAATGCGTCCAAAGAGCCCAAAATAGCCTTAGTGTTATCAGAAATCCGATTTTTGTTGGAGAAGGTCAACCAAATAAAAAAACATTCGTCTAACGCCTCGCTACTGACTCTGTGTAACATATCATGAAACGTAGCGTTCATCGTCCAACGAAACCGAGAGGACCTGGTGTCATAGAAAACAAAAACATGGCGGCTTGCATGGTTGCGTGGTGCGTCGTGTCGCCGCACCGTTTAACCTTCTTCTTTTTGCTTTTTTATGAGGTTTTAGCAATTAAAGTCAACGTACGCGGAGCAAACCATATTTGCTCTTCCGGAGCGCAGGTTTTTCATGTCAATTTTGGCAATGGTCCGATACATCAATGCGATGTTATGAACACCACTCCACCTTCAAACAATGGCAAGCCAAGTTGCGCGGAAAAAGCAAAAGAGCGGTTAAAATCTTCCCAAGGTTTGTACGACAGTGTTAAGTGGGGTGTTTCAGATCATGTTAATAATCTTGTGAACTATAAGGCACCTTTGTTAAAAATTTCATCTCGCGGCTTCTGTCCATTCATGTTTTGCTGTACAGTACACGTGTTTGTGTCAAACTTCAGGTTACAGTTTTTTGAGGTTCTAGTTATCTTCTCCAGATGATTAATATAGTCTTTTTCAATGCAAATAACGTTTTAATATATCGTATTGAATGATGCAATGTTATCAATCAAAGAATGATGCAATTCACTCAAGACAATTAAAGAGGTAGTCTCATGAGCTGCACCACAGGCGGCCCAGACGTAGTGTGTGTCAATATATTAATATTCACATGGACAAATTAATGCGATGAGTCATCGAAACTCCCATGAACTAAAATAGTCCAAAGTCAAAATATAACAAAACAAAGCAAAGATACCTTTAACTGAACATATCCTTGTCTTTCCTGGCCAGATAATGTGGCATTTTGTTGAGTTTTGCAATATTATTGTAGGTACTATCCACTAAAGAAGAATTCGTCTTCTCCTTCTTTAGTGTTGTACTTCGGCTCGCATGTGCCCAGTTCATGAGATTTACCCTTTAAATGAATTAATAACCTGTTTCAAATACAAAAATGTGATGTACAGGTATGGTTGATGTCTCGCATCAGAACGACAGAACTTCTGTCATAAATGATTCAAAGCTCATGAGTTCCATGTTGTCACTGGGACTTTGTAACACTGATCAGCTGTGTGCTAGTTAAGTACTGTACTTACTTTAATTTCGTTTTAACCAATAATTCGTTAACGTCATCCTAAGTATAGGAAGCCTGAGATACATAAACTGATCATTATATAAATCTCATTCCTTTTTTTGTTCTTGTTATGGTGGAGGCAATCTTCATATTGTTTCCCACCCATATAAAGAAACCACAGAAAGGCAAAAAACGGGGGTAATTTTCCAGAGAATTGCTCTTTAATTTCCAATAATAGAGAAATTTTATTTTTGCCTTGAAAATATTTTCTGCAAGTATTTCTCATTATTTTGTTTTATCAGCTAAAATAGGGAAGAGGGGTGGGGAAGATCAAATTATGGATTCATCGTTTTGCCCGAATTAAAACCCTTAGATGGAAAAGTCATCAAATCCGCCTAATCAGCAGTAAAGTTTTTGCAACTCCCAAGTTATGCAAGGTTCTTAACAATTCCGGGGCTCATTAATACATTTATACACCATGCTCTGATTTACTAAGTTCAAGGCATCTTTAGTTGTTTATACTACTACATGAACAATCACTGCAATTTGATTGGCTTAGAGCAGTGGTATTTCAGCTCAATTTGAAATACCTACATGTGAAAATTACAAACCTTTTGTAGATAGTAGTATAAACAAATAATAGCATGATTTGTACGTGATATTTGGCATAAATATCACTAGTGATATTTCAAAATTGTCTCAAATTTCCCTCCCTAACGGCTCGCCAAATTACACATAACAATTTTGAAATATCGCTCGTGGTATTTATGCCAAATATCACTACAAATCATGTTATTACCTATACTAATAATTTCAGCGTTTTTTTGTTCTCATTGTTGTTTTACTCTCTGTCACAGGCTGTGCCAGCAAGCAAATGTCTCATACAGATACTTGTACAAAGTTTAGTTGTAATAAAGAAGAGATGATACCCACTACTCCTTGTTTCAAGCCTTTGATGAGTGATAAAAAGCACTTTATTATTCACACACCTGAACACGATAAGGTAACATTGCTTCAGGGCATTTTTTAAATATGTAAACATTGTGTTACTAGAGATATTACCTTTATTAGAGGAGGTTGTGAATATATCTTTTCATATGAAAATGGGCATGGGTGTTTTTGCCAGTAAAAGGTTCCTGTTTTCTCTCACTTGCTGTAAAAGGTAAGAAATATTGAGTGCTTACCATTTGTAATGAAATTTAGGTGAAAAATTTCTGACAAATGGTACTGGACTTGAAAATGTTTCCGAAAAGAGGAATGGGTTAGAGTTGTGCCATTTGCAAAACACCAGATAACGAGTGGGCCTGGGTTAAAACAAATCACCATTCTCCTCAAGAGGAAACCTGATACTGGTTTACCAGACAAATGGTACAAAACATTTTGGTTGTTTTGGTGAAAACGGGAAAAAGGTGATCCTCGAAAGCTATTAATTCTTTTCCAGAAAATTTCCAGCGGGATAAACCATTCCATTTTAATTCTCGCCGGAATTTCCGGGTTTTCCATACAAATGGTAAGTGCAGACAAATGGTACAAAAAATTTCAGTCATTTCGGTAAAAATGCAAAAAAGGTAATGCCTTAAAAGGTATTACTTCTTTTCCGGAAAATTTCCACTGGGATGAACCGTTCCATTTGAATTCTTCCTGGAATCACCAGGTTTTCCTTACAAATAGTAAGTGCTCATTAACTATTTTGTCTTTAATTTCACACTTGACCAGTCCTTTTCAGTCCTGTCTCAAAGTATTGTCCACCTGGCCTAGCAGTACATCCAATCTTATGCTTAATACGAAATCCCACAGCCATATGCAGGGCTGTCACTAATGTTTCTAGTTGCAGGGTAAATACAACATGTTGGTGGGAAATCAGACAGCAATTGATTTCTTTTGGTTCTGTTTTTCTCCAATTCAATCATGAGAGTAGCGAGGAGTCACATTCTGCATCGTAGCCGAGGAAAATCCCTGGCACCCAGCCCTCAAACGACAGCCCTGCATACATTAGTACACATTGTAATACTTCAACTCTTTTATTATTTGATATGTGACTTAAATAATAGGGAACATACTTCATTTAACTTCATTTCTATCTATAAATGTTTTACTTTTCAGAGTCTCCATCTAGTCATATCACACAATACAGAACAGAAGGTTATTTTGACAGGAAACAGTCACATTGATGAGAGAGTTGGTGAGCAAGCCATGCATAAGCCCCTGTTATTGATTTAATACTTAAAACATGCAGAGTCAGAAAAAAATACAACAAAAATCAGTGCTCATTTATGGTTTGAAGGTTGAACTAGTTAGCCAGGTTTTCATTTCTTTGCTACTCAGATTCCTCTGGGTTTTTTGCCTCCCAATACAGCAGATTAAACCAATATAACAGACATTTTATATTCATCTTTGAGCTGCACTTCTTTGCTGTATACAAGGCTCACAATTTCACTTGCATCTTTTTACTGACCTATTAGGTTTTGCAACACTTCAAATGAACAGTGGGAATTTGGATAATGCAATCGAGCAATTCACCAACATAATAAAGGTAATTCTATAATTGTATAGAATTACTGTATTGTAAAACAAAGTTAATGGAGCGCGACACCCTCGATCAGCAACACTTAACGCAACGTTATGTCAGCCCTTATCACATCTGGTAGAGTTTTACTTGTAAATAGGTAAAATTACTGGGTTGTACGTAAGTTCACTTCCACAGTTGGGAAATTACAGATACAATAGCGATGTTTGTTTCTGTTGCAGTTGGGGCTAGTTTTTAATGTATCGCTCATTTTGTATGCCTAATAAGAATAGGTTTCCTCATGCATATCTCGTGGAGCACCTTAGGTGCACATTCTGTTCAATGGTATGTAGTGTTTGTCATTGGCTTACCCTCAGTTAGCAGTCTGACTATAAAAGGCCTAGTAAAAATCCTGTGTCTCGTTCTGAGCTGTATTGCTAAGTTCGGGGTTCGCAAATACGCCAAATTTGGTGTATTTTATGCCAGAATTGTTCAGATGACTCCACAGAGGTTACGGAGGGAGTCACTTCGACTCCAGAAATTTTTGGTGAACAAACAGGGAGCCACTTCAAATCCAGAAATTTTCGGTGACAAACACAGTTTTGTCCTTACCTTTTTCGCAACAAATACCATTAATTGTTAATTGTAAACATTGAAAACCTTAATTAAATCATCAAAATTAAAGAATTATGCTCCATGACAAAACAGGAAGAGGGTAAATTACGATCAAAGTTTACTCGATGACCGCCATCATGGATTTGAGCTTTCCAAGTCAGCGCACCGCCACAGCTACCTCGTGCATCCCTCACGATAGTGTATACATCACGTGCTGGAAAGTCTGAAAGTGGCTTTTTTCGTTGTGATACTTGACTCCAAATATTCCAAAATGACTCCAAAATTTGTGAAGCAGAAGTCACAGTGACTCCACTCATCAATAAAATTTGCAAACCCTGTAAGTTGATAGTTCAACCGTCCTAAAGTTTTGTCATTCCCACCCTTTCCTCCCTTTGGAGGTTTTGTTGTTGTTCTCAATAAACATGGGTTCACCGCTTTCTTTTGCCTTCGGTTTAAGTCTTGCGGCAACTTCCCCAAGCTTTGATTTTAACGCAAATGTTTGTATGTGATTGTATTCGAGCATGTGCCGACAGAGTCAGCTCATAGTGCTGATAAGATAAAGCTCCTAGAAAAGAATATTCCCTACACCATGACCATTAAGTTGCATGATGCTGGCCAGAGGATTCAGCTTGAAGTGCTGTGGAGTGTTAGGCCATATTAAGTTTGTTTCTCTTGGACCTACCCGAACTTGTCCAATCCAGGGCATATGTAATAATGCTGGGAGATAAGTAAGGCTTTATGGTCATGCTACGGAAGTCGTCTGCCATGCTGATTGCGGAGTGGTGTAGCCCGCTTTATGCCATATGTTTTGTTGTCATGTTTTTATTAAACTTTAATTTAAAGCCTAGCTAAAGGAACTGCAACATTAAATTTTATTTGTTTGCTTTGTAATTTTTTACGTGTAGGAACACCCCTGGGTGACAGCAGCATATTTTGGTCGAGGTACAGCTTATGTTCAGAAAGGCTTACAGGTATTTCAAAGGCTTTACTCTGTTCATGGTGTGAATACAATTTTCTTTTTCTTTGTATTAAAAAAAAAGCATTTTATATGAGTGTCAATGTATTTAGCATGAAAGTGCTAATTGGGGACACTGTATTTTACGTCTCTTAATGGAGACGGGACCGCCATTTTACGTGGTCATCCGAGCCACGTGAAGGTCCAGCCGCCTGCAGGGCAAAGGAAGTACCTTCATTTCTCAGTTATTTTAAGACCCTGAGTATTGGTCGGGCCCCGGGAATCGAACCCACGACCTCCCGCTCTGCAGTCAAAGGCTCTACCGACTGAGCTAATCCTGCCGCGGTTCATCATTTTCAGAACAAGGAGAATGCTGATGCAGCAATAGAAGATTTTTCATCAATTATCAGATTGAGTCCTGATAATCCTGATGGATGGATAAAACGTGCTGAGGTAATGTATAATCAATATTAGATCATCTGGCCTTCATCATGTTAAAGTGTCGATTAAGGCAGTAGAAGAAAAGTAAGTTAAAAGAATGACACACTCGATACATGTAGGTGGGAAAAAGCATCAGTCCTTAACTTACTGATCATCGATAAGGCCTTTAAATAACCTCTGGCAATAACTGTCACCCGGTAAGACAACTACCGATTCTTTTGCAATTTGTTCATTTTAATGTGTTGATAGGTGTTATCACCCCTGGGAAATATCAAAGAGGCATTAGCAGACATCAGAATTGCTCTTGATCTGAAACCCAGTGCTCATTTGTATGTCATGAGTGGAACGCTTCACTTTATGCAAGAGGTATGAACAGACAAATGAAACTATAACTTATTTACATAATAAAGGATTTAATAATGCGGTAATTAATCACTGAGAATAATTACCTGCTTGATTGTTGGCACATGGCCTTCGAGCGAGTAGGTCGCGCTATTTTTGAGCTCTAGTTCGGTGTAAATCTCTGTTAAATTTCTATTACTAAAACCTAAAGCAAAGTGTAAGAAGACGATAGGTAAACTTAGTCCCAATTTTTTGCACTAAATTACAAAAAGACAAAGATTATTACCCTGATGCAACCATGATAACACGAGAAATAAAATCGTGAAATCCTAAACCTTAGCTTCTTTCCCAGGTTGCATTAAACAGATTTGTCTTTCTTACTTTTGAATTTATTATACTTATTTCGTCTTTTCTTTTTCTTTGCTTTTTACTTATTTAATTATCTGTGCTATCTGATTTGTAATAGAGTCAATTTGGCATGCCTCTACTAGCTTTTTTTTTTTTTTTTTTTTTAACTGCATTTTTTTTTTTTTTTTTTTTTTTTTATTAGTTCTTTTTTTTTTTTTTTTTTTTGTTTTTTGTTTGTTTTTTTTTTGCTTTCCTCTTCTTTTTTTTTTTTTTTTTTTTTTGCTAACTGCATACCCAAAAATTGTACTTTCAATATTATGATAATAAATATCTTGTCTTGATGTTTTTCCTTGATTTATTGACTGGCTGACCTACTCAATGAGTGGGTGAGCGAGTAAGGGAGTGAGTAGGGGAATGACTTTTAACAATGTGAGATTAACCATGTCTAAAGGAATTCCAAAATCCTTATAACTAAAACTATAACTTGCATTTCTGCACATAATCTTCTGTTCTAGTGAATTTAACTGTTGATGACCTAAAAAGAAACCTTAACTTTTTATTGGCTTCTTAAGGATTATGAGGCTGCCACTGAGAGTTTCGTTAAGTGCCTGGAGACTGATAAGAATGAACCAACAGCAATGTTATATTATGGACTGTCTCTGTACCACAGGGGAAAAGTGAAGGTAATCAGTTATACAATACATGCAGCAGCTAGTTGTAAAAAATTCTTTTCAGGAGTGTAGCTCAGTTTATCAACAACAACAGCAACAACAATCTTTATTTTTCCTTTATTCTAGTTATTTAAAAAGTGCCCACGGCCTGCAGATTAAGTTAGGGTTAGGGTTGATACTGGCTGTTTTTGTTTGATGCAAAATAACCGTGGCCACAAACTCTCAAGGGTCGGTTATTTAAACAAATTCTAACTTAAACTGCAGTTTAAGAAATCTTTGGACCTCCAGATCTCTTCCTTAGTGGGTCAATTTAAGAAGATAAATGCTTTTCCTGTCTACTCTACATGCTTTAATGAAACTGTTAACAACAAATGGTGTTTAGATAAAAGTGTTGTGCAAACTGAAAATGATTTAGAATGCTGTTCTGTTAAACAATGGCTAAACTCCAGTTAAATAACTGGCCCTAAAATGTCTCTTCCACATGTAGTATAGTTATTGTTACTTACCTGCTTTTTTTTTTTTTTTTCACTGCTTGGGTTGATTTGTCAGGAGTCCGTTGAGATTTTTAAAAAAGTTCTTGAGACAAACGTTAACAAGGCAGAGTGCCATCGCAGCTTGGGCCACGCCTACAGGTGGGTGATGTAATAATGTAAGGGTGAATTATTGGAAGTTATAAACAACTTTTAAGCTCGGATGGTTCAACTCTGGAGTCTGTTGCTGTAATATTATTATTGTTTCTCCATGTACCTACTGGGGGACAACAAGGAAGAGGGTCAGGTTTTGATCTTTGGAGAAAACATTACCAACCAACAGTATGTGGGTATGTCCTTGCAAGACATATTATGCTTTGGTACTGTCTATGCGAATAGAAGGGTAGATAAGACTTACCGGTAAGCATTTTTTGTACACTGCTGTGTAAGTGTGTAAAAATTGAGGTGTTTGTGGTGTATGTAAAGCTATGATATTTATGCTGCAAGTGAATTAATTTTTTGTCTCATTAATTGTTCAGGGAGTTGGGAAGTCCAGACCTTGCCCATACACATTTCACAGAAGCCATCTCTCTAGAGCCAACAGCCTCCCAGGTTTGTAAAAACATTTTTTACAAATTTGCTGCTTGAGGTAAAATGCCTTAATAATAATTAAAACAGCTCTATAGTGACTGTAAGTAATGTAGATGGGGAAGGGTGGTGGCTAAGTTGTTATAACTGTAGTAAGTTGTTTTGAAAAGTTGTTTAACAGTACTACTTGTTATCTTCTTTGATAGAATTATCAGTCCAGAGGGATAATTAATTATATGAATGGGAAACCTCAAGAAGCTATCAAAGATTTTGAGGTACTACAATATAACGGTGAAAATTCATAAGTAGCGTGGTTCAAGTAAAATCACGCAATAGCAATGATGGAAAACATTTTTTTCTGCAGCCAAACCTATATGAATACAAGTTTCAATTCCCTGTTTCTGGACAAGGTTTATTTTTTGTTTGTTTTCTTTTCAACAGGAATGTCTTAAATACAATCCAAGTAGCATTTCCTGTACTTATTGGAAAGGAGTTAGTCATGCTTCAAAAGGAAACTTTTATGAGGCTGTGAAATCAAGCACAAAGGTTTGACTGTCAATCAACTCACTATTTTAATACCGCAGGCCTCATGGTAGTCATCAATTAATCACTGATTTCTTGGACTTAAAAGTGTGGCATTTTATACATCATTGTTATTTTCAACTTGACAGTTTTAAGCTTGTCCCTCTTTTCACTCTTGAGCAAAAACCTAAAGTTTATTCATTTTTTGTGACAAGTGTATAAACTTAGCTTTTTCTTTGACATGGAATATTTACCGGATTACATGTAAATGATCTCTATTCTCTCTGGAACTTCTTCCAAAGCATGCGAATACAAAGTAAAGGTTAAAGATGAACTGGTAATGTAATATCAACAAAATGGGTGGGAATCAGCATTGTACCTTGAATTCACAGGTCTTGCTGACAGATACATCTCCTGTGCAAGATGTGGATGTTATCAAAAGCCATTACCTCAAAGGTGACAATGTTTTCTCTAAATTTTTAATTTAATTTGCTGTAATAATTGAATAGAAGGTCTTTGAGGACAACTTAATGAGTCAAACTTTCGCTGATAACCAGAAGCTAGCAAAAAATACCCTCCACAGGAGCCAGCCCTGGTGGATAGGATACTAGCTTGCTAACACCCCTGGAACAAGTTAGACTAGCCCATCTTATGATTACCTGGTTTATGTACTACAAAGTGACTAGGGACATCAGTACTTTTTCCTGGATAGCATACTTCTGATCAAAAGATGATCCTCCATGTCATAGGTTCACCATTGTGTATTCATTTTCTATAAAAAACACTTGATTATAATTTGTATGACTGATTTATATGATTTACGTAAGAGCTGGACTGTTAATTATTTCTCAGAGTATTCACGGTATCTTCACTCCCACTTGGACACTCCTCTCTCTGAGTATTCCCCGGATGTTGATCTTGATGGTCGACTGAGAGATCTCTGGGTGAAGGGCCTTCCTTTCAATGCAAGGGTACGTGACTAGCAGACTTTCTTTAAACTTTGAAATTAACTGCTTTTAAGGGCTAGGACTTTGTAAATTTCAACTCATTATTCATTTTAACGGTTTAAACATCTTTTTTTTTAGAATTACAATGAGCAGCCTGGTATCCAGCCTCATATACGGTTAGTAAAGATAGTAGGCAGTCAATTTTAATTTGCTTTAAGCAAAGTGGTGCGTCCCAAAGTAGTGTTACCCTAAAACAATCTGTCTGTGCTGTCAAGGACTTGATCCGTTGCAAACGGAAGATTTAGAAAAGACAACGCATCTTCCAGTGTGTAACTTGCCACTCTGCCATCGTTGTCTTTGCTAAATGACCCTAAATCTGTTGCCTTATGGAACCAAACTGAAGGGCTGTGACATAAAAAACGAAAAGAAATGTACAGGAAAACAAGGTTAAGTCTTTGCTGACAGTATTCCAGCCCTTGGTGATTATCAACATTTTTTTTGTAACAGAGAAGTTGAAGATGTTATTTTCGCCGATTTTAGTCCAGAGGCTCAGGTATGCCGAGTAGTGCATTTGAAATCGTCTTTTTTTGCGTCGTGTTTGTAGTAATTTATGTCATTAACCCTGTCTTTTCTGATACCAAACACCTCCTAATAACTCCTATTGTCTTCCATCTCTAGTTGTTATTATGCAAATCCTCCATTTTGGGTCCTTTGATTCAGTATCATTCGGCTGGTTTCCTGCCCAACATGAGGCATCATCGCGCCATGGGCCTTGCCATTCTTGACGTTGCACAAGTTGCTAGTAAGAACTGGAAAGCTGGCAGGTCTTCTAAGAATAACCAAAAGAAAGCTAGCTGGAGAAGCATGTTTGATGTGGCTGTCAAGTGGAGAAGGTAAGAATAGATCGACTGTACATACCTAAAAACTTTTCCAGACAATTCCTTTCTTACGGGATTCTTACGGTGATTCTTTCTTTCAATTATTACCCTTATCTTACAAGACCCTTTTTCTGATATTGCCGTCTTATTTATGTGTAGATTGTCTGATCCAGAGCAGCCAGTATTTTGGTTGGATATGATGCCAGATAAAAGCGTCAAAAGCGGCTTTAATTTCCGGATGAATCTTTTAAGGTTTGTTAAGAGACAATGTACATCTTACCCCACCCAGTTACGTACCCTCCCCTCCCTGCCAACAAGGCTTGCTCATAGGTTCTAGAGTGTATAACAACATTACCACAGGAATTTTGACGACACCCCTTTTTACGAACTTGGAGACCTGGTTGACTTTACCATCTAATCGATGTAATAGAACAGCAATTATCTTTTGTATCTGCTTTGTGTTTGTGCGAGTGACAAAATGCGAAAACTACTAACATTACTCCAGAGTTCTTTACACTGACTTTCTGTGACGCAGCGAGACTGCGGGTAGCGTGTCACAATCACGGACCTTAAATTCATATGATTGCAGGGGCCAGTTAAAAAGCGTTCGGTACTCGGACTACTTTGACAAGATTTTTCAGTTTACGAAAACAATGTTACAGCATTTATACAGGTGAGCTAACTATGATTCTAACCTTGACTTTTTCTAAGGGTATAAATCTATCGCTCCGCGCTAAGCTTGCAGTATTTTTCTGTCATGGTATGCCTGTGGTTCTAAGCCACGTGACCTAAAAAACATGTGCTTTTAAGTAGCTTTGAGGCGGCCCTTAAAGATTGAGTTTGTCTTTCTTAAGTCTTTGAGACTGCTATCGTTACAATTTCAATAACAAAAATAAAGAGTTCATTAAAGCAGGAAATTTGATTGAAGTTAACCCACTAAGCTGTGGGAGCATGCGCATAACGGTACTGACTTCAGGTTGATTGCTTTCAGAGTGGATGAACTCAATTCCAAGGAATTTAAAAATAATATAGAGAAAGCAAAAACATGTCGGCAGCTTATGGAAGTCTTGAAGGTAGGCCTGAATTGGGACAAGTATAATCAATCACCTTCTCAAAATAGATTATAGGGGTTAGTTTCTATAGAAACTGTGGTGTTATGTCGGTTGGCGGGAGTGAACTTAAAAATTTTGTTTGATTAAATCAGTTGATAAACCACTGACTGTAGAAAGATTGAGAAGCTGACCTTTGGAGGGCTAACCTGCTTTTATGTCTCAGTCACTTATCAGTCTCCTGTTGCTGCTGTACTAAAACCCCGCATCACCCAGTTCATTCTAGGATGCTGTACAACTCAAAAAACATAGATAGGTCAATTGAGCTCTTTCTTCCCCTTTGTTGCCCCGAACGATTAAAAAAGGCACCAGGAATGATTGCACGGTTCATCCTGAGGTTGTGTTAACCTCATTTATGATCGCACTGTATCATTCCTTAACATTTGATAGTGCAGAGAGTGGGTCTAGGGGCCTTCTTACATCCTGCTAAGAAGATATTTTCTCAATTTCTGTTTCTCGTGTACATTAGCAACACGATTCACGTAACCCGCAGCCTGGTATGGTTTTATCCACTCATGTATCAAGTACAAAGGGCACTGGAACGAAAAGTTTAGAAGGATTAAATTTAAGTCTCTCTGAAAGGTCAGTTTATTGCTTATGTCTTTACATGCCTTCATACTAAAGGCAGTCGTACCCTTCAATCATTAACACGAAGTGCGAAGGTGAGACCATAGTAGTGATGTAAGCTTTTATTACTTTTCAATTTTATCTAGATTTTAATAAGTTTAAGATTTTGGTCATTCTTTGGTAATAATGTCGACCAAATCCCAACAGTCATCTCTTGTTCTTCTCCCTCACGCCCATTGCATTGCTTATCTTGCCCCCTCCCCCCTTCCCCTTCCCCCTCCAACACGCGCTTGCCAGGGTGTGCAGGCATTACTGCGTCCATGATACGTTTTAACAACAAGATTGAAACTAGAGCACGTGACTTCTGTTATCTTAGCGGTTCCAATCTTTTGTTCACAATGGACACCCCAACAACACCATCAAGGACAGCTGATTATCATTCAGAGCTGGATTTTATTTGGGGACAGCTTTATGATGAGATGAGAAAACCAGGCAACAAGGTAAAAGACTCAAGTTTGCGCCTCTTTTGTTCTCGAGACGTGTTTGAATTGTAAGTGAAATTGTTGTGAACTGGTCCATGAGAAAAGTGAAGAACTCTCGGCTCCGAATTTACAGTCCCACGCGGACGGCAGTTAGAACAACATCGGTGGTCCCCACTTTGGGAACTATACAGCCCCCGAAATGATCCCCAACCCTGAAATGATCCCCAAGTCGACCCCGAAATGATCCCCATTTCTCTTCACGTCGACCCCGAAATGATCCCCAATTAATTCTTGGAATGGAATCATTTCGGGGTCGGGATCATTTCGGGGGCTGTACAGAACAAACAAACTACACGACAGTGACATCTGTGTTCACCTGTTTTTACAACCAGTTCCTTCACTCTTGTTCGGCAAAATATCATAATTTACGACTCTAAATAATGACTAAACAATTTTTCGATTGTTTGCCATGCCCTCTGTGATTATAGTTCATCATTTATGCTTCTCCCACAGGATGTTGATATGGTTGGCAACTACATTCTCTATATGGTTTACTACTTTTTTAATCTAATGCCTCTGTCACGAGGATCAAGGTAATTTACCCTTTCTTACCAGATCACGACATTGCGTAGGTTAAATAGCCAGCTTTTGTTTGAACACCGCGCTATATGGTTCTTTCGAACAACCCGATATTACGGCCCCTTTTTAACGCAGACCTCGGTGTAACAAGCGATTTTCTTTAATCTAGTTGTATTTAATTGATGAAACAGGGACCCGATATAACACACTCGGCGTTACCAGTCGCTTTGCACTTCCTTATATCGTCGGGGGCTCCGAGTCAGTAACATGTGCAGCTTACGAAATCTTTATTTTCCTTTTTGTACAAGTGCTGTGGCCTACACAGTAGCTTTAGGTCTTTTCCTTGCCGTTGGTAGAGAAACAACTGGAAAAATTCCACAAGGAAAGGTACGTGCTCCTGAAAATTTTTGTTTTCCGTCAAACGTCTCGATTTGAGGGCCGCATTGGGACTACACGAGAGCGAAAGTTGCCAGATTTCCGAGGGATCAGACGAAAAAAGTCTTAAACCTAAAAGCAATAATAGTATTAAGTAACATGGAAAGTTAAGGTCACATTATCACCAATCAGCCAGCTGTATCAAAATTTACAATAGTGCTTCTCTGTTCGTGCAGCGCTATAAGGTACATGGACGAGTGAGAGTTGGGTCAACTATCATGGGGACCCAGGCCGCGGGCGTTCAGTGTAAAGTAGATTCTAGCTTACGATCGGTTGATATATTTATTTCACCTTCTTGTTTTTCTTACTGTTTTAGGAGGTGGACTTAGAAGCCATGATCGGGGGATCCGTAGAAAATTTCGCCAAGCACGTCAAAGAATGGCTGGCGCTTAAAAAGTAAGGCCCTAGGTACTGGAAAATTATAAGCCTCAGGTCGAGGTCGAGGCATTATTTCCAGTGAAGTTGATTTAACAAATTTACTCCGTAATGATATGATGTTCTTCTTCATGGGAGTATGTAGTGATGTAAAGTCAACTCTCTCTTAACGGACACCTCTTTAAGACGTACATTTCGCTAGAACGGTCACCTAGAGTTAGTCCCCGCCTTTCTTTACTCCTTCTAGTTGACTGTCCATAAGATGGACATCTCTCTAAGATGGTCACATAGGGCTGGTCCCAATTTGTCATTATTAGAGAGAGTTAGTTGTATGAATGTAGTATTAAAGTTCAATCTTGTCAAACTCCGAAACTTCCACAACCTGAGCATAGGCTTCTTATAAGTTCGAATGATCGTTGTGTTAATTCTTTTCTCTTTCTGCAGGTTGTCCAAACCGGTAACGTCTTTTCCCTTTGTCAGTGAAGTCTTCCCCACTCTCCGCGCTGCTCTGGAAGCTCTAAATGTTCGCTTCACTGAAGATGATTGTAAAAATCTCCCATCATTTTAATTTTTTTAATAAAATGCACAGAATAAAAAAGCACGAAAATTAATGTCACCGATTGAGGAGACGTTGAAACAAATTTGATTTTTGTAATAAAGAGCTGTTGAATACTTTTGTTTACGTCTTGGCTTTACGAACATTTGTTGGTGAAGGGAGTGTCTGTTATTTGAAATTTAGAATAGTGTTTTGCCAAAAATTTTCCAGTCTTTATCAGCCGTGTTTTAATTTTTTTTTTCAGTTCACTTCACCTCAACGTATGACCGTCATGTATAATCTGCCTTTTTGATGTACAAAGCTGCTTGTAAAGGTTTTTTTGCAAATCTTGGTTAACACGCTAATCTGTTTGTAGAAATAAAAGAGGTAGGGGACGTTGCGCAGATTCAGATCAGCGGCACGTGCAGTCTGGCGCGTTGAGGCCTGTTACTAGTATGGCGGTGTGTGACAAGCTCAGACTGCAGACTGGCAGATAAACCAAGTAAAATGCTCTAACGGATTCCGCATTCCTAAGCTAGACTTTTAGAAGACTTAATATGTTAACCACAAACAACCACAGTTTCTTCACTTTCAGCAAACTTTACTTGATTTCTAAATCTTTGCGAGACTTCATGAATGGCAAGCATAGTACTTAATTACAAGTCAATAAGGAAGGTGTGAAAATATATTTCCCAAATTTTTCTCGGCCCGATTAATAATATTGCATTATTTGGTCTTGTTCAGAAAATTTGGGAACGATGAACAAGCATTGATACTTTGTCGAGGCAAACTACTATCAAATCTAATCCTGTCACTAACGCTAAGTATTACATTCTCTTAAGGTATAGTATAGTTACATCAAGTAGACTAAATTACAGTGATGCAGCCCTGTTCATTGAAACTGTATAAAGAAGCCTACAGACAAGATTAGTCGTGTCAAAAATTATTTAACAATTATTATTCCTCTAATTCAAATGGACTCTGAGTTAATAGCCCATGAGGCCAAAGGCTGAATTGGATATTGACTCAGAGGCCATGCGGGCAAGAGGAGTTTTAGTAAAATCCAACTAGTTGGTCAAAAATATTGAGACAAAACAACTTTAGCTAGTAAAATGCGATTCAGCCACAACTGTTTTGGTTTTCAAAGCCAGCACTTCACTACTAGTTGGCTATAACATATAGCCTAGTAGTAGCTCAACCAATCAGAGCACAGCATTGCTAATAGACCACTAGTTGGATTTTACTAATACATGATAGTCCCCCATCTTAGTCTTATTTGTAATCTAGTTGCAACCTTGGTTCCTGGGTTCTCTCTCACTAGGACCATAAGAACAAGGTTGTGCATGTTGCATGCATGTCCACAAGCAAGCTCCTCTGTGTATGTATTGTTTTAAAATATATTATTCTACATTACAACAACTACCCAGTCTTGCACAATTATTAATCAAATAGTAAAATAAGATAAGTAAAGCAAATTAATTTTAAAATGCTGCTTTTGCAACATGAGGCATCAAGATGCCAATGGCGAAGAGATAAATTTATTCATACCAGACCTTTTTTCATGGATTCCTTACAAAAAATACAATTTGCATTAAAAAAGAGTCAATGTCTTGTAAGTATCACTGCTCACATAAACCTACACGCACTCTGACCAGCCAAGTATAACCACAAACAAGAGATTCCTTGGTTCTGAGGCAGCGCTTTCAAATAAGGAATCCAAGACCATTAAAGTACACCATACTTTTCTCCTGTTAAAGGGTTTCTTCCACAACAACCAAAGTTGAGAGGATATAGAAGTAACTGATCCACTTCCTCAAGCTTCAGTTATTGCACAGGTGCACTGTATTAACAATGAGGGTGTGTTACTTTGAAAGAATCCAAGATTAAACTCTTGATCTTATATTCTTTGGATTCTTTTCACAAAATACTTTGGGAACACACCCTCACTTCTAAACGTTTTATTTAAGTTTTAATTCTACACTTAATTCTGAAATCTTTAAGTGAAAAATCTACCAACTATACGGTCGTAATACATGTATGCCAATTTTTATAATACAATTAATTTTACACATGTAAAAGCCATTAAGGACAACCTTAAGTTATAATAACATGCAAGTGACATTGAATTGCTCTTTAATCCCTGGTGCAAACAAGCTATAAATCTTTCTATAAAGTGAATATAGATAAAAGTCATAATTGCATGAACAGGAGCAATAACAACCTACTATATCGTTTCACGTTCATCTGTAATCTCTCATCTGTTACACAAACTTATGCAAGACTAATTTTGCTCACTGCATGTGTTAAATGAATAATGAAATGCTCAAGCTAAGTAATACTTCTCACATTGGTTTAGCAGGCATGCAAGTAAGTTGCAGCTTCATTTTTTTTTCCTCTTAAATGGAAATGCAGAGAAAGTTTGCCTTCTCATCTAGTCTCTTTGTATGATGCACATGGCCTACTTACCAAAAATTTCAGTGCATATAAAAACAGTGAGAAACACACCCATGAAGATAGAAAACAAGAGTGAGTAACAATAGTAAAATCCCTAAATTGTGTAAAGATTTAAAATACAAACTAAGAATACCTTCAATCTTTGAAAAGGTGGCAAGCCCATCATCTAAAAGTCAAAACAGTTCTTAAACTGACTTATTTGTCTAAAAATTTATGAACAAAGCAAAACTCTACCAAACATTGTACTAAAATATGAATTATCTGAAGTTAAAGAGAGACAAAAAGAATGAAATTATTATACTCTTTTCCACAAAGGTGATCTTGACAATATCAATAAAAAAATTCAGTTGCATATAACTTAGAAATCTCCCCCCTTCAACCCTGTCATCAGAACAACTACACTATTAAATCCACCTTCGGCAGTAAACCTTTCCTTAAACCACTCCAAAATATCAAGCTTCCATTATTACATCTGGTAACTTTTTAGTAACAAAATTTCATGAAATAACTTAACAAAAAGGATTAACTATTAGAATCAAATTTCATAAAAGTGCTTTCACAACACTGTACAAGCTTTGTTGTGTTTGGATGAAATCTTACAATGAACAACCACTTAAATCATTTGAGCCACGGATGGTGCAACAGAGTGAAATGATGGCCCATTGTGTTGTTTACAGGCATCAATAGAAGCTCATTAGTGCTTTTATAATGTAATAGTAAATACTGTAAGTTTTAAATACACATGTGGTTAATATTGTTATTAGTATTTTACAATAGAGTTTTTAAATTATTTTGTGCAGACTAGCCTCCCCTTTAGATCAGCGTGCAAAGAAAGTAGAGTCCGATAACCCTGGGCTAGTGGATTTTGTTCTTAACTTGCCCGGCGGGCAAGTTAAGTTTTACGAGGAATTCAAATTACAGAAGAACTGTGAAATCAATTCTGCCCATCAAAATGTTTTTGGGGCTAGTTGAAATGACGTTTGGGCTAGTATATGCTAGCTTCAGCTTGCCCAAATGGCAAGCTTTAAAAGTGACTTTCTATGCACCCTGTAGATCCACTAAAAGAACCATGAAGTTTAATTTGCTGAAAGAGTTTTGTGAACCCTGCTCTCAGGGTTTCGTTTAAGCCCTTTACAATGGAAAACCATTGCAATTCAACACAAGACTAATAGCGAGTGTGATGGCTGCAGTTATATTTTAATTTGGATAAAAAACAATGATTTTTACTGAGTTTGAGAGTTGCTATTTTTGTCTCTGAGGTCTGACTATCCATTGATAGTGCTTGATAGGATTTAAAAAAAAAAACAGCCCTTCCCTTAAACACATATATCTACACTTGAGCCTCTAAAAATAATTTTCTAATATGAAGGTTGCATTACTTTCAAAGCTTAGTATTCAAGATCAAATACTAATATTTTAATCTTGCATACATGTCTTTATCATGTTGCCCTGACTACACGTATGAACAAAATTTCAAATACATGACAACATCAAACTAACAAAGAAGAGACTAATCAAACTATCCCTACAGTATCACCAACTTATCTTAATGTTAGAGTTATCTAAAAAAACACTTTATCTAATTATAAGTAAAGTGACCCCCTCACAGATCAGCTACACTGCGATCACACCCAAAACACTTGATCCTGACTAGATGGGCTAAATGGATTGGAATCCTTCTTAGTGAGAGGTACTCGAGGTGGTGAACTTATCTGTCGAGAGTCAAATAGAGAAGCAAAGTCATTGCCATTTGTTGTACGTGCAGAACTTTGTTCCCAAGATGCCGCTGACCAGGAAGTATTTCCCTGAGATGAGGTACCACTTGATGGCAAAGTAGCCTTCAAATCACTAGTCCATGCATTTGAAAGTGCATCAATCTGTGATGCTGTTTCTGCAAATGGGTTTACAGTTGTAAGGAGACCTTGGTTTGGTTGGGCTGTTGTCCCTGCTGGCTCCACTGCCTTTCCAGAGGCAGTTGCCAGCCACATCTCAGCATCAGAAAGTCGTGGTTGTGGCTTAACTGGATGTGGCTGCTGGGTAGGGGTGCTCCATTGGGTGGGTCCCTTGACTTGAGGTGACGCTGAAGAGGAAGCAAATGGCTGTGATGGTACTGCTGCTGTACTTGGTACATTACTTCCTCTACTCAAGTTCAGCAATGTATTAGGGGCTTGTACAGATGATGGTGAATTTGCACCCAACCCATTGTACATGTTGTTTGGTTGCCTTGGAGTACTGCTCTGTGGCCCAGTGGGTTGAGCCCCAGATGTTGTGAATGGTGTGTTGTTCTGCAGTGTGATGGCATCCATAGGTGGAGGCAACTGAGGAACAGATGGCTCCTCTGTAAGGGTCTCATAGCCACTTGTATCTCCACGAAGAGGCATAAAAGAAAGAGGATTGGAGCGATATCTCAGAGACATATGACGAGTAAAAGGTGATGGGTTGAATGGTTGTGGGCGTGGCCTTGCAACTGAAGGTGGGGGCTTAAGAATGGGAGTAGCTGCATTGCTTTGCTTTGGTTGGCTTGAAGATGGCAACTGCTGTTGCGGTGTTGAAGTAACCACAGTGCCATTGTTAATTGGAGCCATAGAGACATTTGACGGCACTGCTGCAGCAGATATAGGGACTGTAGTTGATGAGGGTGTAGGGGTAGGGGTAGTAATTTTCCCTGGAGAAGGCTGCTGAGGTGCTGGTTGATTTGATGGACTTGTCCCGTTCACCAGTGGTGCAGTGCTTGAAGTACTGAGTGTGGCAGTTGCTGAGGCAGAAGGCTGCCCTCCTTGGTGTTGTTGCTGCTGCTGCTGCTGCTACAATTGGAAACAAACAAATACACACAAAAAGTGAGAATAAGATAAGAAGAACAGGTTTTGACTTCTTGATGTATGGTATGGCACTTCATACCAAAAAGGCAATAATTTATTATATGCAGCTAAAAAATACAATTATTATCAATAAATAACAGCCAGGGAACCGAGAGTTCTTTCTACCTCTTAAAAAGAATACAGTACTTTTAAGAACTTGAGTCTAAAGGAGTTAAAGACAAGAGCAGCACTTTTTCAATAATGTTGGAATGTATGGCAAGATGTTTGACTTTGAAGCAGCTGTGGAAGTAATATTACTTGTACTCTTATGAATAGGTTGAGGATATGACACACAAAAAATGGTGTCACCGTTACCCCAAGCAAATAACATCAAGTCAAAAAACTGTTTGGACCTTCACCACAGTAGGAACATGATACGTCATCCAGAACAACCAACCTCTTTATGCTGTTGTTGTAGAGCTTGAGCCTTCTGTTTCCTCTGAAGACATGCAGTAAAAGCACAGCCAACAGCATGGCTCAGACGTTCTCCCTGAAGCAAAAAAAGAAGGGTACAATCTTGACTTGAACAAAGTACAGAATCTTTGAAAATGGAAATCCATACACTACCACATGACAGTTCTAACATGAGATATGCTACACAACTCAACATTGTTTGTTAAAGGAGATTGCTACAAAGAAGGTCGAACACTCACTGTGTCTCTCATGGCTATAAAACAGTGACAAATCCATCGTCTTGTGGTTCCATCACGACAGATGTATGAGAACACTCGCTCATTACTGGGATCAGGGGTACAAAAGGAGACTTTCTCAATTGTCTGATCAATAACAAGTGACTGAAACATAGAAGTGACAATGGCATTAATCACTGATTCACAACAATCAACAAATTAGGAGCAAGAATGATTAGATAATATATACATGTACAATAAACTGGCACAAAATTTTCCTACAAAGATACGACAAAGTCTTCTGCTGGATAAATGATTAATATTTCTTATTATTCATTCAAAGTATTTCCCCGATTCTGACTGGCTAAAAGCACACGCATAATTCACCATAAACAGCTACTGATGACTAAATTTGGAAGAATTTTGTGTTTAATGAACCGATGACGTCAAAAGTGCAGCTTTCTTGCAGGTTAATGCAACGTTAACCGAGAAGACCTGGGACGAGGTTGAGTTGTTTTGGTTGTGAAAACAGAAATGGGGGACATTTCACTTGTTTCAAGAGTAAGATCTAGGCAAAATAATAGCTAAACACATGGCAATAACAGCAAGAGGACAACTCAAAGGGCGATATCTGCTATTTGGAGAATATTTGCAGAGCTTAACAACCCTAAACATGCAGTATCGAAGATGAACATCGATGGATCGATGGAGGTAAGCATGTTCTAGCCAAGTTTTTAAACTAGGAACTATTTTGAATGAATAATAAAACAATTATTGAATTCATGCAGCTTTCGTATCATATGAAGAATTATGGAGATCTTGGAGGGTGTTGTCGGTCGAGGCTGTAATACCCTACTCGATCTCTATAATTCTTCATAAGATACTCAGCCTCATTCACTAATTGTTAAATTATTAAAAGGCTGACATAAATTTTATCCAAAATTCAAATTGCATTCAACACCAGCACTTCCTCACCAGAAATGAAAAATGAAACAATCTGTATAATTAATTATGAACATCCCAGATTCAGGGTCCATCACCTATATTCTGCTATGGAGTTTTGTTTAAAATAATTAGCTCACAACTTTAAAAATATTGTCATCTAAAGAAAGTATCTCAATATTAACCAATAGTGTTTCTTGTTTTAAAAGTTGATTTCAGTCGTTTTCAATAAAAATTACGCACTGTCAAAAATAACTATTATTAATCTATGAGAGGCTAGAAATTCCAGGCCCAAAACTAAGCGAGAGCAGCTGATACATGTATATAAGGGCACCAAAATTTCATATTATCATATTAATATATTGGGTTAAAGAATTTGAATTAATTAGGCACATTCTGACAAAGTTAAGGTTATTGCACTCTGCACCAGAGCGGACAGCTAAAATTCTCATAACACCGATTTATGCACAAGTAGTTAATACAGAAATTTTTATATGAAAAAATAATACCCCAGTATATTGAATACATTATTCCAAATTTCATCTCAAGAAAAAACAAAAAAACTAGAATTCAGTGTTCAAAAAATATTCTTTGTGAATTCAAATTAAATTCAATAATTTCCAGGCTTGCTTTCATAAAATATGTTTCACTTTGTGCACTTCAAATTTAAAACCCACAACTTGAATCAGAAATATTCAATTTCAACAAAATATTTAACTAAAATTGGTCACAGAAAGCTCTCAATTTAAAGTAAACCAAAGAAATACATAAATAAAATGTGTTTGGGTGTGGCAAGCAAGTCCACATACAGAGAGTGTGTAAGATACCATTCCACTCTTCTGAGACTAACACGATTTAAAGACTATCTCAACTGTAAACTTGCTTGTTTTGAGGTTATTATTATATTTCAGGTTTTGTTTGACTATTTACCAATTCATCTTTCATATAGAGCCCCATGAAAACCACAAATTGCACTGTTTTTCACCCAAAAGCAATTTAAACCACAAACTTCTGACATGCATACATATGATTTCATATATCATAACCTTTTTGTTTGACAGTTCTTTGCTTCTGTCTACACAAATGCACAAAAAAGACAAAAATGTGAGCCAGCAGGCATGGTGAAAGAATCACGCTATACATAAAAAAAAATAATAATAACCACGAAACTGATTGTTAATAGTTATCATGGCTTCTTTTATTTTTTCGGACTTATTTTTAAGGAAACCAGAAAACAGTATTATTGACTAACTACTGAAACAGTTTTTTCAAAAATGCCCATACACTGTAGTCCTGCTAATCAGCAGAGTGAAAATATAATAAATCACTGGAGACAAATTTACTTAATAGTTTAAAATTTATCTATGTAATTAAATTGAGTAAATAAAGAAATACCATCAAAATCTTCTAATTGCAGGAGGTTCAGGGTAAAATAGAAAGAAGAGCAAAATAATTATTTCAACTCTTGTTATCTTTTTCGCAAAATGTAATGTAACAATTCTTTTACTGAATCTTATTTGAGGCTATATTCATTTATAGTGACAAGCTCATTACATACCACAAAAAATGCACACACATAAGGATATGAATTATGCATATACTAAGGATTAATAATAATCTGAATCCTTCACTATGGTTCTCAGTCCTTTGGTAAATACTAGCAAAACTTTGCATTTTTAATCAGAAGCGTAGCGTAGTCAAGTCAGCTTTTTAGTCAACTGCGGCACCTTCAAAATGTCCCAATGTCTTTGTTTTCCAGAGCAATTTGAGCCAGTAGTAAACTCTCATCTGGTGAAATTAGCCAGCAGCCAGCTTTTAGCTACATCTCCGATTTTATGAAACTCTATTTATTCACTTGTCATCAACTTCTCTAAGGGGGGGCCCTGTGTAGATGGATTAGGGGACTATGCTAATATCAAAGTGTACAAGCTACTTCCTTCTTTCCCCTCAATTTGTTCAAAACAAAGTCTAACAAGGAGGGATTTCATGTAAAATACCACACATATTTTCCAATTTGTTGCAAAGTTACCATCAGAAGATCTAATTCTCTACCACACAGACCAGCTCAACACTTACTCCCCAATTATCAAAGCCAATGAAAGGTACATTAGAGCAAAGGTCTCCAACTGGGGCAAGCCTTTACATTCAGTTTAACTACAATAGTACAAGTGGGGATACAAAGTTAAAATGACACTGGAATAATAACAACTTGGCATTTACATCTGCATGTCAAATGTCATTGTTCAAAACTAAATATCTCAAAATTTTCCTTGGCTTTCAAGATTATTAAGAAGACATGATTTGAAATAAATAAAACATTATGCCACCACAGGATCTTAGATTCACAATAAACAAATAGTCATAAACATGCTTGAGAAGAAAACACATAATCAGCTTTGAAAGACAGATCTTTTAAATGACTGCCTTAAAAATAAATGTGGAGATCACTTGATTATTCATCCCAAGAAAAAAGTCTAAAATTAAGAGTATTCAAACGCGTCCTGTACTTCATATCAAATATTTCATCTTTAAACATTAAGACAGTTTTCTTTTACAATTCAGCTGTTTCTACAAAGTTCCTTTTTTGACAACATATGTTGTGATCCAGCCAAAACCATAAATGCAATACCTATTTTTGGTGTTGCTGCTTTTGCTGCTCAGACAGAATTTAATATATAAAAAAAGGTGGACCTCAAGAATAAATATTAAACAAAGTAGAGCAAGTAATTGAACTAACATCTTTGGTGTATTTTAGTGTTCCCGGTCTCGTATATTTAGTTTTCAATGACAGTAAACAATAAAAACCAAAAATATAATCATTTAACGTTTGTAAAATAGTATCCCAAGCATCCAGGAAATTGTCGATCCATTATGTCGACGTTCCGAAGAAACGATCGAAGTAACAATAGACCAATATCAATGAAGAATCCGATGAACCATTTAATCTCACATCAACTTTCGATCGATATTTCTTGTTGTTGATATACGGTAAGACAGATCTCAGGTTTTGTAAGGCAATTTGTAATTTATAATTCCACGTTTTCACACGCATTGCTGAGTAACACCGGGGTAACAGAAAAAAATAGAATTGAAGGAAACTTTCAAACGCAACAGCCATCAAAACACATAAGCAATACTGCCGACCACTCTTAAGTTTTGGCGATAATCATATGATGTCAGATCGTAGTGTACAACCATTATTCATTTCACACACATTGAATTTCAATCGAATTAATGCTTACTACAAAAAAATACATATCACTGACCTTAGTTTGTTCATCTACAACTCGCAAGCAATCCGCCGTAACAAGAAGTTGCATTCGTTTCTTCTTCGCAGTGCCAACCTAGAGAGAGGAATTAACAGGCCTTGTCAGATCGACACGAAAGTTATCAATCCAACGACTTGGTAATATCTGTCTATAAGCTAACCAACGTAAGAGCAAAGACGCGATACGGTATAAAAAGATGTGCAGTGACAGCAAAGACTTTAGAGGAAGACCCCGTTTCAGACTGTTATATTTAGAACGGAAATCAAAGAAGTTCATGTAGAAAGCTTACCTCTTTCATCTTACGAAAAGCCTCGGCACAAACTTGGGTTCCTCTTGATTCAGTTACTTCTATTGCTCCTACGTACTAAAGCAATTGCACGTTCTCAAATTAATCGAAAATCTGGATTTACTCACTTATATATTTTCTGTCGTCATTATAGCAAGTTCATAACCAATAAGTACAACAACAAATGCCAGTAAAAGTCTCTTTATTTAGAAAGACTTACCTTAACCGGAAAACTAACTCCTCCATTGCGAACTTTGTAGCTGTCGTTTTCCCAGATTTGCGGTCTTACGCTTTCTGGTATGTGCCTTTTTGAGCTTCTTAGACTTAAGCTTCGTTTTAACCTGTTCATAATTGGAAAGTTCTTCAAAATCTCGAGAGAACCGAAATAAAGAGAACAACAAATCCCCGACACAGTTCACAAATGCATTTGTTCAAAAGTTATTAGCTTACGAACGGTGTATGAACCGGCCAATACACGCATGCTCAGATGCCTATTGCGTAATGTATTCAAAACTATTTTTAGCGATGTCCAGGCGGATTCCTGACCTGGGAGAGGGCATGATCTCAGGTTAGCAACTTCCGATCTGCAGGAAGGTAGATACCTTTCTTTTCTTTTCTAGAAAAAAATGTTATTGTCGCTCTTCAAAATTTAACTGAGATCCGGGGCGCACTCAAAGGAAGTCTGGGTAGAGCTGAGCCTTCAAGGCCTTCAAACCCCGGATATCCGCATCTGAAAGGGGTCGGGATGCTCGTAGTCTCCCTCGCAGCCGTTTTTAGTATCGTCACGCAACGCTCCCCTTTGTGGGGAGGAGCGTTGCGTGACGATACTAAAAACGGCTGCGAGGGAGACTAGGATGCTCGTTGTCTCACTTAGGGGTGTAAGTTTCGGATTTTGGTCTCACTTAGGGTCTTCTGGGCAAAACACCATCATATTTAGCCGTGAAGGTCTCGTTTAGGGTTGCACGCGAAAAAATATAACAATATATAACTGATATGTATATTTTTATTGCGTTTTATTTACTCCATTCATATAATCCAAGTTTTTTTCATTTGTCTGTGTTTTAGCATGGTCTCTTTTAGGGGTCAAAAAAAGATTGGGCGGTTGGGCGACACCCAGATCGGTCTCCTTTAGGGGTTTAATTCAAAATTTCCGACGAGCATCCCCACCCCTTTCATATGCGGAGTGCCCCCGGGCTTCAAACCCTGTTAAAGACAAAAAATGCTCATTTTGATGCTCTGTTTAAGACAGGAGACACTACTTTCTGACCCTGACTTGTTTTGTTTTGCATACCGGTTTAAGTAATTTTTCCAACTAAAATCGTGGAAATGGATCTTTCGGGAAAAAAAATTATTGGTATTGCAAATGTAGACCGCTCATCGCAAGTCTTCACACTCTTTGAAATGCTTCCAGTCCAAAAAGACACCCTGTTCAAGACACTTAATGGTGAAATTATACACCCTGTTTAAGACTCAAGACCTTTGCCAAACCCTGTTCAGCAGCGTATACCCGCATAGGCCAAATAAGGGAGTGCCACCCCCGGGACTGAGATCAGGCCAAACTTTAGCAGCTCTCATAAATTGTTTCCGATGGGTCCCCGCTGTAAAGAAAGGTTCAAGGAATTTTTAAAAAAACGACGAGATGTCTCAACCTCCTCCCCAGTGAGAAGACCTTGTGGACGAGGTTGGATGTCTAAGAAGACAGAAAAGCTAAAACAATGCTTATTTTTTTTCAGACTTTTCAAACAATACTCGGCTGGCAAGACCAACCCTATTCAGGTTTACAGGGGTTTTTTTACATGTAAATGGCATTGCAATATTATATAGATGGAGAATGTCGCAATAAAAATTGTCTTTCGGTGAACAAACACCTATGTTAAAGGGAAAAAATCTGGCTCCAGCAGCTAATTGACTGTTAAAACTGTTAATTTTGCTGATTTTTGGCTAGTTCATCAGACGATTCGTAGATTTGTATCAGGCTTTCTTATCTCTTCTTAAACGTATTATAGGCGTGATCTGAGTTTACTTAAAATATGCAGAAGTTGCGAGAAAAAATGATGTCATCTTTGCTTGATTTGCTTGATAAGAATCAGAAAGCTTTGCGACCAACCCTTCCTCTGAAATTTAGGAATCAAGAGACTAAAAATTGAAGGCAACTGATTCCTGATTTGCAGGAATCAGACATACACTTAATAACTATCGTCGGCCATCGTCGTACGCGTTCGGACACGATTTGGAATCGACAATTTCTATCTCGCGCCTGCAGTATGTCAGAAGCTTCTCGGCAGTGCAACAACAGTAAAATCCAGATTAAAGCTAGTTTTACGATTATAGCGTTGTCGAAAAGGTTTCCTGTTCGATATAAGCACCTCATGTTGTAAATTATAGGATGTATAAAGTCTTCGTGGACCTCGTGGCGAAAGCCTGTGATGCGGAGAGAAAACTATGATGATGTAAACAAGTTCTGAATTTCCGCATTCGGTTTGCATTTATTTTGTACACGATTGTGCACGGACTTCTGCGTCCAATTACAACAGGGACTATCATTTTGAGTCAGTAATGGCAAGTTTTGATTCTCCAGATTCAAATGGTAGGTATTAAAACTTCAAACAAGAATACTATTTATACATCATAGTCTGTAACAAAAATCTGATTAGCGAGTATTAAATTTAAGTTTAGATCATTGCACGTCGCTGTCTTACTCTGACTGTTAAGCTAATAAGCTTAGAATGGAAGAATTTATAGCTTTTGTTGAAGGCCGGATTTAGGTGATCCTTTGCCAGCTCAGCTGCAAAGGAGTTTTTGTTACTTGCATATATTTACAAGAAAACCCCGCGAAAACAATGGCTCACTGTCAGTAAATGTCAACATCATTGGCCCAGTCAATGGCCTTAAGCATAATTATGTCGGACGAGCAAATTTCACCGCCAATAGGCCTTGCTTTGTATGCAAAATTCTTCGCATTTGCACTCATTGTGTGTGGGTATTCTTTTCAACTGTACTTACTGCCCTGGAAATTCATGTACTGTATGCAAAACTTCACAACCTTACAATTTCTCAAAAAGGCTTGGTGGTGTAATTTGCTTGTCTAAACATGCATAAGTCCTCTTCCAGGTGTTCCTAGCCACAGTCTGTCCCCCCTCCCCCCCCCCCCCCCCCCCCCCCCCCCCCCTCCCCCCCCCCCCTCCCCCCCTCTCCCCCACACCCAGCACCCCCAAACAAACGCCAACATAAGGGGGAGGAGGGGAGGTGTTTTTCTCTTGGAGGGGGAAACAAAAAAACTCAGTTTATATTAAAAAATAAGGGAAAAGGAGAGAAAAAAATTATGTAAAAAAAAAACAAAAAACACAACGAAAGCAGACAGTAATTATCGTTAGTCTGTCCCCCCCCCCCCCCCCCCCCCCCCCCTTCGGGCATATTTCAAGTCGTGTGTTCCTACATGTCATCAACAAGGAGAACCCCAATATGACTGGGAATATTAGGGGATGGATTGGATTCTCTTCCTCTGGGAAGGGGAAAACTAAAAACATTGTTTTAAGTTCAAAGAAAAGGGAAGGACGAATTCAAAATTTTTGTAAAACAACAGACGACAACCATGTGGATGTTACAGGGATTCTTGCTTTCCCACCCAATAGACTACGGCTACCTCTACCAATAAAGTTGCTATTCCTATCACTTTTTTCTGCTTTTCTCTCTGGTGATTTCTCTTTAAAAAGTTGCAGAAACGTTAGATAAACCCAGCATATTTTACCAAGAGCTCTGCTTTTGGGTTTGCCTAATTATGTATCCTACAGTGTGAGTAGATCGACAGCCATGAACTGTGTAAAGCTTTTTGTTTCCTTGTTCAAAGTGAACTCTTATGACATTGCATTTTTTGTCTAATTATTATTCAAAGTTGGGTCCATGGCAAACCTACCAAAACACCCATTGAGAAGGTTTGAACCAGCTCTGCGTAAATTTCAAGTTGCCCTTCCAGCAGATCTTGCAAGACTGCAACTGCACAAACTCAACATGGAAAAGGCAAGTCTGTTGAATCTGCAGTTATACTAAGAATTAAAGTATAAATGTAAATTAGGTTCCCTCACTGACTATCTTTGTTTATTATTATTATTTTTTTCTTTAAATTAATGTTCTTGCTTGGGCCCCTCTTACTAGTGTTTTTCTTGCTTGTTCAGTCCAAGCAAAGTCCTTCACACAGCTCACATTACTTTACTGGCAGTTGCAGAATACTAAATTAACCCGCGAGATGTTTTCCTCTTTTTTTAAGTAACATAACATAACATAAGTTATTGACAAACATTACAATACATTTTGTCTGTTAGATTCTGTTGAGTGGTTGGTGTTTTCCTAAAAAGTTTCTTGCAGTGTTTTATAGTTTTCAACTGTGCTAATTGTTTGGTAATTGACTGATTATTTTATACAGATTTTTTTTATTTCCCTTTATAGTATTATCGATCAGAAGCTTGGTTTGAACTTAATAAGGAACAGATTAATGCTGCAAGAACAGTCCAGGTAATAGTTTTCAGGCATTTAATGTTATTTGGAGATTTAATTATTAATTTGTGTCTACATATTTTTTTCTTAACAGCAACTGAAATCTCATATGAAAGAGATAGAGAGCACAAGAAATCAAATACAATCCTCAGACTTAGCACTATTTGATGAGCGAATCAAGCCAATACAAGATGAAGTGCGAGCTGGGGTTGACTCATTTAGAGAAGTTCAGCAGATGTATACACAACAGAAAAAGGGCAAAGAGCCAAAAAGAATGCCTTTTGCCAAAAAAACAAGTCCTGGTATGAATAATAATTAGCTTTTTTTCTTTCAGGGGGGTTTAATCTGGGGCTAAATGGGGGTATTCTATTCAATCTCTGGTAAATCTTAGTTTGGGTATTTTGGAGTGGATAATCATCAAAAAAAATAACAATAACCTATGGTGATAATTTTGTATGTTTGTTTTAGGGCTGGATGTTGCAGAAGTGTCAAACAGTACCCAACAACTGCAGCTTCAGTCACAGCTTGTTGTTGAGGAGGATGCATTAGTATCCTGGGATTCTTTGAATCAGGTAAACTTATCTTTCAGTTGTAGAAACCCATTGATTTGCGAAACCAACTCACTTTCATCTCAGCCACAAATTCACTGTGATGAATGGAAGGTCCAGTACTAAAATATACTGAGAACTAAACCAAAGGAAGCTTTTGTAGAAAAAAGCCTTCAAGGAAGTAGGAAATCTGCTACTGATGATGCCTCATTTGTATACAGTTTAATTAAGCTTAATATTAAATTACTAATATTAATAATATTAAAATATGGTGATATATAGTTTTTTTATGGTGAAAGTATAACAAATATCCTGCTTCACAATGTTTTTTGTTGAACTCACAACTTTTCTATGCATTATCTTTTGATAGGGTTTAGTGGAATTAAATGAACTGATTCATGATTTCTCAACATTAGTACATGTAAGTGTTAAATTTTGTGATTCTCACTCAAGTAAACCTTTGTTGCAATTCTGCTCTTAATTCTGAATGATGTTGTTTTCTAGATGTTTATTTCTTTTAAATTTTTTTACATACTTCAGGAGCAACAAGAAACAATAGACTCCATTGAGAACAACCTTGAGAGTGCCCAAGTAAATGTTGAAGAAGGGGTGACTCTTTTGGGAAAGGTAATATATTTTATGCAAAACAGAGAGCTACTCTATCTCAGCTCCTCTCCCTCCCCTTCCAAAAAGGTTGACCTTATAGCCAGAGGTGTTATGATAATGAGCTCAGTCCCCTCCCCCAAAGAGGATTGTTTGGTTTGGACCTCCCACCCCTCTGGAAATTCCACTGTCCCTCCATGGGGTGGGTGTGCATTTTCATAAAGTCTTAAAAATTGCTAGTTATAAATTATTGTTTCACTTTTGGGGGAAGTCAGTCACCCTAGCCCAACTGTTTTGAAGCCAATATTTTTTCACACCACCATTGTAACCTGGCTCTAGTTGTTCAGATGGTCAATAATGTTTCCAATGGATAAATCACTATCCACTGGAAAGCACAATATACTGGTTTCCCCAGTACTTATCCGCTGGATAGTGATAATTATCCTGGATAGCACTATCCAGCTTTTAACAACTAGGGCCTGGATGTGTTTTAAGTACTTGTGTGATGATTACTTTTTACTATAATCATGTGAATGCTTTTTAGGCCAGTAAGTTAAAAGCTGCAGCATATCCCATTGTTGGTGCAGCAGTTGGAGGATTGGTTGGTGGGCCTGTAGGTTTGGCTGTGGGACTCAAAGCAGGAGCAGCTATTGCTGTAGGTGGAGGTGTACTGGGATTTGTTGGTGGAAACTATATGAAAAAAAAGCAAGATGAATCTACTGACATACAGTTGGAAAACTTGAGTTCAAGGAAAGAAGCGAATAAAGAGCATTGACGGTGCAGAGGACAGTTAACCATCATAATTTAAAGCAAATTAATGTAGTAGGAAGAAGAGCACCAGCGATAAATGCAATGACTTCTGTGTCAGGCCTGCTATAACAAAGCTATGGTAGAGTGCTAACTAGTGCCATTCCCAGTCGTAATGCTTATTATCACATTTAAGCCTCGGTTCCATTTCCAGCGTCTGTTTGGAAAAAAATGAGCCCACAAGATCAAAGACCAGACTTGGGTGATGGTGGAAATGGAGTCTAATTCAACCCAGGCCCACTTGATCAGTTGTTGAGGCCTAGGTATTAGGCCACAGTGAACTGTTAGTTGGAAGTCCTTATGTCAAGATCAAAACTCGAGTTTTAATTTAAAGAACAATTGTGCCTGAGTAGCAGAAAGATGCTAATGGTTGTCAGAGCCAACTGTATACCATCTGTCAAACTGTTGGATAAGTGACTCTCACCAAGGTCATGGGTGAATTGATTTTATACTCCATGGGGTATACATCCATATACCAGTCTTGAAATTTCTTAGCATGGGATATCTTCAAATGCATTAAAGAGCTTCCTAATTCCAAAAGCAAAATAAATGTCTCGATTGGGGTATTAAAAACTGGTCCTTTTTCTTCTATAGCAGCTTGTTTCTCTGAATGTAAAATATAGCTTCTGAAATGGGAACTAGTTCCCTAGAGTACTGTAGGAGTCCAAACACATCCCTTACATTCATTTTTGGAGAATCAAGAGGAGAACATGGCCTTTCCAACAAGCACCATGTATACAGTACAAAGTTATTCATGCAATTTACTCTGTCACAACAATAGCCTACTCTGAAGGCTACTTTATTAGAAAACACAGCTGTTTAAGTACTTAACATTACATTGTTTATAAATAGACGTGACTCACCAACGTTATAACAAAACAATCACAGAATTGAAACCATATGAAGTAATAAAGGTAACAGGTCCAAATTTAATAATATCATTCAGTGTTTAAGCGGAAGTTATAATGTTTGCTTTTCTCTTGATTGTTTTGAGTAATAATAAAATTAATTTACACTGAATTTTTAAAGGCCTCCAGAAACAAAGTAACTAATGGTAAAATGACCCAACTAAAATTCGTTTAGGTCTTGAAAGAACTTTGATCTACTATTTAAACATAACATAACAAAACCATTTTGTTTTTCTTTTCTGTGTGGTATAAGTGACATTTTCATTTATTGGGAGTGAGGGTTAGGAAAAATTCTTTCTGTGCACCCTCCATCCCTGAGCCAAGGGCACTTGATCCAGACAATATTTTATTTTCAATTAGAAATGAAAAACTGAAAGTTTCTGGCAGTTGTTATAGTATGATGTCTTTTATTCAATGTAAAATTTTGTCCACTGTTTTACTGAGAGATATTTACAGAAAAATGGGAGGAAATGACTGTCGAGAGTAACAGGTTCAATGTTCTTGTACTTGTTAACTATAGCATTAGTAGTTTCAGATCTTTTACCAACAATTTTAACTTACAGTCTATGTTGACATCAAAGGCTATGCTTGAATACAAAACTAGTGAAAGAGGTATTTTCCCAAAATGTCCTTGTTATCATCCTACTGTCCTTTTTACAGTTTTGTAAGAGTATTCTAGGTTTTAACATAAAATAAATATAAGAAGATGCAAGATTTAACCACGGTTTAATTACCACACCACACAATACAGTGGAACCTCCATATAACAAAGGGCCAAGGGACTGGCAAAATTTGTTCGCTATACTGAGGATTCATTATATCAAGGTTCTTTTCCATACTATTACTGGAGTAAAGAAAACGTTTCGTTGCACCAAGGACTTCATTGTACAGTGGTTTGTTATATCGAGGTTCCACTGTATTAGTTTTTGTCATATAATAATTATTAATGTCATTTTTACTGATATTAAGCTTATTGTCATGATGTTCCCAAATACAACTCACACCCTGCCACTTGCCACATTGGCACTATGACAGCAAATGTCAGATCTCACAATGTTTGGTAATTAGCTACAATTGAAAACATTGAGTTACTCCATAGATGAAACAGTACATCACTGGATAGAATGGATGCTGGTTTGTAGCATTTGAGATTTTTAATTATTTTTTTTGTCATAATTTCTTGAAATCCAAGAGTAACATAATTTATTGTTTGCTTCTCTCTGTCACTGTGGTTTGTACGTAACAGCATGACAGCTAAGTGGTCTTCAAGAAAAATAGATCCTCCACTGCAAACTTAACTCTATCTTGATGCAAATTCTACAGAAACCTTTCTTATTGTATTGTACACCAACATGACTGCCTCTCAGTTGTAACATAAGTTAAAATTGAGGATTATTTTTAAAATACTGCTACATCAACAAACAAAACTATTTAATCAAAAACAAATAAAATTAATGGCTCAAACAGCACTTTTTAAGGTGAAAAATCACAGATGTTCACTACCTTATCAACTCTGAGAGCTAGCATAATCTCTGTTTGTCTGAAAACTGTCACTGAAAAATGACAGTTTAGTTTTGCACATGGAGAAATGCTGCATAGGTTCCACTGACAACTTCTCGTTACATGTATAGTAAGTTGATAAAATCTTTAGGGGAAAAACTTTGTTCACTGAGAAATAAAACCTTGACTGATGTACTACCATATCAAGTCAACTGATACTACACTTTTTCACCTCTCTCCCCCACCATATAGTTGATGTCCAACCCATTCTATTCTTCCCAAAAATATGCAGAAATTCTTATCAAAATACTAAAATATGTGACAATTACAATTCATCCCTTAATAGAGTGTATCTATTGTAACTGGGTGCAAGCTTTTTAAACACAGTCTCTGGTGGTGATGTCTGTTCCTTCTTGCCTGACCCACTGGTTGCTCGTCCTGAATCTGTTTCAGTTTGTGTCTCTGTACCATCACCTTGGTTTTCTGTTCCAGTTGTACCTGTATCAGGTGTTTGTGGCTCCTCCTAAAAATGAGGTTTTAATATTAAGTATAAATCGATCTTTTGAACTAAGTGAAATAATTTAAGAGAGTTATCCAAGGGCAAGCATTTTGTTGATAACATCACACATACATACATACCTACATACATAAATACATACTTTATTATACTCCACCCATTATCAGGGCTTTTCAGAAGTACATACAAACATATTACATAACGATCTTAAAATCAAATCTAAATGACATTAGAACTAAAATATTCATAACCTAATTTCTATTATACAGGCTGATGAATTATTTTAATTTTAAAATTGCCAAAAGCCTAAGATTTATAATGCCAATTGTTAAGAATCTCTTCAAGAAGCTTTTTTCAGAGTTAAAAGTTTAAATTACAAGAGCCTGCACTTCTAGTGACACCAGCACAACGTGCAGCTCATAGCTTCACAACTCACATATCACACTTGCATTTTGTGCAATACAGATTTTAGATTACGGTTAGGGTTCACAGTCTTCAGGGAAATTGGGATGAAGCAAAATAAACTGCTCTTACAGTTTGCTCTTCTGGATCTGGGCCATGATGGAACTCTCTGTGAAGCTTTCCTGAATGCAAATCAGCCAGAAATTTTGGCAGCTTTCCAGGGGTTCTGTTGAAAGGGGTAATTAGATAGTAAAATTTATCTTAAAGTAAAAAAGGAATAGGAATAAGGGTTAGGGTTGGGGTTGTGGTGTTCTAATAAAAACTCATATTACAAACTTAAAAATGATAACTTAAAACAATATTATATAGACAGAAATTTAATGACAATAATAACTACTTTGATGAACAAGCGGGACATTTAATAGTCTTATGACCACAACTCCATTTTCACTCCCATAAAAAGATGAGTAGTATGTGTTACACCAAAGGGAAGGAGGAAAGATGAAGGGTGCTGACATACTATCCTTTACGAAGTTCTGTAACATACAGTGACCAGTTGAAACCAGGCATGGCAAATGTCTACAGTCATAAATTACTTACCTGATATCATCAAACTTTGGGAAGAGGTACATGTGTTTAAAGCTGTCAATAGCAATGAGAGGAAGATCCTGAAAAAAGGAACCACATTTATACGCTTACATACAAAATCATATGCAATAAAACACCAGTAATTTTTTTTTAAATTATGCACTTTATTTGAGTGTCAATGTATTTAGCATGAAAGCACTAATTGGGGATGTTATAAGTCAAAATTAAATTCAGGTTAAATTTTTTTAACCTACAAGTAGGTTGATTCTCGATCTCCTTTGTCGTCTAGCCCTAATTATTCATGAACCAGAGCTAGGAGACAGGAAATTGAGAATCAACCTAGGTTAAAAAATTTTAACCTGAATTTAATTTTGACCAGGAAGAGGCACACTATAAAACTCTGTGACTAAGTCTGTGACTAGAGACAGGAACCCCATTTTATGTGGTCATCCAAGCCTCGTGAAGGTCTACCTGCTTGCACTGCAAAACGAGTACCTTCATTTCTCAGTTATTTTAAGAGCCTGAGTATTGGTCCAGTCCCGGGAATCGAATTCGCAACCTCCTCTGCAGTCAAGGACTCTACCGAATGAGCTAATCCTGCCATGGTTATGCCACCCTGTTATTACCCTCCATTACAAGACGTACATTGTTTGGGAATAATGTCAAATTGACTGGCACAATTTATTTCTAATAATGCTATTTTATGATGATGCTACTGTAGTTACCTCAATAATGTCAAATTGCCTGGCACAATTTATTTCTAATAATGCTATTTTATGATGATGCTACTGTAGTTACCTCTGGTCCTTTACCCAAATGATGCAAAGGGTGAGAAAACTTAAGTCCATCAGCAATTAAAAAGTTGACATTTCCTGGAAAAAAATTAAATGGTTCACATCACGCATGATGTAGACCTAATAATTTTATTGTAAAGAAATGCACTTTCACAGCCTGTGTAAACAAATAAACAAAATTAAAAAGCCAAATGTCTATTTCAGACATTTGCAAAATAAGTGTAACCTTATGCATGTAATAAGCCACTACCTATTTCACACCTGAATATACATAAATGAATGCATGTATGAATGGTAACTAAAAATGTTGATCACCTCTAGGGGGAGGGTAGGGGGTGAAAGTCTCACTTTATGTGTCCTCTGGTACTGTTATCTGTGCCGGCATTACTTACCCCTCTCCATTATAAGCTGTTTGCTAACTTCTGATTTGAAAAGCTCAACGCTGGCTTGATCATCAGGATGATGGAAGAGAAGGAGAAAAGGAAGACCTTCCTCTGTCAGCTCCTCTGCATTTTCAAAGGTGATTTCTCTGACAAGGGGGATACACTTATCTGACACCCAAATTTTGAGAAGGTTAAAATTTGTGAGATCACCCATGTATATCATCTCTGCCTCTGAACCTCTCTACAAACAGACCAGAAATCATAGTCAAATACGTACTTTGATAGGGCTTAGTCTCTAGTAGTTATAATTATGTAGCCAAAATACAATGAGCATGATGTTTCATACACACATTTTCCACTTACATTCTGTGGCCTGTAAACAATGTTTTCTCCTGTTTGTCTTTCTTTAACTGAGGCATCCCTGCATAAGAAAAAATGCCCTTTCAAAAATCTCTTCACTTTTAAAACTAATTCATAACATTTAATCACAAATAATCCTAACCATTATTGGTGTGGTCCTTGTATCTTTTATTCACTACAGATAGGCTTTCATTACCCAGTTCAAAAGTTAGCTTCTGTGAGCATGTCTCCATAACAGGTACCACACAGTGAAGTAGTTACAATCCAGATTTATTTTTGTTTTAATTGTACTTACACCTCTTTCTGTAGATATACAGTGTGAAGGATGTTACTTGACTTTTGTAGATGTCAAGAAATAGATATTGAAAGTTGATATATAAAAGTATATAAAAAATAAAGAAAATTTACCCAACTCCTACATGAAAATTACAGTCTTCCCTGAACTCATCAGCAATCTTAAACCAAAAAGAGAACATTTAAGGAAGTCAGCCTGAAATAAAGTTATTGCAAACCCCTTGATGTGTTCTTTGGGAAATACCATAATATATTGTTAGTGAAACAATACCTTTTCAAAGTTCCTGTAACTGTCACTGTCTTTACTTTCCAGGTATGCAATAACAGTTCGTTTTGAAGACTAATCAAAAACAAAGTAAAAGCAATGACAATTAGAAGGTGATAATAACTTACTTATCTTGGTATAAAAAAGGTGTAACTCTGTCCACCTCAAACAAAGTGCATTACTACGAAAATCAACACCTTGGAGAACTCACATCAACATTTAAATCACTTAGAGCATGAAATTCCTGGATTCTGCTTTGCATTTGATTTCTGATATAGTTTGAAAAAGCATCAATGGACCGCTGGCCCCTGTACTCTTTTCTTGTCACCTGAAATAACAAAAATATACAGAGCACATGTAAGATTCAAAGCATCATGCTGGAAACTGTACATGTCAAGTTGAATTTTTTCAAGTCAAAATACTGCACAGAAGGCATATATTCTCCTCAGGGCTCAAAACTGCAACTGATACCGTCACCAATGTGACAAACATTTTCTCCTTGGCGACTAAAAATTCTGGTTTAGTCGCCACTTTGGTGACCAGATTTCTCTATGATATAGATTTAAATTAAAAGAGTAAAGTTAAAACAAACATTCATCTTATCTTGCTTTGCTTTCGTCATAAAAAATGGCCAAATCACAGAAACAAAGCCAGTTTACCTCCAAATTCATACCGACTCCTCTCTGAAATATTTTCAAACAATCAAATCTGGTGGATCATGTCATACTATGAGCTGCATCATATACTTTATACAAACGGGCGACTAAAAATCTGCATCTGGTAACTATATTTCTCCAGTTGGTTGCCAAAAGACGCCCTAAAGATTTTTTTAATTTGGAGCCCTGCTCTGCGCGAAAAACTGCAGTCCACCTATTTCCAGAGCAATGGAATTAATTCAAACTAATCTACCTGAGCATTTCTCCACAGTTTAAGTGTTGGGTATTTGGTGATGTGAAATCGCTGTGCAATTTCTTGCTCCGCTTCACAGTCTACTCTACCCATCACAACACCAGTCTGCAAAGTAAAGACAACATGTGAAATGAACTAAAAATGGCATATTATTCGTCTTGTGGTATTCTCTACATGTACATTATAAGCGCTTTCTAAAGTATTCAATGAGTAGCCACTTTGAGTCAAAGATTAAGCCTTCCACAGACTTAAGTGCACTATGTTTCACTTAACCCTGAATCATGAGACCGCGAGTTCATAACTCAAAGCATGAGATTTTGCAGGTCTGAGTTACACAGGGTTCCTAAACTTCTTCCGATATAAAATTAAAGGACATTTCAAATTCGTTTAAAAGTAATTAATCAAAGAATTAACTTCTGTAATGATCATTGACCGGAAAGCATGGCAAAAGAGTCAGCAAAGACATGAATGATTTAATCATGTGCAATCAGTATCGTCCTCAATGCCAATTGTATTCTGTTCACTTCAAACTGGTATATATTTTGCCAAAGTTTTTTAGTCGTTTGTAAATGTTCCTCAATTAAAATTCAAGGACTTTCAAGGAACAAATCAATGAGAGAGAATTCCAAGGACTTGAAAAAGGAGACTCTAAAAATTCAAGGGTTTTCAAGTTGTGTACTATTCCTGGTTATAATGGGGTCACTCAGCTGACCATTCAGTGATCTGTAGAAGTGATAATATCAGAGTAACAAAGGGATTTACATCACTGAAGTGTATTTTTCAGAAATAGCAGAGGCCCATAGATTGCCTGTATAGACAGGGCACACTTGATATCCGTCTGTAATTGCTCATTTCTACCACAGAACCAGACTTGAGGCAGCCTATTTATATGAGTTAAGCTAGCCCACTTAGCCGGGCTGGCTCACTTTGCAAGGCTTGCTTGGCTGAGCCTTTTAAGGGCTGGCTGTTTTCTCAGGCTATAAATTGTCACGTGTTTGTTTTTTGACAAGATCCGGTAAATGAAGGGGAAGAAAAAAATATCCACCAAAACATACCCCTATGAAATGAATAAATATTGACATAACCAATCATATTATTTCCAAATAGTAATTTATTCAGTAAATAATGCTCTCCACTTTTTAACTAGGACCAGGGCCTGGAAGGCTGATTAGCACTAATCCAGGATTAAAATTTCATTCCGTTTTTGTATTTTACCTTCCTGTGTAGTGCTTAGAGTAACATACGTATGGTGCTATCATTACTGTTTCTCAAGGTAAAGGCTCAGCAGAATTTTGTAAGCTTAAGCTGCATGTTCTTAGACACGAAAACCTCACTTAAAATTTGGCTTAAACTTAATCATTTTTCAAGGAACCGGGCCCAGGACTGTAAATGTAGCTAGGGTTCTATCCACTACAGCCTTACTGGATATTCTTCCTTGACAATGTCTGATGCTTGTTCAAACACAGGAGCCAGCATTTGACTAAATCGACACCTGAAAAAACACAAGCTAATTCAGTTTTCTTTTTTGTTTGTTATAGAAAAACCAATAAGGGAACAAGGTGACAAACTAATGAGCTAAATAGAGTAATTCCTGGCATCTTTAATGATGGTTAAAAAGCCTATTTAGTCTAAATCCATCTTTTAACTACAGCATCAATATGACAGTATTATTGATATGGTCCTAAGCAAAAACACATGCATTTTTTTTCCCATAAATCTTTTCAGTATCTCCCCGTGATTATCTGTGATCTGATACAATGGAATAGACGTTCTTTTGATATTCAGACAAGTCAGCTGATCAATTAAAGTTGCCCAACTCTTTAAAATATTATATGAGCTAAAGATCTGCTATAAGCTTTCAGTATGCATTATAATAATAGTATGAAATACAGTTCGTTGAAAACAAATCCTACTCTGTAAGATATCATAGAAAAAGCTATTTAATTCTACAGATCAAACAAATAACAAGGGCTTCCTCTGACGTATTGAATAAGAAAAACATATAAGCTCAAGCTGAAGCGCCTTAGCAAATCAACGCTTCTTGTGAGTCTTACCAGTCAGCATAAAAATTGACGAGTACCACTTTATTTTCAGCTGAAATAAAAGAAACGTGCAATTAACGTTTGGATCCTAACTCTAATTCGAGAAAAAATGACTTGTAGCTCCAAAACAACAGAGTTGGTCATTGAAAACGCTTTATTTCAATAAAATAAATGTACAGCTGCTGGAAAGACATCTAAGTGTGTTTTAATACTCTTTGGTCTTACCTAAGATCTGATCGAAGTTTTGGGTTGTCAGCTGCACCACATGGCCACAGAGAGAGAAGGGAAAGGTAAAAATAGCCTGCAAAGGTACATATCAACTTAGTTTCTCTAGAAACCTTGAGGCATTTATATCAATATACTTCGACGTGGCTTTGCATTATTAGGAACCATATGTCGTAGGGGCAATCGATGAAGCGATTCACCAAAACAACGACCAAAAAACACTTGAAAAATACTACGTACCAATAAAAGGCAAACAAGCCACATCTGTGAAGAATGCAACATGTTTAAACAAAAGAAGCCGTAAAATAATGTGGCTCAAAGACCTAGAAATAACCCATGTTTCCCGGTTCGCTTACTGACACGGCAACTTATGAGTGGTCTGTTATGCGCATGCGACATGGACAATTTCAAAATTTGCACAATATTACTGCTCTTTTGATTGGTGGAGAACGAATAACCAATTATAATTCGTTTTACAATTGCCATACATAACTTTTAAAAAAATTAAAACTTTTGTTAGGGTTTTGTTGCCGCACATATACCCACTTCTGTTGGGTTTACCTCGGTGTAAGAACCTGTGAACTTTTTCTTTGTTTCAACACCTTTTGTGTTGATTTCTTTGTTTCCCTTGCTTTGCGTCAAGAGATGATTGGCGACGTCACATGACCATTTTTCGCGCCTTTTTGTAACGTTTCCCGTTTGTGCGGTCTGCCATATTCTGCTAGCAAAATGTTCGCCTCAAAACTCTGCTTAAGCTTCTGCCGGCAAAATTTTTCCAAGCGTAATATAACGTGTATGAAGAAGGAACTTTTCACGTAAGCAAACAAAACGAACTGGGAAATATGTGAGTATTTTTCAACACAATTCCTTTTACTCACTTGGAAAACTGATATTGAGCCAGTTTCGATATTGAGCAATAATGTGTTCTGTGTGTTTACCATTTTAAGGTACTCTACATTTTGGGGGATACATTGTTATAAATAGGCTAAAAACAACAAACAAAGCCTCAACAGGTACTCAACTGAAAAAGGTGACAGAAAGACAAAGAAAGTTAGTTATTCTCGTTGTTTATCGTTGCCTGAAGGTCACAGTGGAGACGTGGAACATGTGCGGTGTATGACATGAAAAAGCTGAATGAAACATTTGTCACAGTTTAATAAGATGGCAAGGAGTTTGCAGAAATGAAAGTTTGCCTTTCAAATGATTTGTTTGAGTTTGGTCGCTGTAATAAGGTGGACCTCAACAACTTGAATGAACTCTTTTCTCAGTTCAGTATCGACTTCCTCATGTTTTCTGTCTACGGATCTCTTTCGTCGTCATACTGTACTTTTTTACGTAAGCTCAAGTAAATATCTATTATCATAACATACTTACGAAAAATGCTGATCTTGCACGACGACCAATCCTCGGCAATTATGTAGCCTGGGACCGGGCTCCGCAGTGGGGGAAATATAAAGCGAAAAAAGGCGGAGAAAAAGTGAAAAACCTCAAGCCCCTTTCCCCCTTCCTATTCCACCGCTCCGATTTTTGTTGCTGTTTTACCCTGTTTTTTTTTTTTTTTTCATTTTCCCCGCTACAGAGCCTGGTCCAAGGTTACAGTTATAACGATGAAAGACAGCGACCAGAAATATGCAATCTAGAATCCTTTCCGAAAGGGGGATTGTTTGGAATACTCATTCAAACGTTGGGAACTGTGATTTATAACAACCTAGAGAATGGCGCGACTGAAGTCCGTGAAAAGTCAAAGTAGGACCTTTGACGTAAACAGAACGGAACCTGATGTGAATAAATCTAATTCAACTTAAAAATCATATATATATGGCTTAAAAACTTATCTTTCGTTGAAACAGTTATTGGTGCTGTGTGGTTTGCCGGTTACGAATTACAAAAAGGACTATAAACGATCAAAAAAATTACGGCGAATGTTGCTAACTGGATATTTTGACCTCAGTCGTCGAAAATACATTTCAGTCAATTTAAAAAATAGTAAAAAGTCATGTACTTTGGAGAATTAAGCTTCATCTTCACACAGAGAACAAGATACTTCCTATAAGTAAATATTGAAAAGGGTGAAATGTAGGTGATCACCCAAGATCACGGCACGTAAACATAAAAGCCTTGACCATAACGTAAAGTTTAATTAGAAGGGGATGTTGCATCTGATTCTGTTTTAGTGTGAGTCTAATCTATAGTTCAGACGGCCTTGGCATCTGCTCTCCAAAATTATTATAACTTATCATTAACAATCATAAAATCTGGACGAAATATTATTGATTGTTTTTTCTTCTGCTATATCCGGTTACAAAGTGTAGGATTTTTGTGGTGTAAAATTAGCCGAAAGCAGCTGACTTACATGAGTTTTGTAAACCGTGAAGCCACTTTATTAATCGTGACCTTCAACTCGTGGTCGTTGGGTGAGAGGTTTTGCCTTTGCCTAGCATTAAATTAGAGCAGTTTAACCATCTATGGGGGGTGAAACTAAATAAAGAATCATAGATAGCTATTGGCTGTTTATAGAAAGGCTTATCACCAGATTTTTCATTGTCTTGCTGCGTCGTCCTAGTAGTCAATAAGGCCTATAAATGTTTAACAACTATACACTGTTTTGATTTCTTTTCATCTATTCTCTGAAGGATCGACAACCAAAACGGCTCTAACCTGGAAAGTTGATCTCTTTTACAGAATTTTTAATTCCATTAGTGTTGGACTGACAGCCGTTAGAATACCAAATCGCAAGAACGCCGTGAAGTGCAAGACTAACTATATTTCACGCAGAAAAAGGGAAGAAACACTAGTATACCAGGAAATTCCTACAAGGAAATTGTACATTACAATGTAAGTTTATAGACGTTCATCATCATGCAAATTTTTTTTAACTAGCTCAGTTTAAGTTTCTTGAGAGTTTCTTGTTTAATTTTAATGCATAGTTGAGGGGTAAATTTATTTCTTTCCAGGTCCTAAGTGAATCTTAAAAGAAGGTCGGTTACGGCTGAAAATTAAGCCATGTAGTAGAGAAAGATTCACCAAAGCACTGAAGAAGCTTAAAATATTAATACTGATTAAGACACAAAACAACAAAGGTAAGGTCTGGGATTTTACATCTTTCCCTGTTCTAACTCAGAAAAGTCGAGTGTTTTGATCGCGTCTGAGTAAAGAAATTAAAAAAACTAAGTTTTTCGTTACAATGGCATCCCTGCGCGATCACGAACAATTCACGTCAGCAAAGACACGAAAACTGCAAGAAAAGCTGTTAGTCCATTTAATTACCGGCCAAAATCTAATAGCGATACTTCAATTTTGTTTGATTGAATCCACAGTCTTGTTGATAAAGTTTTTCTATTAACTTGGAAGCTTTACATTGGTTACGAAATCGTAATCATATTCTATAGTTTTTCTTCGCTCAGTAGGGCACTTATGTATAGCCATAGTACGTTTACCATATGTTTTCCTTTTTGTTTTTTGCAAACGAGTAAAAAACTCGCGTGGAAAATTTACCATGTAAATAATTTTGGAATTGATACAAGTCCTAACCGTGTCAGGAAACTGTAGAGGATAATCGTTTTATTTTCAAACGACTGTGCGCCTGTTATTTTCGATTAAAACTTTAAGTCATAATATTTGTAATGACTAAAACAATAATTTACACTGAGATAATTAAAACTTCAAATGCTCTCTGTTATCAATGCTGTTATTGTATGAGGAGAGAGTGGTTTGTAGTTCATCATTTAATTAAGTAAAAAAACAGTTTTTGGTCGTATCTCGTTGCTCATTGAAGAGAGGAAGACAAATCTGATTTTGAATAGAAAGTATATACAGATGCACTAAGAAAAGTATCTTAAACATGACTGTGTCTAGTTGCATATCTCACAAGATTCTTGTTTTTGAGCAGAATTGAAATAAACGGGGCTTTATCGCGGGCTGGTTATAAAAACGGAATAATTGAATGGACTGAGATCTGTGATTTTCGGATTGAAATTTTCGTTTCTATCCGAAAGCAAGGTAAAAGAACAAAGAAACCAACGCCTTATCCAGAATTCATTCGCACAACTGCAAATGCTTATTTTACTAAATACTTCGAAATGTGCTTTAAATGACCACCAAAAATGAAGACTGTGTGCTCTACTTTTTAGATAATTCAGACCACAGGAGATTTTATTTTCAATTGTATCAACTTGTGAAAAACAAGATTGATTAATTAGTAAAATAACACTGTAAGAAATATTGTATCACAGAACTTTGTTGTCTTTGAGTTTTCAGTTTTTCCAGCAATGTGCAGAAAAAGGTCTTTAACTGTGTTCAGCAGGTAAAACAGTGACTTGTGAGAGGTTGATTGGAGTAAAAACCTGAACTGAGTTTCAGTGCTGTTTTGGGCTCGCTACGAAATAGGAGCTGCCCAGTTTGGTTTTCCATTCTTGGGTATTGCCGGGCCTTTTCGCGTCCGCCCTTGTTGCAGAACACAGTTGAAAAATGGTGAATCAGCAGCGTAAAAATTACTTGCTGCACTGGTTCACTGGACTAGTTTACCCCTGTTAGTAGAAGAAAAAGTGGTGCAAAGTTAGCTTCGGTTTTCCCAGTGAAGATCTTATTCTGTACTGTTCGCCACTGAAAATTACAGATATAATAGATATAAAAATATCAAAAAATATATATATCATTGTCGGCAAAATATGAAAAGAGTTAAGTAATTCTTTTTTGAAGAACTGGTAGTTCGAGTAGATTTTAGTGTTAATGATGGGAACGGAATAGCCATGTTAAAGTACGTATAATTGAAGAAAAGTTTTAGTATACTACAGTGTACTGTACTACCTGGAAACTGTAAATAACTTGTCTGGCGATAAGCATTATATGTCAATGATTCAGTGAGGGTCATTAATCATGAGGCATCACGCAACGGGTAGTTGCAGAGGGTGCTACGTTTAATTTGAGTAAAAAATTGTTAATATAACCAAGAAGCTATGCAAAGCTTGGACTTGACCGGTTCTGCACTTACAGTAAAAACGTTTTTCTTGGGAACACGGAAGGCAAAAAAAAGTGTTTCTTCTAGAATCTAAATTTCGCTGTTATTCGCTTCTTTGAAGGGACGCCGATAAAACAAATTAGCTTAAACATCGCTTACTGTAATCACAAAATAATCATAATTACTTGAAAAATTGAACAAAACAATCAACTGATCAGCACCCCCGCGGCATAGATAACCCGGCACGGAAACTGAGTGCAGGGGAGATGAAAGCCAAATTCATGGGGGCGATCTTCTAAGGAGACATGAAATCAGTTAAGCCCAGGTGTCTGACCTTCAACAAGTGTGTTCTGTTAATGACGAAGGTTTTCACAGAATAGAGAGATACTGTTGGGAAGAGATAAACTTGCTTTTTAATCTTAAAGTCATACCTAAGCTCAATATTTGATATACTGAGTCTATCGGTGTACGGAACATTAGAATTATCTTTACACCAACCAGCGACTTCTAGACCGTCGTCAAAAGAAAACGTATTTCTATCTCTAATGAACGTTAATCCAGATTCTTAGAGGGCTCAAGTAGAAGAAACCCATGTTTACTAAAAGCATGCATACATCAATGAGAGCTACTAAGGTTTTTCCACGAATCGTCTTAGTTATGAGTTAATTCCTATGATTTTATACAAAGAATTTCAGCCTTTATCATATACTTCTATTTTTTTCTATAATAAAATTTGATTACAGTGTACTTTTGAAAATCAATGATACACTTTTGAAATTAGAGAAAGTTTACGTTTTTCCGGTTTCAAGTATTTTAAGTAAGCAATGTAAAGCATGAATTTATTCAAACTTTCTTTTGTTCTGTCCCACCATTGTTGGCTTCGGCTTCTGTTGCCAAAAAGCCATCAAATATGTATTGTAGAGTGCAATACAGGATTGTGGTTACAAGCATCGAGAAGAGTTGACGCAAAATGGTGCAGTGGTGACCGGGATGTTTTGGTCCGATTTTTCATTTCGCATATGAGATAAGCAACAGTTTCGGGGTTCTATTATCGACTCTTTATTAGGGTTTGTCATTCCTTGGACAAATTTGTGAAAGGGTTACTGAGGCTAGTGGCAGCGGTCGTATAGAATATTCTATGATCAGCGCAAGTCGCAATTTGCATATCCGTCATTCTCTTAAATATGACTCAGTCTGAGTGACAGATGCTTTGTTCTTCGAGTTAAAGTCGTTTTCCCATGGCCATTTCTTTTCCAGGCCATATCCGGCGTGCCTTTTGAACTAAATTGATTATATCCATAAGGATAATGTCATCTTGATATAAAACATCAAAACAGCCGATTTGAGTCGCGAACAAATTTTTATCTGCCAAAACACACTTTTACATAAATCGTTGATTGTTGAAATGATTGCAGAGACGGAGAATTTTCGTCACATATCTCAGTTGCTTTTTGTTCGGGATTCGAGTAGTTTTTAGAATGGAAATAGCGGTTTTAGAGGTGACATATTTAAAACACATAACTGTACAAGAATATGCCGGACAATAAAGCTCGTGTTGAACTGTTTTAACATAATGGTTTCGTATACTATTGGTCACTTTTTTAAGGCTGGATATTGTATTTAATTAATTCCAGTAGATTTCATTTTTTAAGAGAGTTTTTGTTTTACAATAATGTCTTTTGTGTATATTTTATCACCTATAACGACAAAATGGAAAGTGTATTTATTCGAATAACTTTTCTGTACTGGAAGTGAGTGATTTGTTCTAAACCAGTGGTGTCGCACGTAGCTAGAATTATTTTCATACTGAAGCAAATATCTGTATTAATCTCTATTTATTGCCCCTAAAAAACACCTTTAGAACTCAAATATACAGGTGACAACTTGTAATTCGATAAGATGAAATGAGTTTTCGGTTTGAATCTAAAACCTTCAACAAACTGCAAAAACATTCGAGTCATAAATATCGTGATAAGGCAGGATGTTCAAAAAATCTTCTTATACGCTGAATTACAATTTAATTGATGGTGGAAAACTACGGACCTGCGCTCAAAAGAAGTAAGTAACCAAGGTGTTCTGCTGGTGTTGATCCCCTTAGAACCTAAAATAATTTGCATCATTCCTGGCCGGATTTTTTAAATTTGTTTTCTGGTTATTTCATTCCAACTCGACTGGCTTTTTTTACTTTAGTTCATCATCAGTAAAGATAAGGCTGTTTAATATTTGAAGCATTTTGGTTTTGTTATTAAGTGATTTTAATTTTCAAAATCAGATTTATCCCTTGATAATGAAGCATAACGTTACGACACTTTCATTCTTAGGAAACAATAAATGAAAATTTTTCCCCTTATTGGAGGTACGAAAGCATTGTTATGGTCTTTTAATGTAAATTATTCATAAGACAAATTCTTGTTTCTTTATGCAAAATTGCTTTTAAATGGGGTGGCGTTTTGCAAACCGGATCACAGTACAAATTAGTCAGAGGGAATAAAGAGGCTTCTGTGCTTTTTCGTGCTGTATAGGGCTGTACCACAACGAGTGCACATTTACCCTGCAGTTTCACCACTTGAGGACAACAAAAAAACTTGATATACTGTATGTAGACGGTCTTCCCAGGATAACCGAACTTTAATTAAGTAAGCCTTGTATCTTGTAACATTTTTTTGAGCCAGAAAAAAATATTTATGTCTTATGATTTGCTGTGCAAGTACGAAATTTGGATCAAAATTTAAATTACTGTCCTATTTAACCTTGCAGGGATTTTCTCAGGAGGTGGCCAAGTGAGAGATGGCGCTGAAGTACTAAGGTTGCGGCCACATGAGATCAGGAATCTTGTCGCGAGTACCCCTCAACTAAATCAATCAATAGTCAACAAACGCATCCGCATGCACCGGAAATGTTTAAATATGGCTCGAATTATCGAAGATCTCTCGATCTTAAAATGCGTTTTATTTTGGTTCGTTGTCCTCGGTAAGTTTTTGCTCTTAATTTTTATCTTGTTGCTAATAAGGGTTGATTTGTCATATCATTCAATTAAAATAGATGACGCATTTGGAAGGCGGATCAGGCAAAGAAGTTTACAATCAATTCCACTTAGAATGTTCAAAAAAGATTGCTTCATTTGTTGAGAAACAAAAAGGAAATCCACCAAGCCATCAATTCGATCGAATTGTTAGTGGTGTGATTTTGTTACTACCTTGACCTGCTGATCCTATTGTGCTGAACATAACTGAACTTAGGTATTTATTAATATTCATACCCCGTTAATTGACAAACTATTTCGAAATATCCTTAGTACTTACCCATAAATGATAAATCATTCATTCCTTGGTGATAAGTTCTTTGTATTTTCTTCACACTATACCAAACCCCTAGGCACGAAATATGGAAAATTTAACGTAAAAAGTTTTTAAGGCCTTGGTTCAGTATGTAAGTGGCCCAGGGTAAGCGGCCATGTTTTGCTTAAAAAGAGGATTTTTGAACCTAATCATGATACAGATAATGAAATTACACGGCTTTTTTGTGGTGATCAAAAATTTCTTCCTTGTTGACGAAATAACAACCGCAACGTTTCATTGTGTATACACATTATCTTGCTAAAGTTTTTTTGTGGTCAGTGTTTTAGACAAAACATTTAATTTCAACTAGTAAATGATGTAATTCAGTAGTTTTCGTAAAAATATTTTGACCGTCACCATCATTGTTTTAGAGGAGGTTAAACTACGTTTAAAACGGAAAATCAATTCACGTTCTAGTTTTCAACATATGCCATTCAATTCCGAAAACGTTTTCTATAAAACTTTAGCTGAGCAATTCTCCACAAAAAAGTGGATATTCAGAATCGGATGATGGAAACGATGATTAATAACCGTTGCTATTTACATGCACCTTGAATTAAATATCTTGTGCATTTATTAACAAACAAATACATATCGGTTTACTTTCAAGAAATTTTAAACGTTGTAAGAAACACTTAAGCATATAAGTGTCTTTGCTAGTTACATTTTTCCGGAAAATGTAATTCATCATAACAACCATAAAGTTCAGTTTACCAGTCTAAAATTGAGTATCATTTTCGGGCAAAGAAATTTCAACGATAAACGATAAAAACGTCAATTCTATTCTCTATCGCTTCGCTCAGCCGGATAGAAAATATTTCTGTTATAAGCCATGATACATGTACGAATAGAGGAAGCCGCCAGCAATCGAGTTTATTATTAGTTTATACCATTTTTAAGCCAAGAAAAATTATTTTCTCCGCAAGGCCTCTCTCTCATTTTGTGGGCTACTAACTCGAAGATCAGAATCGGCCACGCTAACTGGCACGGATTCAATAGAGAAACCTCGTTAGACTACAGTTAATACTTCCACTAGTCTGTGCTAGTATAGATTTTTCGTTATTAGTCATTTCGTTATGTAGATGGTCATAGATATTCCGAGTTTTCTTCTATGTAAAAGATGATGACAGTGAAACTAAGAATTCAACAAATTCCTCCCCCAAGACCTTTTAAATATAGCTCAGTGTTGGGTGTACTTGCACACAAACGCAAAAGGATTTTAGCTGTTATTATTTTCCAAAACTGTACAAGACTGCACTACAAAGATTTACTTGTTGCCTCCTAACTGGTTGTTTTACTGCGTTTTATTTTCCGACGCTGGACTTTCACTGAAAATTCTTCACACCTGGATTGTGTTTTAGTTCTGCCACGTTTTTCCTGTAAGTGATACAAGAACACACTAACTTGAACACGAATCCTCACGTAAGCTGCCAGATGGTAGCAAGAGCTCTTAATAAATAGACCTAAGTACACATTTATGTTAATTTGTTAGCAAAAAAAGTACTATTTATGATATGTTGGTTATTTGTGCACGGTATTCACAATAGAAAGGCTAAAAGGTATACCCGATTTTCGCCATGTGTCTCTTCTGTCTTTGAGCTAAGCTTTGACGCAAACGGATACACGGACATCATTGTCCATTTAGGTTGAATTCTTGTTTTTCAAGTTTCTAGGTTTTTATTCTTTCTAAGACAGTGAAATTCGGGTATCCATCTCTTGGATTAGATCTCTCTAGGCTCTGGTCTACTTGGCTCCTATCCAAAAACCATTAGAGAAAATAAGTGATCACAAATATTTGTTCATTCTTTATCCGTTAGTTCCTCTTTATCCGTATCCTGTCTGGGGATCTCCATATCAAAGCGCGGATCACTACTGGCCCATGTATAACATTACCGATGGTTTCTTGGAGGATGTAGAAGGTGCCGCGCACACTGTTGTCTACAATGGTGGGAAAACTATTGAAGTGCCTCAGTTAGGATATGCGCTGGTTTTTGATGGAAAAGACGACTGGGTGGATACAGGTAAATATATTAAGTGTCTTGTTGTCTTCTGCCATTTGAGCTTAGAAAAGTAGGCTTTTACCGACTTAACCAGGCTTCACATGTTTTTCATTTCCTAAGTTTCTAATTTATTCAGTATAGAAAACTTGAGCACTTAGTTGTAGCCAAAACCACTATAGTAGTTTTTTCCAGGATTTTATGAGCTATGCTTTCACGAAATTCTTGTCAAGCAAGTATAAACATCATTGTCCTTCTCAAATGCGCGACAACCCTATTTCATTAATCCAGTTACGACGAGATCAGTTTCCTTTTAAAGTTTGCAGAAAAGTGAACTTTTCATCAACATCAAACTCACCTGATTTCGAGTTCAGACGCCCAAAATTTGTTTGCACTTATACATTTTGCACATATTGACAGAAATCATAAAAACATGTTATCCTAGACAAAAGAAAAGGGGATATTGCTGATAAATGTCGTGTTATATATTAATTTTTTTATGGAGTAATATAAAGATATATTTTGTTGACAATTGACAACTCTCCTCTAGGGAGGAGTCGGCACTGCAGTTCGGTCCCCGCCGACAAGTTTGGTTGTAAGTACGGTCTCTCTTCCAACACCACCTCTCCACAACTCACGTTAGGGACACTGTCATCTATTCTTTGGCGATTTCGAAAATGCCAACTTTATACCAGAGGGTTGAGGAAATTTTAAATAGCGAAGGGTTCCCTTTGACAGTGGCAATTAAAGCTAAAATGTCATATTCAAAAAAATTAAATTATAATAAAATGAAATCTTATATTTGACGAATTTGGCGAACGTTCGTCAAATTCTTAGGAAAAATTCAAATGAGAAGGTAAAGGGGCCCTTTGAAAGTGGCGATTTTGACGAAAACGGCGAAAATGTTTAAATCTTGCCAAACTTTGGCGTATGTTCCTATGACTTGGCAAAGAGTTCCATTTTAGAGAGGCGATTTGGGCAAAAATGGCGAACATGGCGAACATTCTCCAAACTCTTAGGATTCAGAGGGGGGCACTTAAATTTGCTTGGAAAATGAAGACATTGGTGGGGGGGGGATCACTTCAGTGAAATAACATTCAAAGGGGGGGATCGGCTAAATTTCACCCTGTCTAGGCCCAAATCCTCCGCTCCCCCCCCCCCCCCCCCTCGGGCGAAAAAAAAAACCCGGTCCTTTGGGGCGCCTTTAAAACCCCGGGGTGGGAAAAGGGGGTTTGTAAAATTTTTGGGGGGGGGGGGGGAAAAAAGGGGACTTAGGATCATGGGTTAAGTGGGGAGAGAGAGGGAAAGGGGGCCTTTTTAAAGACCAGCACGGAGGGGTGAGGGGGGAAAAAGAGGGTGTGGCGGAGGATCCTCGCTAGACTGTGGGGGTGGGCAGGGGGCGTGCTAAGCGGGCGTGAGGGAGGACACAGGGGGGGGGGGGGGGACCACTGCGGTGAAATAACCTGCAAAGGGGGTGATCGGCTAAATTTCACCCTGTCTAGGCCCAAATCCTCCGCCCCCCCCCCCCCCCGCCTTCGGCGATAAATAATGACCGGTACCTTAGGACGACTGTAAAACCCTGGAGTTGGAAACGATGGTTATGTAAATTTCTGGGGGGAGGGAGGGAAACAAGGTGCATTATGATCTATGTGTAAGTAGTGAATGAGATGGCAACGGGGCCCTTTTAAAGTGGCGATTTTGACGACAATGGTGAACTCTTTTTAAAGTTTGGCGAATGTTGCTATAACGTGGCAAAGGGTCCCCTTTGAGAGTGGCGATTTTGACGAATATAGCGAAGAAACCCTTTGCCACCTCATAAGAATATTCGCCAAACTTTGGCAAATTTTCTTGTTTTTCGCCATTTTCGCCATAGCGTGGATTTCTGTACATATTTCAACTTTTTTCAGAACGCCACGACAGCTCTTCATTAAGAGCACTTTATATGTTTATCTGAAAAATAATAATACTCCTAGCTCTTTCAATTTACTGTAATAAGGTAAACGCATGAACTGATATCAAAGAGTGCCTTATTACAGGACACGCGATAAATGAATGTTCTGATTCCGTCAGAGCCAATCAGAAAGCCGTTAAGGATGTGAAACTGAGTAGTTATTTAAAACAAGTTCAAGTGTGACGCATAAAAGAACAAACAATTCATGCCCGTCAAAGGCTTCAGGTTTCATATTTACATGGTTTTCCTGATCTTCGATGAATCTGTTTAAATTTTCCTTTTTTCCCTTAAGTACAAACTGGAGTAAATTTTCTCATGTTCTTTATTTGATTGAAGAAACGAAAATCCTTTAAAAGCAGGTAAAAGTAGGTTCAGTGTAAGGCTTAGTTTGCTAACTAAGAGAAGAAGCGCTAGCCCTGATTTTTGTCAAGTCTATATTTGTTTGCAGATGAAAGTAGTTCCCAGGAAAGTCACTTTAAAACGTGATTTTTTTAATTGATCTATCTGACAGGGCTATTTTGAGTCTTCCTGGAGGCGGGGGAGGGGGGGTGGGGAGGGAGAAGGAGATGAAGATTAAGGAAATTAGGGTTAGCCAGGTTAACGGCAGCCAAACCTTACACATGATGACAGTGTTCCTTTATCACAAGCACCTTTTTGTCAAACTTTTTTTTCCCCACACTTTGATTATTTCAACCTCACCAGGATCTAACTCTTTTGAGTACTTTTCCATCGCCTGTAGGTCATGTATTTAGTAAAAATCATTTTATTTTCAAGTTTTCTATTTGTCTTTGATTTGCGTTTGATTTGTCTGGCTTTAAACTAGAGAGACTTGGCAAAGCTGACAGCTAGTGATGTTTACTTTTAGTGTCTTCAGTGGCAAAGAATCTTATTTCTCCTTATATGATAATGCCTGGTAATAAGTCTAAGTTTAAACAAATTCGTCCTACAATAGCATCATTACCAGAGGATATTGAATAGCGGAGAATAGTGTGGAGAATATGCATGTTGATATCGTAGGTTCAAGGCCCAGTATATCAGCTACTTTCTGCCGCGTTGTTTTGAGTTTCAGATATTGAAATTGATGAAAAATAGTCCAGTTAAATTAGTCAACAAGTGCGATTCAAGAAACCAAACGATTGTTAAACTACCCTGTGGAAACAACAAAAACATAGCTTACTTTAAGTTACATCCGTCTAATCTATTCCTAAAGTAGTTATATTTTTTCATAGCTTTAGTCATCCCAGTCCTCTTGCCAATAATTGGTGTAGTAAGTAAGTTCCAAGGACTCTTGGCTATAATGCTCTTTTTTTTTACACAAGTCTATTTATTTTTTGTTATTCAAATCTCATTGTAATCACAATCGACAGACGCGTTTAGAATGCAGTGCTCCGCTGTCTGAACTCTTCAACGCTGTTACGTTTTGTTTGGCAAATTAGTCGTCCCTCACTCCCCACCCCTGTACAGACACCCGTCTTTATGATTTCTTAACTTCTTCTTATCATGTTTGAAGGTGGTTTTAATGCGGATTGCGTGACGGATCCCTCAACTTGCCAAGAGGGTTTTACTTTGACTTTCTGGCTGAAGGTATACAGCACAGGGTTCATTATATCTTCGGGATCATTCACAAACCACAGGAACGGCCCTGGATTCCAGCTTTATTACCACCAAAGCCTGAAACGTTTCCAATTTTTACTTGAAACACGAAATAAAAGATGGACGTTGTTAATCCATCAGGATGTTGGTTATTGGACACACATGGCGTTCACGTGGCACAACCAGAACGGACTGAAGTACTACGAAGATGGTAATCTCAGCACGTTTACCGACCGACCAGTGTTACTGTCTCCGCTACGCCTACAAAATTATACGCCAGTTATCACATTAGCTCGACCGAGCACCCTAAGGAGGTTCAAAGAATTTGGAAAATTTGAGATTTCGCAGTTAGCGATTTGGCTCAAAGACCTGTCGGCAGACGATATCGCAGGAGTCTACTCCAGTGGAGTGATATTTTTTCAGGACACCATTCTTTGCTGTTACTTCAAGGGAGGTACTACAGTATAAGAGGAGGATATCTCTCTAGTGTAACGCTAAACTATAAACTATAACGTACCTATATAGCTTACTACTTGGAGTACCTTAGTTCGAGTGACAAACGCCATCACCTATTCCAACTCTTTGCTTCAGGGCGTATTCTAGAGCATTGCTCTGCTCAGTCCAAATGTAATCAGTGTAGCATCTATTAAGTCCCTTGGAAAGAACGCATTTATTAAGGTCCTTTTACAAGTGAATTTATTCCTCGGTTACAAAGTCTGCTGCAAATATTGGGCCAAAACACCGCCGTTTTAAGATAAAACATTGCTATTATTGCCAGACAGACATTTTTCATAAACCTTCGTTCCTAGATTAAAATTTATATAGTATAGTTGATGAATTTTGCTTACTTTCAGTGAACCCTTGTCTCACAAATCCATGCCATGATGGTGATGCGTGCGGAAAACTAAGTAAATCCAGTGAAAAGAAGTGCATCTGTCCAAATGTCAACTTAAGAATGAAAACATGCACAGGTAAATAGCTGCAATATTCCATGTACCATGCAGAATCTACAAATTACAAACTGGCCTCAAATATGCATGACCCTCACCGAAACAATATTTTTATATCTCACTCTCCCACTGACGCAACACCACAGTTTGCTTAGAGACTAACTTGGTCTCGTGATGTAATTCCAAATCTTTCTATTGATTTGCTGGATTTTTATTGAAAGTGACCCAGTTCATAAAATGCTCTGGAGAGTGGTAATAATGATAGTAATAACCATGACGTCTTTTCTTTCTGACGGTACTACCGTCATAATACCCTCATCATACTAACCACAGAAACGATGACAATAGAGTAGAGGGCTATGTATAGGATGATTGTTTTAATGTTGATAATGCTGCTTCTCACGGCTAATGATGATTGTGATACCCGTTATAATACAATTAGACTTTTACTTATTGATTTTTACAGAGAACATAACTGGTGTTTGCGAAGACAAAAGTACAGGCTGCAGGGGTTTTGCTGAGCAGTCTTATTACTGCAAACACAGAAAAATGCGTGAAATATGCCCAAGGTCTTGCTCCTACTGTGGTGAGTATTAGTGTGTTTGACAGTAACAATGAGTTGACAAAGTTTAGTGTTCGCGAAACGCTTAACATTTTCTACAATCAGTTTCGTGATGTGTGGTGAGTACAAATAATCAGACCGCCGTCTTTCTCTTCATTTTGAGACTATTAACCCTGAAGTTCAAAAACATTTCTGTCGTTCTCAACTCAAACTTTTATTTAATTTAAAAAAAAAAACAAAAAAAACAAGCGAGCTCTACCTACAAGGTGTCGGTAACTTGAAACATCGGATTCAAGAAGGGTTGTCGGTATACAGCGTAAAGTAAAGTGTGCGCGAAGAATTTCCAAAGCTTATGTTCCGTGAAAAGGCTACCACTACTAACCAAAACGTTCATTATTAACAGTAAATGAAAAAAGGTGCATTGAAGATCGAGGGTCAAGGTTTTTTACGGTTCGGTCTAAACATCCTGAATAAGTAAATCTGGCAAATTTAATGAGATTCATTAGCTGTATCCAAGCCTTCCATTTTTGTTTTCTCAAATCTGACAGCATTCTCGTCCCCAGAGCCACTCGGCTTAATTTGTAACCAACCACGTGACCAAGAAACGACGGGCTCTGGGGACGAGAATGATCCGACAGCTGAAATTGAATGTGAAGATGACGCATGCGCAGCCGGGTCATCAAAACGTCACTCGCTGTAAGAAAAAAGACTACATTTACCTGGGTGATCATATTTCACCTACTGCACAAAAAAGAAGTGTCTGAGCTTTGCGATTTATATCTATTATCTGTCCCTATTACCCAGGAGCTTCACGTCCTTCTACAACTCTAAAACCAACCTTAAGTACCGGTTCTACATTGATGTCCCGGATTGCCAGAGGATCTAGAGATCCAGTCACGCCTGCTCCATCCAGTTCGCCCTCCCAAAGCAAAAAAAATAGCCCAACGACACCTTCAAAGCGGAGATTACCTAGAGGTAAGCATGATTTGATTGCCAACTTGAGGTTTTTCATTATATGACGGACCTCCTTTTAGAGTAAAAGAGGACACTAAAAAGAAGCTTACATAGACCTACTTTATATTAAAGATCCGTAAATTAAACTTGGTTTTTATCCATGATGGACTGCAGGCAGTGCATGCTCAACAAATCAGAGCAGCCATTCCAACTCAAACTACTGTACCTTTAAAATTAATAGTAGTTTTTTCTCTGACAGGTCAGTCATGCAAGGACCTACAATGCCCTCCCTACGCAAAATGCTTCCAAACAAGTAGGGAAGGTGCGGAATGTAGATGTCAATTCTCATGTAGTAAGGAGGAAAGGAATCTCATCTGCGGAACCGACGATAAAACGTATCTTAACCATTGTGTCTTAAAAATGGAAGCTTGTCGACTGGGGAAATCGATCAGGATTAAATCAAAGGGAGGCATGTGCAGTAAGTGATCGTAATTGTCGTCACTGTGGCGGTAAAATGGAACTTTAAGCTTGGAGAGTTTCCATTAAGTTAACTCATTCTTAAGTTGTGGCGATAGCGGTATGAACACTTGTTACTGTTTTTATGTAAAGGGAAAGGAACATCAAATAGTATGCTAGTGGTGCGCCATAAGCCCTGGCCAAGGATTAGCGTTAGGCAATGGCGAAGTGACAATACTTTTGTGTTAGTCTCCAGTCTCCAGTGGTTGATCCAGACCTTCAGATAAGGGGGGGGGGGGGGGGGGGGGGGGGGGGTAATTGTTTACAAGAAGAGAAGAGAGGGAAACAAATGGGTGGCGGGGGGGGGGGGAGATGGCGGGGGGGGTGTAGGGGTGTGGAGTACTGGGGGGGTATGTTTGTTTGTTGGGGCTGGCGGGGGGGCGGGGGGGGGGGGCCGGGGGGGGGGGGGGGGGGGGGGGGGGGGGGGGGGGCGGTTATCCAGACCCTGAGATAAGAAAGGGCCCCGGCCTCAAAAAAAATTTTTTTCGGCCCTTCCTTATTGTGGTCTAAAAATAAGGAGGGAGACAGCCCCCCCCGGGCCCCTCCCCTGGATCCGCCACTGGTCTCGATAATACTTTTGCACCTGTTGACTTAATCAACAGATCTCAGTCGATCTCAGGTTGATCCTGTTCAGTCTCTCTACTCATATTAACAAACAATCCATTACAAAGAGAAACAACATGAGCCACACCCTCATCTGAAGGCAACTCTTTAGTTGTCTTCTGTTGCCTCTACTTACCCCCCTCCCCCCCAAAAAACGACAAAGTAACAATGGACATTAGAAAGGAGAGTTGTACAGACTGACGGTTTATGTAGAACAAAATTAACAACATCATACGACCAAATCAGTTACTAGGTCGCTAATTTTTAATTCCAAGTAAGAGGAAATTAAATTGCAAAAAACATATTTAGTTGTTAGTTCGGTGACAAGGTGAAGATGTTCTTAACTTAATGTAAAATGGCATGCCCGTTTAAAATGATTCTCCTTGTGTTGAGGTCAGAATTATTTAACGCATTAACTCTTCTTCTAAGTCTCGTAGAAATGTAAATTATTAAACTCCACGCAAGTGTCATCTCTTGTGAGGAAACGGGCTTTTTTCCCAGTGTTTACACGGATCATCTTTCTAGAAAAATATGTTTTGAATCATGAAACAAAGCAAAACGAACACAAACAAAAACGTTTCCGACGTAAATTTTTTTCTCAGAGCCACTGTATAGCAGTAGTTTACATTTTAGCTCAAAAAGGAACTTAAGGTTGAACTGATCTAAAGTGACTCGGATTCAGACCCTTTGGGCTTTCATACTAGGTTTCGGTCATTATAGTTAACAGGCTGAGTCGACCATGTTTAATTTAATCCAAAATATCTAGGCTAGTACTTATTTTTAACACTGTTAGGTTCATAAATTTTGTATCAGGTTTAGACAAAGTGATCTTGATTTATTATTATTCCTTTTCAAATAAACTTTTTTTCATATCAATAACAGAGTAAGTCGTAAGAAGTCAAAGGGAATAAGATGAAGGATTCAGTCATTGGAAATCACTTTCAAAATAAAATGTAGTCAAATTCATAAGAAAATTCATATCGTCCGTTTTCGTGTTCTTAACTGCAATTATTCTTGCACGCGCTGTCGTAATTAGGTTTTCATTAAACATGCACTATTCTTTGTGTTTACATACAAACAATTATTTCATTTAAGAACACGCCGCTAGCACTTGTTCCTATAAAAAGAAAAAAGTGTCTCAACACACCAGTGTTCTTATTATGTTTTGTTATTGTTTCACTTAAAAACACAGTAGGAAATCTTGGAGACTGCAGTTCACGTGAATATTTTTTCAGTAAAATCAAAATAATACGTTTGGGATTTGAGCCGAATCATACATTCGTGTTTTTTATTTGCGCACTTTATATTTTAGTTCAATTATGCTAATAAAAATGCAGTGACTTTCTTTATTGTAGATTGGAATAGCTCAAATACCTTTTATTACTGTCAAAGATCCCATTCGTTGCCACATTATTTTAACGTCTCTCAGCCACTACTGGCAAAGCGTTAAAAACCCATCTATTTACATTATTTTTGGTAATAACATAAGGATGAACTTAGATTTCCAAATATTTGATGAAATTTAGGGTACTAGTCAGTGTAATGTCCTGCAGAGACCAGGTGTGTATAGAGTCTGCAAAACTGTGGTCTGAAGATGAGTGGGCAAGGATAATTTTCTTCTGAAAAAAGAAAAGAAAACGTATGAGAGTTTCAGTAAAGGGAGGGGGGGAAGACTCTAGCCTGCTTTTCAATTATTATAAGAAGAGCTACTTACTCCCGAGGTAAAAGTGCAAAAACCGTTCATTAGCGAAAAAGTAACAAAACATTTTGAAAGTTTATTTATTGGTCGAGCTCAACCAAGAGATAAATCTATAATCCTTTCCTTTGCCAGTTATAAAAACATTTGCGATGTTGCGGTTGTCTCAGGTTAAATTTATATCCTTTTAGCCCTGCTCAGCTAAATGTGTTTGTAATCTGCTTCATTAACATGTAAGTGGATAAAAAGATTGTAGTTTGCCTGTTGTATTTCAGAATGCTCTTTGTTTCAAGTTGCTTCGTTGCCTTACTGTAATGCACAATTGTAGTAAAAGTAAAACAACACCATAACGTCAGCATCTAGCAAAAAGCGGAGTTTGTAGCAAAGATTTAAACCGAGTGGGAGGATCGAATTGAAAACTGCTTTCACGAGATAATTACACTGATAACTTTCACTAGTGAACAGAACGTTATAAATATTTTAATATGGTAAAATTGTAGACACAAATTCATAACGAAATTGTTTGTTTCTTTAGATGGCTGTCATAGTACTCCCCGTGCTTAAAGCGATTGCAATTAGAGACTATTTGCGCAGATTTTGGGCGGTTGGATCTTTCCAGATTGCTGCGACGAAAAATGTTTCTGTGTGGTATCATTTGCAAAATAAAAGACAGCTCAGAAAAATTACTTCCTCTTTCAGCCTTTTTACTCGAGAACGAGTCAGTCAGAAAGTTTGATTCGTAATCTGATAGGAACAAAAGCGATGCATAGAAAAAATTCACGAAAGTTAATCCAAATTTACAGCAAAACACGAAAGTGATTTTTTTATGGGCTTTCAATAATCTCTTCTTGAGTTTCCGAAGTTTGTTAATTAGCATTTTGAACAGCAATCGTAGCTGATCAAAAATGAATAAATTATGAGTTTGAACCTTTATTGATGAAAGCGTCAAATACAAACTGCTGCAGCTCAGTATGACATTAAGCCATTCTTCATTCTCGAGCAAACGAGACCGGCGCGCGTTCACTATTTGTTGTTATGAGGAAAAAAAGGAAATGAGATCGCAAGATGCTAAACTAAATCGACACCAAAGATGAAATATTCGCGGCCAGCATAAGTGTAATTAGTTTGCGGTGTTCATCCCCGTTGGCTCAATTTATCGACAAATGAACTTAACTCTGTGCTTGCTACTGCTGGGCATCCTTCTGTTTTCTTGTACTTGTATTTCAAGAGTACGAACAAACCGCCTAAAACGAAAACACAGGAAACAAGCCTTTAACAGATTCCAAGGTGAGAAAATATTTCTTTTGGCAAGTAAGAACTATAATATGTGAAATTTCTTCTTCGCTCTCAAACTTCTTTGCATGGCGAGTCCTATGATATGCTAAACCATTTTTCATATCCAGCACCAGTTCACACTTGTAAAAGTGGAGACTCTCAGTACGGGCACGAAAACCCAGGGACAATATTCTTACCTGCGCAATCAAACTTGATGATGACCTAAAACTGAGAAACTGCGACGACGACGATAAAAACGTCTACTGTTTTTGCAATACAGTTGCGTCTTATTTTGACTATTTCGATCTTTCATCATGTCTAAAATATCTCGAATTTTAAATTAGATTTAACTCGCAATCGGCGAGCCGCCAAAAGACAATTTCGTCTTGATGATTAGAATACATTAACAGAAAAACTGTTTTGTTATTGCTTGGGTCCAAATGTCTGACATTTTCAGCCATAATCGTTCAAGATATGTTTTGTCTTTACGACAAGCCTCTTTTCAGTTATCTGACAAGCAACACCTGAAATTTCTTTTCTTTTTCCGACGGAAAGTAACTCTTTTATTCAGTAAAGAAGCTTGGCTCATTATTTCGTCTCAAAAAGGATTCACATGTGGTAAATTTGTTCATGCTGTGAATGTTGACATTGTCCTTCTTTGTAACTATCTGGCCTTGTTTACTTCATAAAATATAACTTCAATGAAACAAATAACTCAACAAGTCTCCAAGAACTCTAGTTTTCGTTTGGTCGTATTATTGCCTTTGTAGGCGCGTTCCAGCTTAAATTAACTCCGCGACAAATTCTATAGGTCTCAGTGTCAATCAAAAACAAAGAAACGTGGCTTTTTTTGCCAGTTATACAAAAACTGAAATAACAGCTGAAATAGAGCTTACTGAGCTTAACGTCTGCTCTAATTAATGTTTTCTCGTATCATGATTCATATTTCATGTGAGGAGCGTCGAAACATAATAATCTACAATTAAACCAATATAAATATACTTTAAGAATACAGGAGGTGTAAATATACTGAAATGAAAAGAAATCGGAAACTCTGTTTTTACGATTCCACTGTAGGCCTCTCTTCATGGAAAGGTTTTAATCTAATATTTGATAACTTCTTCACCAAAGATTTTTTATTAAACTTTTCTTAATTTAAAACCGAAATAGATTTCTTAGATCAAACACATGCAGCCTGTGATATAACTTCTTTTTTTTTAATCCTGACATCTCTTTTTTTGTGTGAAATGTTTCCGCGTGGAAAATAAATTTTGTCCCAACAAGAAATTATTACGCTTAATTGAAATTTATTGCCCGATTAGGCCCCTTCCACACGTATCTGGAATTTTTTTGAAAACGGACATTTTTTTCCTCCGTTTCCGCAGAAGTGCGAGTCCACACGTAGAGTATTCGCAGTCGTTTTCGCCCGTCCACACGAAAACGCTGAGACGATGGAAATACTTAAGGAAATACTATAGGATCCTTAACAGAGCATGCGTAACCTCCGTTTTCGTCTGTCCATTCGTAAACGAAAAGCTGCCGGTTTTAAAAAGTCTCCACTCTGGAATGCGTTTTTGAAAAGATGCGTTTTTGGTGATCGTTTTTACCAGATACTGTGCTCAAATACCCACGGCATTGTCCCAATATTGTCGCGACATCTGATTGGAACTGAAGTTGTGTTGATTACCACCTCTAGCTGTCAATATCATTCTGGTATGGACTAATATGATTGTTTATTCTCAAGTGTTGAGAATGACTCTGTCGGCATGGTCTCAACATCCTCTCAACAGGTTTTTTGTGAATGTTGGCAGAGTATTGTGACTGATTGTATCTTTCCGTAGTTGGGACTGTTTAGTTCCCGAAAGGATAGTGAGGTGCTAATAGCATTTCCAAGTCCAAATATTTTCCAAATCTCACTTCCCAGGGTCAAAGCCCCCCTTCCAAAAGCAAAGCGGCCTGAGACGTATTAGACATTAACGCGGGGACCGCTCACACAACGCCGGAATGAAAATTCTTCGGGTACATTACCCCTCTCAATCACGAAAGGGCCGCAGTAACCTTAATCGTCAATCACGCGTTCTCATGTGTTGGGCAACAAGTTTATTGAGTCAGATTCGACAACAATTTACACTGAGTAGTGAATGACATGAGAGGGAGGGCTGGGTAACGGACTTGCCCTTCGAACTGAGCTTATGACTGATCAATATGCAGCGAGCCCTCAGATAAGCTTTGCATGACGTCACATATGATCGACGCGTAACTTGTAACCACACCGAAACAAAAGCGATTTCTTAGTGTAAGGTGAAGTAACATGTTTAAAAAATGTTGGTTTCAAATCAAAGTGCACATTGATTCACTCAGACTGTCTTCTAACGCTATTTTCCTGGTGTTGCGGACAGGTGCAATCACCAGTTGACGTATACAAAAGACTGAAACGACACTGCGGGGTCATTCAACAATACCCATCGCCCCCCCCAACCCCCCCCAGGCCGCGGCCCATCCAAACTCCAACCATATACCCCAAAACCGACACCACACTCCCCTATTCAACAACGAACACAACATACTATGACCGGTGATGAACAGTCAAAATGTTTGAAAAATTTTTGGTTCAAAACCAAGTGCCCATTTATTCACCCCGACCTTCTTCTAAACCTTTTTTCCCGGGTTTGCGGACAGGGGCAACCCCCCGTTGGCGTAAAAAAAAGACCTAAAGGCCACCGCGGGGTCACCGAACAAAACCCACCCCCCCCCCCCCCCCCCCCCCCCACGACATCACAAAAGTGAACCAACAATGGTTTCCACAATACCAAGAAACCCTCCTTTTAACTTACAATTGACTTGCTTCGTTCTTAGGCGTGCTGTTCAGTAAAGCCACCCACTACCTTCCCTTGAACTTTACTAGAGAGGATAAGACAAAATTAGTTGACATGCGGGGCAACGCAACCGGAATGGTCTTCAATACGATCAATGCATCGACCGCTGAACAAATAGGACAAGTATTGAGACTTAACGGAATAGATAACTATATTGAATTGAATAACCTGAAAGATGAATGCATTACTAATCCAAGCAAATGTACAGAGGGATTGTCAGTGGCATTCTGGATAAAATATACTGAAGGTAAGTAAAAGTGTTAAAGATACTATAGCAATGTCGGGTCCTAGCATTTGACCACTCTTGTACCGATCAACAGGAGAGAAGTTTCGCCGGTGCGAGAGCGCATCCTCGAAAAGAATATTACCGTGGGTGTAGTGATTGCGTGACTTTATCCGTCCTTGCTAAAGATCTTCTTCTCCAGCAAAAAATATCTGGCGTTGTTATAAGTAAGTGATGGTTTCAAGGGCCACCTTTTGACACATCCTAGCTCTTCAGCCCTTACATCTAGAGTGTAATGAAATGGTTGATTTAACTCTCCCCTTCAGAATTGGACTAAGACGTTCAAACTTGCAGTCCGCCTTTTAATCTCTTAAAATCCGTCCAGTTCTTATCTTATCCAGCGCGATGGCAAACCACGATGTTATTATTTAGGGATTGAGACGAGACGTTTTTACGCCCTCGTTTCTTGCGACATGCGGTCTCGCCGCTCGCGTGCTTAGGTTTCGCGTGCAGTAACTTTGCAAAGAAAAATAAGAGACTGCTCGCAGTCTACCCAGCCTCGAAAACAAACCGCAGACTGGATAGCCTGAGTATCAGGCGTTTCTGGGGAAAAGGGGAAAGATGGAAGCGAAAAAGGGAGAGAGCTGAAGGAGAGAAACTTTCCCTTTCTCTTCTCCCCCTCCCCCTCCCCCCTCCCCCATCTAAAATCTCCTTCTCTCCTAGCCCCTTAGGAAGGCCTGATACTCAGGCTACAGACTGGATTTCCGCCACTCTCTTGGGTCCGTTCTTGTTTCCCAGGGGAACAAACAAACTAGAGCACTGATCTTACTAACAGTTCATTTATTCTTTTTGTTAGGCAAGTTCATTATTTCTGCTGGTAGGTACACGGAAATAGCTGATGACGGCCCTGGTTTCAGGTTTATCTGTTCAAACTGCAGCAGGAACAGTGGTGTCCCAGAAACGCACAACTCAGGAATCTTTCTTCTAGAGCTCTCAACAACGACGAAAAAGTGGCGAATTCATCTCGACACTATACCGCGTTGGTGGTTTCATTTTGCGTTCACGTGGAGCCCAAACCAAGGGCTCAAATACTACAAAAACGGCAAGTTTGTCCTGGGAAAGAAAAACCCCGAAAGGTTTATGGTTGCTACTGACACAAACATTGCCAAAATGATCACTATTGGTCTTCCGAATTCACTAAAGGCTATGTCAAGAAAAAACAGTCGTGGCAAGTTCAGCTTGGGACATCTGGTTATTTGGACTCACGAAGTGTCAAAATATGATATGGAGATCGCATTCTTATCTGTCCTAACAACAGGAATCAAGTCGGTGGTCTGCTGCCAACAATTAAGAGGTGATGATAATAATAATTAGTTCCAATTATACATTATGGTCGGCAAAATGCAACGCGGTTCAGTTTCTTGTCTTAGGCGAAAAATGACCTTGAAAGGACGTGCAAGGGGGAAAAAGGCAGTCTATATTCTCGATTTCTTCTCTGTAAGAAAGAGATACAGAAGTCCTCTTTCGTCGAAAGCAAAGATAACGATGTTGTTGCAGATTGGCAAATGAGTAAAACTGCTAGACTTGGACGCTGAGTAAAGCGTAAAATAAAATATTTAGAATCTTTCTTCCCGTTTGCCAATTTCAGTTATAATCTCAAGCATAAGTAAGGTAAGCTCGTTCTACCAGAATTCACTTCGTATTTGCTTTCTCACTTAAATTTGTCAATACAACCGAGGTTTAAAAAAACAAAAGCCCTAAAGCCCAAACAAAAGCCCTAAGCGAGAAAACAACAAAATGAAGGATTTTGGTAATTAGGTAAGATAAGGTAAGATAAAGAAAATAAAACTGAATGCAGGGCTGGCACTATAGCCTCCCATGCAGGCGTTTTTAGGGGAGCTCGTTTTTGTGGGGAGGGATGGAAAACCGTGAGCTCCCCTATAAACTCCTGCTTGGGAGGTTACTGGCACTACGGCAAAGGGCTGATTTGTTATAGGCCAATAGAAGATAAAGACCTCATTTAAAGAGGGTGTAACACTTAATGGCTATAGCTAATAAACTTGTGGCCTTCTAAAATACTAAAGAAATTAATTAATGGATAATACTAAACTGTATAGAGTGATTTTACTTGAACCGCGAGACAGATGCTAACAAATAGTGAAAAATAGCCAGAGGTATAAAACAAAAGAAGATAATGGAATTAGTGCGTAATAGTGCGTAATATTCTACTACCTATTACACGGGTCAAGTAAAATCACTCTAAAATACACGATATAACTACATAATTTAAATAGATAATACTAAGCTATAAGAAATTACAAGTAAATGACGTCGTCATTCAATTGCCCTTTTATTCAGAGGACCCGTGCGTCCGTAATCCGTGTCATGACGGTGCCACGTGTCAGCGGATGGACACGGGAGACAAATACCAATGCATCTGCCCAGACACAGTCGACCATAACGTGGGACGCTGTTCCGGAGGTAAGCCTAAAATGTTCTTACGTGTAGCATCATACATTAGCTTATGTAACAATACCTGAACAATGTTTACGGGGACAATCTCTGACGTTTACATAATTAGGATGGCTAAGAATTCATAACCGTTACCACAGAAAAATAACATACATATGATAAATATCTCTCTAAACAAATACTGACATTAGAAAGAATCTTTGATTTATACCTTTTCTTCCTGGGTATATGGTCTTTCCATCTAATGAAAATCGATTAGCAGTATAATAGTATCTATTATCAGAATCGCAGAATTGAAGAATTCACTCCTCCCTGTCCTATTCTGTCAATGTATAAGCCTGTTGTGAGAGCATTTTTGATGACAAATAAATTTTGTCATTTTTGTATTTAACTGGTGCTTTTGGAAAGAAAGATCTTTGTTGATTATATAAAAAAGACTTGTATCTGCAATAAAGGTGAAAGTTCAAGCACAATATTTTGATTGTTACTTAACTTAGTGCTCCTGAACTTGGTTTGATTATAGAGGAAAAGTTTGCTGAGCATTGTGAAGACAAGTCGGATCAGTGTGAGAAGTTAGCGAGTCAAGAAGGTTTTTGTGATTACCGCTGGAGGCGTATGAAAAAAATTTGCCCAAAGGCCTGCAAACTTTGCGGTAAGTGATATACTTAATATTCCAGCTAATTTATAAGCACTGCTGAGGTACCTCTGTGAGGATAACACTAATACCTTCTCTTACTTTTCTTACCTCTACTATATTTCTGCTTCTTTGCTACTACTACTACTCCTACTCCTACTCCTACTCCTACTCCTACTCCTACTCCTACTCCTACTCCTACTCCTACTCCTACTCCTACTCCTGCTCCTACTCCTACTCCTACTCCTCGAGTCGCATGTCTCATGGTAAATATGATGTTGAATTGCTTATTGTGAAAAAAACTCTTGGTTTTCATTGCAAGGCAAGCAACGACGCAAACCTAACTAGATTCTAATTAGAAAACCAGGTAAACATTATTGAAAATTTTGAGAAACGTTCTCTCTGGCTTGATAGGGAAACGTTTGAAAAAGTAACAAATAAATATCTACCGTAAAAGCCGTCTGCACCGCAATATAGGGATTTATCAAAGGTGAAGTGCTTTCCTTAAGTTCAAAGGAGAGACATACGAAACAGCTGAGAATATCAGTACGAGTAGAGACACTAATTACGGTTGTAATATGTGTCAGTGAAGTGAACAATTGCTCATGGGTAACATATTCTCAATCCGAGGACTGTGGGCTATAACTTTTCCATTTGTTTTCTCAGGTCAGTATTTCATATTCGTATCAGCTTTCAGAATACTAATAAGCTTTTCCCTCTGAACATGCTCCAACACATTTCATTTCCATTTCATTTAGAAAGTGGTAAAATAAGATACCAACGCAATGAAGCGTTTGAAAGTTTTTATTTCTTTTTTTCTTTTTCATAATGGCTACGTACTGTTTGTTTCGTTTTAAGCAATTGCGTGCCTTCATTATCGCCTCCATATCAAGCCAGGGACGGCGTTACTCACCTCACTCCCCTAAAATCGTTTTGTCACAAATATAATCTGTTTACATACATCACGCTCATACGTCGGCATACATTCCTCTTTTTTTCTATTTTTCTTAAACAATTTTAGTCATGATTTTTTGCTTTGTTTTATCCTATGTTTTACATTTGTTTGCACTTATGCCGTTCGTCACTACATTTGTAAGCTCTGTTGCTTCAGTTTTTGTTTGTCCTGCCTGATCTTTTTGGCTTAAAAACGCTTTAGTAGTGATTTGATGATTTTGAAATAATCCATTCACATTTCCGTCTTTTATGATGAGTCTGTAGCCCTTAGTTACGTACCTTCTTTGTGACTGCGTTTTGAATCTTCACCACTGCGCGCCTGCGCACTTTGGCCTGTGTTTATTTCCAATATCCTCATGTGCACCTGGAACTCAGCTTTTCTCAGCTTCCTTCTTCCTTCTTTTTTTATTCTCATTGCGCTTTTCCCCTTTATCAGTAAGCTACCCATACGGTCCTTACTGATTTATTTCGGGTACACTACAGAATGAACGTGATCAGCACTTTATGTGTGAGGTCATTTTCGTCTGCTTGCTCGTCTGGTTGCTTTTTGACTTCTGACATCGCTTTCATCTTCCAACTTTGTGCTCTTGTTTTCAAGTTTATCCAAATTCTTCGCAACTTGTTCTCTCAGCAATCAGCAGTTTTCCAATATCTCTTTAGTATCGACGGCGACACAGTTTGCCAATACTGAACTCGGCATTTTCCGTTCGGCATAGTGTAAGTGAAGAGAAAAGATGGAAGGATCATGTTGAGACACTTCTGAGCGAGAACAAAAGTCTCGGGGATGATCGATTGATAAGTTTAACTGAGTTTTTTTTTTCAATTCTACTACTGATCCTTTTCAGTCGCTGAAAAATCGAGCAAAAGTTGAAAATAGCCTTTGGCCATCTTGGAGTTTTATTTCCACTTGGAGAAATCACTGACGTCATTACTAACTCGCGTTTTTGTTATATGTAGTAAGTTCTTCATACGCTAAGTAGATTGTGATAGATATAATAGTGAATTTAAAAGTTGCTTGTTATAAAAGATGATAGTCCGAAGGTGTAGAAACTTTACTTTGTCAGCAAGAGGTTGCCGTAAAATTCTCAGGGAAGCTAACGAACAGTGTTTCAATTTGTCGAAATCAACTTTCTTTTAGATAAGAAAAAAATTAGCTACACTGAAATTCAATTACACATCAAGAGTCCTTCTTGACTTATTAACCTCCAGTTATTATCGATTTATGACAAATATATTTTACTGTTCTAATCGTGTAGTCTTTTCTATTAGAGTCAAGCCACATTAAATTAACGCTGATAAAACGAGTCAATTGGATTTTCCTATTACGCTTAAATTTTGCATTGACTTAATTGAAGAGGGTTTCAAAAAGCGACAGTGCTTTTGACAAGGCGTTCTCGTATTTTGAGTTATTTTACTTTGCATGAAATAATTTTCTTCTTTTCTTAATTTGACACCAGCATCCTCCTACTCTGAAGATTTTTTAACATTAATTTGTGAATATTGAAATCTATAAAAAGACTTAATTTCCTCAATGCCTTAACAGATTTAATTTTACAATTAAACAAAATTAGTGAAAAAAATCTACTTAAATATTGGTATTCTACAATGTACTGGTTTTCGTTAATCGTTTTTTGTTTTGCTTTTAAAAAGTTGATTGTTATGTTTTCTCTTAACTCTTTTTTTTTTCTTTTTTCCTTTGAACGTGGAATTTTGTTATGACTAAATCAAAAATTTAATACATCGCCACTGTTGCCGCCTTACTGTCTATTATTCTTTGCAGAATGTTTAAGTTTTCAAGTGTGATATCGAAAACCCATACAGTCAGTTGTTATTCCATTTAAGATTTTAAAATAAGTTTAAAGATTCACTGTGGCAGTTTGTTTACTGCTGAAGTCACTCTTCTAAACAGTTGCGACCGTTCGTATCAAGGTTGTTTAATGCTATTATAATACTTATTCCTTATTTTAATGAATTTCCGACAATATGCAAACGTTGCTTTTGACGCAAAGAAGGTAAAGGGAGAACAGAGCAACGTTTGTATCTGTATCTTCCTACTTAGTTCCAGCCTGCCATCCGTTGTTCTGCTGTTCACTTCTCGTTTCCCTAAAAAAAAAAAGTTATTTTCAAACCATGTATTTTATAGCAGAGGAATAACCAACTGCATAATTTTCTTTCAGCCCTGGTGCTTCGATGAATTTTTTGGAAAATGTTGGATAATGTTAACCAGATAAGAAGCACTTCCCTAAATGACTAAACTAAAGAGCGTAGGCACAAACTGAGTCGTAAAAACACGGGACAATATGATTAATAGTAGGCAGGAAAGATATTTGGGTGCCATTAATTTAACTTGTCGCAGTTAAGGATTTCACCCACACATCCAAACAAGGCTTAACATGGCTGAATAACTTTCTATACAACCGATGATAGAAAAAAGAACCCCTCAACAGCAATCGCGGTGGTCACACTTTAGCAACCCGTAAAGAAAGAACCTTCATTCACATCATAATAAACACCAGAATAAATCGATTATCAATAACTTACATTAATATAATTGCTACATTTACTTGGAATATTAGTGACGCATGTAAATTTCGCGACCTTCGCATAATATTCTGATTCTTGCTGTGTAAAAAAAAAGGAGAATTTCTGATATTCTTAGTTTATCTTGCAAATAATTATAAAACAGAAAAATGAAAGATGTTTTAAGAAGGAAAATTGAAAGCATTGAATAATTCGTCGTGTAAATGTATTCACAGTTAGTTCTCTTGATTTCTTAATTTGCACTGCGCGCTGGAGGGAAAAATTGGTTTCATGCAGTTAGTTTCCTTTTAATATTCAATAGACATTTGCGTCGTTTACATCTACCAATACGCCGACAATGGCTTGAGACGGAAAAAAATGTGCTGATATTGAAGAAATTGGTTTTAATTAGGGCGAAAAGGGACAAAACTATGAAGATGTATTTTTAAAAGGATTTAAATGAGGAGAGAATCAAACAAAATTGACTTTCCCCCATGTTATCTTGAAAACGAATTTCCTATTAGAATTTTCGTATTTGTTACTTTTCAAAATACCTTTTATTCCTGCAGTGCATGAAACTGGTCCGCACATTTAAGATAACAAGCCACTCTTTGCACTTCGACAGAAAATGCGGAAAACAAAGTAAAAAAAAAACCTGAATATTTAATAAAACGAGTAATCATTACTTTTTGAACATTAAATATTCGCCTGTATATTTGCACTATATTCAATATGAGCGGTTTTCTTGTTTGGCAGAATAATTCTTTTATCTTTGTAGCAATCGCCATTAAGGTTGTTATTGGAGGTAAAAAAAGAAGTGGAATTGTAATTCACAAAGCCACCAGTCAAAATATAAAATTACAGCGAATTTAAAACCGAATTGCAATCAAGGAAATGCAATGTCGCTGTACGACGCCACTTCATTGGACTTGCGTTTATTGCCACCTGTTCAAAGAAACTGTGTCAATCAGAAAATGTTTACTTTTGAGTCTGTGTGAACAAGCTACCAGCGGATATTTTATTGGTAGTTTTCTTGCGCTGGGACGAACGCATTGTTGTCATCATCGCCAGGAAAAAGTGCAAGTTATATGGCACTGTGGAGTATGAAAAGTGACTTGGGACAAATTCGTCATAAACAATAGCTTTGACTGATTCTCAAAATCGGTCGGCGTATTTTTCAAGTATGCTACCCTCGAAAATTGAATTTCACTCCGACTTTTAAGCGTGAGAAATTGCACGAATGTATCATCTGTGTTCTCTCTATTTTCTTGCTCTGTTGAATATCTCGATTTGTGAATCTTTTAGCTTATATTCTTCAAGTAATTCTTCCTCAGTTATTTCACCACTCCGGGCTACATTACTGACGTACACGCCACATCTCAGTGGCGCAACTTACGGACAAAATCTTCGTCCTTCACATGAGCAGTTTTTACAGAACTTTTCATTGGAAACGACCCCCAATTCCGTTAACGATGAATTTCTTTCTAAATTTGGTGTATATACAGGAAAGGAACAGACGCCCGTAAGCAAAACAGATTTGTTAGTCTCCTCAAGCCGTAAAGTGGAAGCTCAAATCGCCCACGAAACACAAAGAAGTCGGCACTCTGTTGGGAAGACACTTCAAAATGAAAACCGCGGAGCTGAAAGTACAAATAGAAGTGGATTGACGAGACCTATGCAAAACAAAATGATTAAAACAGGCTCTGTACAACTCGACACAATAACAGCGCAAGAATTTCTTAGTACATTCCCTCGAACCGGATCGATGAGCACTCGGGAAAGGTTTCAAAATTACAGGTTTTCCGCGGGTTCTTTGGTCCAACCTAACATGGCCATGTCAACGACGAACAGCTTTATCATTTTGTCGCCTTCATCCATGGTACCCAAAAGATACTCGAGTGCTACAAGAACGCGCCATTTTTCAGTTTTGTCTTCTCATGAAAAATTTACTGGGTCCTCATTGCTTTTATCAAATAATTTAGTAAGTACTCATAATCTATCGCCAGGGGCTGAGAGCAGTAAATCATCATCCTTGTTGTCGCATTATTCTTCAGGTGTTTCATCCGCGCAAGCACGACAAGTGTCCACCAGTCAGCGCACTACCCATGTCTCATCAATTGTTACAAGTTCTGCCATTAATCAAGTCACATCATCTTTTATCAGTCCAGCCACCAATCGGATTTCACCATTGCAACCAAGCTCCATCATATCTAGAACACCGACAACACAATCATTCTCAAGTAGTTTGATTGTTAAATCTAGCGTAAAATCAGCCTGGTCAAAAACATATCTTCACCTCACCAAAGCAATTACCTCAAGCTATTTAATCCACACCGCTTCCGTACAGCCGTTATTGTCGTCTGTGGTTCCTACGCACGAGGAAACCTCTTTAACTTGCAGAGTAAACAACACGATGTGTCTTTGCTTTAACTGTGACGAAGCACCTAAAAGTGCAAAGATATGTTGCATGGATCTCATTGAGAATAAAATTACCCAGCAGGGAATAAAAATGACGGTCAAAAATATTAGTGTTCAGGAGTTTTATCATATAATCACGGCTGTTTCTAGGGTTATAGCAGATATTGTTTGGAATTCTTGTCGCACAAATGTTAGTCTTTGCCTTACGGGTGAATCCTCACCTGGTGCTGGAAGTGTTCGTAGGAGGCGTTCACTACGTGAACAAAACATTCAAAGCAAACCAACATCAGATAGAATAAGAACCAAAAGGGAAGCACTTCAGCCTACTGTTAGCCCTTCTTCGCCGAATATTTTCAGCGTTGAGGCAATATTTTACAGTCTTTCCCTCCAGGTCGGTACTTCGCCTGGGGTGCAAACGGCTTTTTACGTGATAATGAAGTTATATAGTAATGGAACCAATCAAACTATATTGTTGGATGGCAAAAGGCTGTTGAAGATTCTCACCAATGAGACCCACACTCTTGAAAGTAAATTAAATATATCAATTGAATCATTTACAGCGACGCATCAGTCATCTAAGCTTGCTACCACAAGTTCACTTCCCGCTACTTTATCGCCTAATTCGTCTCAGGGAAGCCAGAATATACAGATGACGACCTTGTTTACCGATGAAGGTAGGCATTTGTAAACAGACGCACTAAGTACCTATACAGTAGACTCCGGCTACCTTTCCATATCTGCATTAGAATACTCCAGTGAATTTTGCTACCCGGCACTTTCTTCAGATCCTATCGACGACACTGCAGTAAAGAAGCTTAGTACTGCCTTTTTGAAATTGTTTTTTTTTCCTAACTGCTTGTCTTTACACTGTTGTAAACTTCTTACCTCAGATACAAAAGACTCCCGCCTTCTTGAACAATTTTCTCCTTCCATTCTTGAGTGTTCCAGATAGTGGGAGTCTACTGTATAAACTCAGTTGTCACTACTGACCTTTTGCCTCATATTCTCATTTTTGTCCATGCCTGGCCTCCACCTCTCTCGCACATGTTAAGCCCATTTTTGTATGTGACTTTTTACTGACGTTATTCGCCACAATTCCTGATTTCTTCGTCTTCTTTTATTTATATTTCCTATTAACACAGGAATCAGTCACTAATGTAATTGATTCATCAAACAATTAGAAAATCAGTTGAGGAGGGTTCAGTATCTGACTCCCACTCATAGATAATGGGATGTTGCTAAAACGGGGAGTGGGGAGCGGAGAACGAGTACGGGAAGGGGTAAACGATTAATGGCAACAAAACCCTATTTCAACCCTAGGCGGCCCTATTAGTAACTTCATTTCCAATTCTCTACTTTGTTCCGTTTTTTTTTTTCCCATTTCCTATGCTCGTTCCTTTCTCCCCGTTCCCCGTTTTAGTAACTTCGGGTAATGAGTATTTGTCCTACCGATCCAGTAAGCTATGTCTTAGAGAGTACGTGCGCCCAGAAATGCACGCAGCGACGAAATTTAATACAATTTGTACGGCCGTGCTTTATAAAAAAATCTCGAATACTCTGAACAAGCTCCAGGCTCCAGAAGATTAAGGGGAAACAGGAAAAGCTCACATTTCTAAATTTCCAAGTTTTGGAACAACTGTGTGAGGTACCGACGGATAATAATACGAAGTACATCATACATTTGGCAAATTTTGCATTTCCTTAATTCTAGAAGAGTTGTCGCAGTTCATCATAAATTATAAGTTTAAAATTTAAAATTCTTTCCATCGTGCCTTTCTAGACAACGTTCAAGGTACTCATTGTTGCATTGTTGCCTTAGTAATAACCTCTTTAGTATTGGAAATGAAGATAAATTTTAATATGCAACAACTTCATTCTTTCACATTTTAAGCATGTAGTACTTGATAGCCATATAGTTTGCTTGACTAATCTTTCTTATGTTGTATATTATGTATTTTTTTTCTCTCTTACAGCAACGACTGCTCCTCCTGTACGCGGCAAATTGGAGGATGAGGACGGTAAAGGACTATCTCAGGAATTACTCATCCTCATAATATGCGCGGGAATTGGTGGATTGATTCTAATTAGCATTGTAATGGCTTGTGTGTTTACGCGTTTCTACAGGTGGGAATGAAATTAAGTTATAGTCCTGTGTAGGAGAAATTTATTCATTTGTACACTGATTCTTTCGTCATTGCATCACTCATGTGTCAAAACTATGGGACAGATCGTGTCATTAAGCGTGCCTGCAGGCGTGGAAGGGAAGGAGGAGGGAGTGGTAGGAAAAAGTGGGAGGGGAAGGATTACGCAGGGTACTACTCCTTTTAAAATGCCGTTTCTTCAGACCTAAGAGTAATAGTTAATAAAACACATAGCTATTTGCTTCTCGAAGAACATAACTGTCATGTATTACATGAGGTAGTGAGCGCGATACATTTCTTTAGACGTACACTAGTAAAGAGAGACGTAAAGAGAGCATTTATACGAGCATGTCTTATCTAATAAGACGCGTCTTAGCTAAGCCGCGTCTTATTTTAGACGAAATGTGCCGTTTATACGGAAAGTTCGCGTCTTATTTAAGACGTGTCTTATGTAAGACGCGTCTTATTTTTCCTCGTATAAATGGCCCAATTGTTGACCAACTAAAATTCATTAGTAGTAGTTTCATGACTAGTAATCCTCTAAATTGTGTACAAAGAGGATTAGACAATCACACCGCACAGTGAATTTGTGGTGTCCGAGCTTTTATCTTTATTTTTGCCTTCCCTTACTACTTTTGAAGGAAACCACTAAATGGACTAACGTCCCGTTCACGATATGTTTCATGGGAAATTGACAATATCCCTTGCTGCTTTATGAAAGAGAAACCGGGAAAAGCTGCGTCGCGTGAGCCCGATGGCTCGAAGTGCGCCTTTATCTTTTTTATTCCAACAGATATGTGTCTGATACAAAGCTATCGACATGTTTTTTTTTACTTAGACAAAGGAAGGGTGAGTTTGTTCCAGATAAAACCTATCCTAGTCCTCCCAACAACAAACACAATGGCGATGCAGGTGGGGAAGATTTAGAAAACATTGATACGTTCATAGATCCGTCAACGCAGATCACTGATGTCCCTCACAAACCAACAAGAGGATCAGCTGGAGGTTCGGCGGGCGGTCCAAAAAAGCAGAGAAAACCCATGGGAGTCAAAGTTACTTACAAACCACCGGAATGGGACTAAATATGTAACAAAGGATACCCGTGCAATAGGTATATTGTTTCCATATTTGAGCGCTATCTTCCGACAAAAAGGTTGAATGTACCCTTTATGCCATTCAGTGTTTTGCACGGCCGTTTCTTCTAAAACGTTCGTACTTGTTTATATCCTTCTTATCATGAAAAGTATTCAAAAATCAAAGGAAGTGTTTTTATAAAACGAAGTAAAAGGGACGTTTTCGCGATAGAAGTGTCTCATAGCATCCTTTACATTGGAGCTGAGCCTATCCCAGATAACTGCCCTCGGAAAGTTGTTAGTCCGACTATAGTATAACCCCAAAGATAAATTCTCGAAGGTCTCTCCTTTTCAACTATTACAAAGTTCATTACAAAGTTGCTCGTGACGTTGAATTTTAGGTTTTCCTTCAACCAAGCCAAACTTGCAGGTACCCTAGATTTAGTTTTGCCCACGAAGCGGTTATGGGGCCTCTAAGCATTCTAACAACAGTCACTAACTAAGGTAAAAAAATAACTTGTTTGTATTACTTAATTCTTCTTTTCATTTCCGTTTTGTTTTGTTTTTTTTCTTGTCTGTCTTTTTTGTAGAAAGGACCTCCGTAATACTTGCCGAGAACACGTGGAAAAGAAAAACCGTATTTTGTATAATGTGGTCAAACGAACATTTCACAAACAGACAGCGACATAAAAAAAAAAAACCGAAAAATCATCAATTTACAGTTGGGACTCAACAGGAAAAACACATTCAACGCTGTGCGGAATCAGCGCCAAACACAGTTGCCATGACAACGTTATAAGGAAGGACAATTTTGGAAGGATTTTAATTCAATGCTGAGTATTGGAGACAATTTGGTTTTAAAGACGAAATCCGGAAACTGTTTAAAAGAAGCATGAATAACCATAGAAATGTACCAATTTGAATACAGGCTGACCTTTTAGAGTTAAGGCAGAATTTGCTGTCTAAACAATAGATCAAAATTGTGTTGGTTTACCCTGACCCCGATGAACACATGAAGGCTTGAGTGCAGCGAGGCAAAGAAGTTCCACTGTTCTCTTTTGAAATATGCCAAGTGAGTTTCTTACAAGGGTACGCTAAAGAATTTCGATATCGATTGCTTTTATGAAACAACTTTTATTTAAAAAACAATTTCCTTTTTCGGGCAAAGTTTTCTATGAGTTTACTGGTATATTATAATATAATAAGCGATAGGTTTTTTGACCAATCTGAACACGCCTATCTAAGTTATTTTGTTAACTGGAGTTCGCTGCTTGGTAAAGGCCTTATGAGTGGCCCATAACACCAGTAGCGCTTTGAAGAATGCATAAAATTTAAGAGGAAGCAATTGCAAATGCTAGACATCATAAAAGAGTCGGGTATTTAGATAGATAGCTAAAAAGAATAGATCGATACAAAACGCGAAATACAATGGATACTGATGACGTCCACTCCTGATGCCCGTTTCACAAAAGTCCCAGTAACTTTTCCCGCCCAAAATCGAATATCCGAATCAAAAGGGCAGGTCCTAGCAAACAAACCAGTTCATTAAGAAACGGGCCCCAGGAGGGCTTCTGAACTAGTGCCTAATTGGTGAAGTGAATTGGAAAATATTTAATAAAAATAATTAACTGGCCTTCATAAACTGGCGTCTGATATAGTTCTCTTAAGCACATTTACTGTGAAGTAAAACGACGACCTATAACGCGCTATATAAGTAATTTATTTTATTTTCAAATCATTTTATACTTTCAAAGGGTTTTAAAAAGACGGCCTTACTTATCTGATTTAAGTGTACACAAAGTATTGAGGTTGTAAGTTTTGAAATTCGAGGGTCGCAAACTTTGAGCAAACCTGTGTCTAGTTTCAGGCTTAGTTAATGATAAAAAGATGATTTATTTAAGATGTTAAATTTTCTATTAAAAAGGCCTGGGCGAGTCCTACCCATTAAACATGTCTATCCCAACGCGTCCCCCTCCAATAACGGTTAAACAGCTTTTTCCTGCGCAGGGAAGATGTGCAAATTGTAACGCCGTCAACTAGTTTAAAAAGGAAGACACCCAGATTGACATCTAGAATGTAATATGTGTTTAAGCTTGAACAATTCAATATCGTTAAAGGAGATAACTAATATTATGGGTAGTTGATGATATCTGGGACTTAACTGCGCACCATAATTTAGGAATAAATTTTCTCTGGATGTGTCAGTGACCAGTAGATATCATGATAAATTAATGAAATAATATAATGAAGCTAAAATAGTGAATTTATGACCGTGCATTAAGTGACCCTGCTGAATCCGCCTAATGACACTCTCCTCTTTCGTTTCTAATAAAATATGTCTACTTAATGTTTTTGACGTTTTGAGTTTGAAATAAAAGCCTGGCTCTATGAAAGAAATATCAAGAAGAGTTGAAATAATTAAAATAATTTAAAACAAAAGAAATAATAATAATTAAAATAATTTCCCTTGGAGTCCATAACATATATAACATGACACTCTCTTACAAATATATTTTGTTTTCTCTATTTTTTACACTTAGAAGATAAAAAACTGCAAATGAGCTTGGTCTTTTTTATGCAGTCAATAAACGTTTTCGACAGTTTTTAACTAAAAAAAAAACCCCAGAGGCTACTTTAAATTTAAATGGACAAAGCCAGAGGTCATGCTGTATGCAGGGACAAGTCTGTAATACACTAGTTTTGGAACAAATTAGCCCACGAGATAAGGGCGCAGTAGAAAGTTTAAGCATCAACAACGAGTGCAAGTAAGAGATTTAGGGTGCGTTCGATTGGAAAATTTACATTTTCATTTTGGATTTCGCAATAAAACGATAACGGACTTCGTTGATTTCCTTCTTGACCGTTTTTTTAGGGAATCCGAAAAAGAATTTGCAAAACGGTTTTCGTGAACACTGGTCTTTTTTTTCTGCTAAATTAAATTATGTCCGCGCTTCCCAGACTGCTGCTGTTCTTGTTGAGAACAGAAAAGGAAGAGAATAAGTAAATCAAAAGCCAGGATAACTCGGGCGTTCAAATCTGTCTTTTGGATTTCGCTTGTTACGGCATATCCGAAATCCAGAAATCCCAAAGTCAGGGAGTGATTACTAAAGGAGAGAGAGAAATCAATGAAACGCATTCTGTAAATCTATAAACTTTGATACTAGTTAATACACAGCAGAAACTTTTCTTTTGCCTTGTCCGCAACGGCAAGTTCTTGAAGGAAAGGTTGTTTTGATGTGATCAATTTTGATCAACAGGCTTTTTTTCGCGTTTTTTATGGGAGCGAAGTCAAGCGCGAGGCAAGCGGGAAACGCTAGACACAGGCAAGCGCTCCTCGATCGTAGTCTGAACCCCACAGATTAGCGGAAAGAGACGACTGACATTTCAGACTTCCCTCGATCGCTTCGCGCTTGCCTTCGCTCACCTGAAAACGCGAAAAGATAACACCTGTTGTGTAGGCTATCAATTTCCTCCCATATGTTTGACTATAGATTATTATTTTGGGTCACGCTATCAAAAATAAGAATGGAAAGTATACAAGATAAATGCCCAGAATCTGGCATATGAAAGAAGATGAATAAGCAAACTGCGTCACCAAGATTCATGTCTTATCTAATTTTGATATGTGAGCCACTATGTTTTGTCCAAATTTATCGACCTTTGCATGGAGACACCATGATGGTGTCCCCCGGGAGAAAACCAACATGGCGGCCACGGGAAACCAACACTGAGAAATTATGCCAGGAAAGTTTGTATTCATCACTCTAGGAAATCAACTAATACACGTTCTAATACAAGAACTCTCCAGGAAGCAAAATCTAAAAAAAAAACCACCCTTTTAACGTTTATGACAGTTCTCGCGGCCGCCATTTAAATACAGCGTCTTGAAAAAATAAAAAATTCAAGGGTACTTTATGTCAAAACGAAGAAACCTCTCAAACTGAAAATTTGCGAAAACATAAGTTTTTGACTGCTCTAAAACGTCATGTCTGATATTTCTTTAGTTTGATTGCGTCACATGAAAACCAGCTACACATGCAACGCACAACAAATATCAGCTCTAAAGATTTCGTTAGCATTGACGATAACATATCAACTATATAGTAGGGTTATCTAAAAATGTGCTGAAAATGAACACTAATATCTTCTCTGTAATGATAAATAAGATTTAGAGATATTTTTATCACGAAATTATATTTATTTGCAGTGAGCTTTAAACGATTCATGCATGGTTTTGCAACCTCCAAATTTTCCACCAAAAGTTTTGAAACCAGAAACTGTTTTGTTTTATAACCTATGACCTTAAGATTCATCTCCTTTCTGGGTAGAAGAAGTTATCTTTATTAATACATTTCTTCGCAGAAATTCGATGACAAAAAAAGATAGATTTTATGCATTTACACTAGTCATTAAATGTGGACTTCATAGAATTACCCAATACTTATTCATTCATTTCTTTACTGAGAAACTATCAATATAAAGCTTTATAGATGGATGATTTTAAGTTTCAAGGATCATAAATAAAATATTGGATACAAAACCATGTATGAAACCAAAAATTGAATTGATAAAGTGAAAAGGTACCGCCTTGTGGTGAAATTCACAGATTTCCTGAAAAGCGCACATTTTATGAGTTAACAGCTGTTGCCTGAATGGGTCATTCAAATTCTTTGATGGGTTTAAATCCCCTGGCTAAATTTTTAAAAGGCGCAAACACTGACCAAATTTGGCGATTTAACGTCAATAATCCAATAAAAGAATACTCGTAGGACGAAAGACAACAATGAATTGAAGCTTGAGGAATTGACTGGAAGATTTCAATTGCTTAAAAAATACAAAATAGCCAAAACACTGATTAAAACAGACGGCAAAAATACACTGAAACCCACTCAAAAGATGATGACTGATTTGTTAAGGAGATCGAAAAAAGGATCCATAAGCAGTCTATAAGAATATCGAAAAAAGTAAGATATTTTATTCAGGGAAAGGATGTTTTAAATCTGGAAATATTTTAAGTGAATGTAAAAGCAATAATATATTTCGACTTTTGCAAGATGTAAAAGAATACCCAGATTTTGGAGAGTACATGACCGCCTCCGCCTTCGGCAGATATTCGATCCTCCTCTACCGGCATAATTGTTGAGCGTGTCACTGTTTATTATTTTAAGTTTGGTATTCCAAATGGCTTTTAGGAAACGCTTCTCTACAGTGAAACATAAGCAGCCGTAGAAACTTAGTGTAATTTCACAACTCTCACAGAAATTCACCTTTATTAAATTTCTCTGTAATATTTACTGGCGACCTTGGTAAACGCGATACACTTGATGAGCTAAGTTTTGTTTTGCTTCATTGAAATAATCGTGTTGGAGTTTCTTGGTCAGAAACAGTATTACAAAGTTACAAAGGCTTTGTAGCCTTTCTTTACCAAAACATGCTCTTGTACTGACTTGGTTGTTACCGCCTTAAGTTCTTGAAAACTGTTGCTTGCTATAATATATCACCTGATACTATAAACTGTATCAGACTTGAAAAGAACAATGCCAAACCCTATGAACTCGTTGACACCAACAGAGATAACCTAAACATATAAGCAAGAAACGACACCAGTTGAATAAGCAATTTTTAGTGGCATCGCTAAACTGTCCACTGAGTTTCCGTCAAAAGAACTATTATAAAGGGGCATCAAGTAAGAATAGGGTTTGACAATGCTACAGTGATATTCCCGTCATTTCACTTAAAATAAAGACAGGAATAGGTATGAAAACGTTCTTTTTTTGGTAATTATCAGTTGAGTTAGCCACTTAACTTTTTACCGAAGCAAAGCAGTTCCGCGTTAAATTACAACAAATCGTCAACGTTTCTTCGATTATTGCCATAAATTGCAAGAACATTTCTTGAAAAAATAGTTTAAATCACACGGAGGTTGGAAAAGAACTACGATAATTTTTTTTTTCTTTCTAAATGACTGCACTTAAAAAAACCTATTCACAGATTCAATTTTGACAAAACAGAATGTAGAGTCTGTAAGTTCAAATAAATCAGTTTAAGTTTAAGCTTTCCTTCAAGGAACACTGATAGACTCAAGAGAAACCGCATTCCGTGACTTGCGAATAAAGCATGTTTAATATTCATCCTCAGACTCAGTTTTAAACTGCAGTTGTTGTGAAGGAATTACCGTTCATAACTGCATGTTTAGGTGTATTTCTCCCTGACTCTGTTTTTGGCAAAAGTGTAAGAATTCTGTCTTGACTTGGGCGAGAATCTTCCGCAGTTAAAAGTGTGCGACTAGTGTTTGATCTAGTGAAAATTTTCGTAACACTATCACGACTTTGCAGCGATTGATTTCGTTGGAGTGACCCTCTAAGACGGCGATTCAAATGTCTTGCAAAAATTCTCTCATTTGCTGAAGCACTTCTTTCTCTGATGGAAATTCGTTCAAAAACTCTTCGAACAGGTCTGATGTCTTCTTCGGTTACCCGGCAACATTTTGTGATATACGCTTTGAAAGCCAGACGAAATTCCTCAATACAGATGCTATAAACAATCGGATTTGTACAGCTGTTGGCGTAAATAAGGATTTCACCCCATCCGAGAACCTTCCGTCCGGACTCTGGGAAATCTTTGGTAAATTCTCTTAACAGCCAGAGAATGTGATTTGGAAGCATACAAACAGCGAATAATAAAACTACAATTGCCATCATCCGTACGACTTTGGCAACGTCCCGATCTTGCACCCTGTGTGCGGCAGTGAGATGATTTCGATTCCTGCGTAGTAGCAACGCTATTTTCATGTAGGCCAGGGAAATAAATGATAGAGGAACAATGTACTGAAACAAGAATATAAAAATCGTATAAGTACGGCTGTAAAGCTTCGGCCATGTCTCTTCGCAGCGAGAGTTACGAACTCTTAAAACTGAAGTGTATGGAATAACAAACGTTAACGATGCTGTCCAGATGATCGCGATAGTAATTTTTGCGCGTTTTCTTCCCGCTTGCACACGCATTGGACGTGAAATGGCCGTGTATCGGTTATAGGCGATCGCAGTGAGAGTTCCCACCGAGGCGAACGTGCACATTGTCATTATAGGATAAATGATATGACAAAGAAACTTTCCGAATGGCCAAACATAGCTGTTTTCTTGAACCGTAACATCGAATGGTATGCACAATATTAGTACGGCAAGATCTGCCACCGCCAAGTTCACAATATAGAAGTTTGTTGATGTGCGAAGCTTCCGCTGTCGACAAACGACCAAACAAACCAACATATTCCCTGTTATACCGGTAATAAAAATGAGACCGTAGAGTATAAGCTTCACTGCTCTGATTGATAAGTTTTCTCTTAAAAATCCTGAGTCTAAACTGATGGTAGTGATATTTTCCATACTGAGCCGGCTTGTAAGCTAATCAGAGGTGCTTGATATTCACTCTAGCAAAAGAATGGTGTGGATGTCTACTTAGACTGTTGAAGTAAGTGCTTTATAATGTAACAAAGCAGCTCCTCAACGTCGGAAGAAACCATAACATAATGATGAATTTTTTCCGACAGTTTAACAATCAGTGGTTCATTTCTTAATGCCACCTCCCGCTTCCATCGCTAGCGGCGTTTGTTTCAAAAGTAGAATAAATTACGTTTGGTACAATAAATAGAGATGGCAATTAATCATTAACACCATACATATGTAGTTGAACCCCTAGAGGCAGACGAATTGCTTGAGACAAAAAACAAAACCTCCAGAAGCCCTAAGGACTTGCTGGGTTCTAGAACGTTTCATCTTCTAGGCCTAAAGCTGTCCGCGAATCGAGAAAAACCCTTTTGGAAAAGCCGCAATACTTAGGGTGTTGTTAGATTTATAAAGTCTGTTGGGTCACAGCAATACTCACCACTAATGAAAAGAAGGAAAAGTAAACAGAACTTATATTAAACGATAAAATCACTTCTGGTAACGTGACAAGAAGAATTACAAATATTATGAATTGATTTAACAAACCTTTATAACAGTATTGGTGTGATCGGAAATCTTGATAACCTTGCTTTGTTATACCACTTCCACAGATGGCGATTTTTGAGATAAAAGCGAGGATACTGAATTGAAAAACCGAGTTAGCATGTCCTTAATAAAGCTTTCAAAGTCTTGAGGTCGAATCACAATTAATGCGCTCAAAAAATTTTTATTACTTCCACTATATCAGGTGGGGAAGATACTCCTTAAATTGTTGGTTAAATCGCGCGATATACATATTTCTTTCGTGAATCGTGAGTTTTTTTAAATGTTATAAAATTGACCGTGTTTAATTTTCCCTCTTTTGATTTCTACGTGCCTCACTCCCCCTGGAAAAACTGATTCTAGCTGATTCTGTCGATTCTAGGGACTTCACAAATAACGTCCTTTTAGCGCTCAGTGGTGTTTTGAGAAGTGTAGTAGATGTAATAAATAGAAAATTTGTTGTGTGTTAAAGAGGAAAAAAATGTAAAAATGTCAAACAGGCTATAACGCTACATTAATTTCTTTTGTAGGCACCCTACTGCGATTCACCAAATCCTTCCAAGGCCGGTGGTGTTGTTAGGTCTCAGAAAAGAATTAAGGGATTAGTTTCAAAACAAAATGTTCACAGCGGGGGAGTTTAACACATTCGATTCGCCCTGACGAAGGGCTAAAGCACGAAACGTCAGTTTAACAGGTTTTTGACAGCAAGATTAAAAAGTAACCATTGGCATTGTAATCCTTGTCAAGTCTGATTCCTAGTCTCTTAAAAGTGTTTTAAGGCTCGTAGATTATTAGGTGGTGGCAACACGACCCATAACATGAAAGCATTTTCAAGCTTTACATATACTTTGATTGCTATAGTGAGGAAAACTTAATAAAACTGCACCTTGATTAGATTTAACTTTTTCGAAGCCAGTAAAATTATTCATCACCGATTAAGGTAAGTCTCTTAGAATCCCGTGGATACTTGAAATGGTTGTTAATGACTTCCTTTTATTAGTTTTCACTGAAACATACCGCCCTGATTAGAGTTGGAGCAAACAGACAAAATATTGCAAACACATCAGTTTTATGACACAACTTTACTGCGAGTGTGTAGTTTTGTATGTTATATCCTCGATTAATTTTCGTGGTGGGCAACACGTTTCTCACCTGTTCTGTCAGTTCAGCCTCATTAAATAAAGCTGTTTATTGAAGCTTAGCCGACAAAACTTACTTTCTAATGACGGATAAGAGTTAGAAACTGGAAAACTCTTGATATAACGCAAATTAACGCGTTATTTGACGTCGTTTGTTGTAGAGCGAGAGTCTACTGTAACCGAAAATGTTAATCAGTCATGAGCGGAAGGTGACTAGAATATAGACAATCGCCGTGACAGGCGTACTGAACAATCCAACTTACACCTCCCTGTGATGTAAACACGCAAATACACCACACGCCAGGTTAGAAAAACCTTTTGATAACATTTTGTTTCAGCCCGTAGACCTTCACAACAAAATGTTAAATTTAAAGTCAATGAAGTAATCTTAAAGCGACTGACTTTTTACCAAAGGTGTAAAAAGGCAAGATTCTCAGGGGCGGATCCAGGATTTTTCTTAGGAGGGGGTGCACCACTAACTGACCGATGACGTAAAAAATTTTAAAAGCGAATACGAAGAAGAGGGCTTTTGATTAGGAAATAACATAATGTGAACTGCTGAGAAAAGCGACTGCACAGTGTTAATTAGAAAGCGGCCGCAGGTCATCCCAGGGGGGGGGGGGGTGCGCACCCCCTGCACCCTCCCCCTGGATCCGCCCCTGATTCTATTATTGCTTCTACGGTAAGGTGTATCACCATGACGAATAGATTTATTATTAATAATTTTTGACCGCTTCAACAACCAAGAAAAAGCTCGTTAAAGAATTTTCTCGGTTTAAGTGATAAAATTTGTAGTTCTATGCAGTTCTGTGTGCCTATATCATATTATAGAACTTGAGAAAAAGAAATTCAAACAGTATGGTCAGTATGATTCCTAACGGCAAATAACAGAATTAATAGATCTTTCCTTCAAGGCAAACTTTCCTTGAGAATTCTTTCTCTGGTAAATAACTCATGTAGAAGATCCAAAAATTAACATGTGCCCCTATCCGCTATTTCTTGGACAAAGTTCCTCGTGAAATCTCCCAAATCGGACGTAGTTCCCGCTTTTCGAAATAACACAGGTACAGAGTTCTATTTCACTTTCACCAAAGCTTTCGAAATTTTCGAAAATTTATGCCTGTCTTGCCCTGAACTGAAAGGGCCCGTGCCACAACTCCCCACAGGTTACCCAAGCGTAAGATGAGGTCGGTAGCAGTTTGCATGGAAAATAAAGAACTAAGACGGGTCAACGTCATCAGTAAAGTGAAAATATGTCACTTCGTGGCGTTTTTCGTCTTTCTAGGAATTTTCATCGGCTGACCAAAAGGATGGCAGCCTGTGTTTTTCGTTGATGTTACCTGTATATTGCACTTGGGTGACCTGTGCAAAAAACTTGTGTAGTTGCTTCATGTTAATTTGAAAATTGAAAAATCGACGCTGTTATTTTAACAGTCTGAACCGACGTCTCGACGATGCTGCCTTCTTCAGGGTACAAGACTAAATACCGTTAAAAAGTTCGTTAAAATTAGCTCAAGTGCTTGATTGCATACACCTGGATACTCGCGCGCATGCCACATGACCTGTGCAAACCCCCTTTGCTGCAAACATGGCCGACGGTGTTTTTGTCTTTCTGGAGAATTTGTTGCTGTCTTGTACAGTTGTTATTATTGCATGGTACATTTTAAATGCTCTAACAAAAAAGATATCACGTAAACGGTAAGAAATGATAAAATTTGACCGAATAATTGCATAAACGTCTCGGAGCTGAAAGTTAATGTTCTGGTTACAAACGGTTTAAGCTTCATTTTTTTCCTTTGTTTTTGTATATGGTAATGAATGATAATAAGTAGAAAACTGAGAAAGAAAAAATCAAGTAGAACGTAGTCTACGTGGCTGCGATGGAGTGCTTAGCACTCTCAAACAAACGTGGCTTGATTACCCACGTATAAATGATATATGACACTGTGTGCCTGTTGCATTGTGTTGCCTGTTGGGGCTTAATAACCATTGAATAAGCATGTCTTTTTCTTACGTGAAAGGCTAACTGCCCCTACACTAAACGCAATCTCTTGTGTAACCGTGATGTACGCTTTTCTCTCATTATAACCTTTCCAGACATGCTTGCCTAAGTGATTATTTTTTAGGTTAACTATTAACAACTATCAAGTTATTTTTCCTCAGGCCCATGGCCCCTGGTCCACCAGGTCACTGGCTTTCTGGTAACACAGCCATATTTCAGTCCAATGTAGAAGAGCGGCATGTGCGACTCCTTGAACTGCACAAAAAGTACGGCAAGATAGTGAGGATTCAAATGGGGAGACCCCCATTGTATGGAAGAGATATCTTCTCTATTGCTGATCCAGCATTATGTGAAGAGGTTCTGAAATCCAAGAGCTACGCAATTTCAAAACTAACGCAAGCTCGTTTTCAAACACTTCTTGGGAAATATGGTCTTAATGGCTTGGAAGGTGAAATATGGAAGAAACACCGACGACTTATTTTGCCATTGTTTCATTCTGGTTTTCTTAGCTATGCTTTGGAAGTCATTAGTGAAAAAACTAAAATTGTTATAGATAGGTGGAAGAAGGTCTCTGTTGATTCATCTGTGGAAGCTTTTGCATGTATAAAAAACCTTGGACTTGATATCATCAGCAAAGCAGCATTTGGTTTTGACCTGAAAGTACAAGAACAACCTGATGACAAACTTGTCAAGGTTAGCTCTTTTTTACTTAATTTTATAACTCTTAGCAACATCTATAGCATAAAGAAGGATGGTGGAGCACAGGACTAAATACAAGTATGGCTGTGGATACTTGGAAACAAATCCACAGAGTATTTGGAGTGGTGGGGGTGGGTGGAGCTTGAAATGCACTGCTAGTGGTGCTAGTGGTGCTAGTGGGTGGGGGGGGGGGGGGGGATTTTTATAGTTACGCAATAATAGGTAAAGATAAGAATACAGAGTGGTGGGGTGAAGGAGGCAAGATATTGTGTGGTGATGGAGAATGTAGAGGATGATGCAGTGGTGTTGTGTGGTGGGGGGGTGGGTGGGGTGGAGTTTGGGGGGGGGGGGGGGGGGGGGTTGAGGGGGGGGGGGGGGGGGGGGGGGGGGGTTACAGCGTGTAAAGAAAGTCGTGTCCGATAGCCCAGGGCTAGTGGATTTTGCTATCGGGCTAGTGATTCTTGTTCTTAACTTGCCTGACGAGTTGCTTTTGTGCTGTTTTTTGAGGAAATTCAAATTACAGAAGAATTACTAATCAAAAAGGGTTTTGGGGTTAGTTGAAATGACTTGTGGGCTAGTACAAGCTAGCTACAGCTTGCCCGAATGGCAGGCTGTAAAACTGACTTTCTTTGCACACTGGGTTATTTGAAAAATACATGTGCTGACTAATTTAAACCCTAAGGTCTCTCTTTTCTGTTTATTGACAATTAATATATAAGGTAAGTTGTTAGAAAAATATTCAGGGGAATGTCCTGCAAAAATCCAATATGTAAATATTATCCTCTGAGACTGAAAATGTTTCAGTGTAACTGGGTTGTATATAATTTTGTTTTCTATCATTGTAGGCTGTGAATTCATTCCTGAGGCATGCTGGGGATATAGCATTTTTAGTGTTTCCAAAACTTTGGTCCTGGAGGCATCCTTTTAAAGCATTTCATGTCCATCAGCACCAAAGAGTCCTTGATAACCTTGTCAAGCAGATCATCAAACAGCGTCAGTGTGAGGAGGATGGTGATAATAAAAAGGACTTGTTGACTTTGTTGTTGAGAGCACGAGACCCCGAGTCAAAGTATAGGCTGACAGATGAGGAAGTGCATGATGAGATCCTGGCATTTTTGTTTGCTGGGTTTGAAACTACTACATCACAGTTATGTTGGGTTTTATACCATCTAGGTGAGTACTAGTAACCTCTCAAAAGACCATTTTACACTTGTGGGTTTAGTACACTAGCTTTCTAATGAATGTGAGGCTGAGGTTGACCATGTTTTGATAGAAACCTCCTTGGTTTGCTTACAGAAATTATGCTTTAAAATACTTGTTAACTAAAGAACAATATGATTTACATAAGAAAGCACGAGTGGTTGTATCAAAGTAAGGTCCACTTCATCCTCGTTTTCATCTGTAACTGTAAAATGAGCTATTATGCTTCACGTCAAACAACAACAACAACACCAACAACATTTATTTAAACACGATAAAATTACAGAGGAGTTGATGTGGTCGTGTATCTAAAAGTTAAACACCGTATACAAATGAATAAAAAAGCTTAAAAACTAATAATTAAAATTTAGAAAAAGATCTAACCTATTTGAGAAAAATATATCTATAAAAAGGTTAGATCTTTTTCTAAATTTTAATTAGTTTTTAAGCTTTTTATTCATTTGGAAACTGTGTTTAAATATGGAAAATTCATTTCTATCACAGAGCAGTTAATGCTTGGGCTCTTTGTAGTTTTGTTTTCTATCTCAGGTAATTTTTTGGGGGGAGGTATGTTAATGTGGCTAATGTCAAATGAAGTTGAAACAAATAAAAATATATATTACCTGAGATAAAAAATTAACTACAACATAATCTATTAGTCCACAACCTCCCCCCCGCCCCCCGCTAAGTTTCCTCACCTGACGCTTTTCTGACATTTGGCTAATACTATTTTTTGTCTTATTCATACCAACCTAAACTGAAAGAACACAAACTGCCATTTATACGTAGATGCAAATAGGATCACTCACCTCATGTCAATCACTAATAATCACTATGTCTCCTTAATTTTGACTTGAAAAAGCCCATAGATGGTATGTATGCAATACCGGCTTTAATTCTTTAATGCTTTAATTCTGCATTCTCCAACCTAATCTTAGCTCTTATAAAACCACACTCCCAGTTAAATTTAAGCCTATCCTAACTTAAATGGCCATGTAACTTTTTTATTTCATTGCTTGTTACGTTAAAACTGGCATCTCTACTGTATTGTAAAGTCCTGCCCTTTTTTATGTGCTTCCTTTCCAGCCAAGCACCCTGAAGTTCAGGCTATTGCTCAAGAAGAAGTAGACAAAGTCCTTGGGGATTCTGATTTGATTACCTCAGAGATGGAGAAAGATCTCAAATATGTGACAAACTGCATAAAGGAATCGCAGAGGCTCATTCCTGTTATAACGGGTTTTAGTAGAGGAGCTGTTGGAGATACTGAGTTGGGAGGTAAGCTTCTGTGTTTTCAGAAAAAGGTTATGCTTATTTTTACCTCATCTGGGTATATTTTTGTATGGAAATTATTTTTAGGCCGCTACTTGAGCCTGTAAAATGATCATGTGCTTAGCAACTATGTAAGGTCTGATAATTTTACCTCCAAAGTAGAAAAAGGAAGCAAAAGAATTTTTCTCAGGCACTTGTGATTCTAGGTTTATTTTAACCTTTGGAAATGAATCAAATAGGATTATGAAAGCTGTCAACTGAAATTTTACACTGCATGTCATCTTTTCACAACTTCTAAGACTGGGATATGATTGTGGAATATTTGAGAGATTAATATATAGAGGATATTACATAGCCGCGCAGAGATACGGAATTTCTTTTGAGTATTGAAAAATAAGTGAGTGAGCGCAGTGAACGAGTGAAATATTTTTTTCCACACGAGAATAGAAATTTGGTATCTCTAAGCGACCATGTAATGTTCTATTAATTATATAAACACCAATGGAATACAAAACCATTTTACTTAAATAGTTTTTTGGTCTGAAAGGTGCGGTTTATTGTGAAGCCATAGCAACGGTGATATTTTCACATGTGAAGATAACATGTTATTTTCCCATGTGAAGATATCAAGTTTTCGCGCAAAAGCTCACTTGGTATTTCATTGGTGTTTATATAATAAAATGGTTTATTTTTTCTGTTGGTTATTTTTGAAAAGGATATCACATCCCCAAAGGTTCTGTTTTGTTTCTGGATACCTATGTCCTGCACCATTTGGATAATTTGTGGGATAAACCGGAAGTGTTTGATCCAACCCGCTGGGAGGACAAGATGGCTGTACACACCTTCTCATTTCTTCCTTTTGGGGGTGGAAGCAGACGATGTGCTGGGCAGCCATTTGCTGTGGTAGAAATGAAAGCTGTGACTGCGTTGATTCTCAGGAACTTTTCACTTAAATTGGATGAAAGCAAGCCCATTCACACTGAAGTGAAAATTGCATTTGGTCCAAGGCAAATTCACTTCTTTATCAGCAAAAGGTGACTCGGATAAGAATTTGTTGTGCACGGAAAAAAAATAGATCAGTGGCAGCGTCAAAGACTACTACCACCACCACTTACACAGGGACATATATTAAAGTTAATTTATAGATTTAGCCAGGGCTAAAAGCGAAGCTCTCGATAATATTTATAGTTTGTTCAAACAAAATATAAAATCGTGTGATGCTAAGCGGCGAGGGCAACACCGGAGAACGATGAAAACCAACAATAGGTCTAATATAACAATTAGCAAAAAAGCAACTTTGCACGTGCAGCACACTTTTTTGTACATTTCTTTGCCGTTTTTTTGCACGACTACAACGTGAAACTTCCAGAAACTTTTTAGTTACACGTTTTATAGAGGAAATTTTTTTTTTCACTGCCACTCATTTTCACCTTGCATTGTTGGCCGCTAGCATTTCTCATTTTGTCACCGCCCCTACAAAATTTTCATGTTGTTCTTCTAACAAAAAAATGTCTCCTTTGTTTTTTATCTCTCGCTGTAGATCTCTGTGGCTCTTTTTCTCGTTGAGCTTCGCTAACCCCCCGCCTACTTTCTCCTTTTCTCTGTCTTTTTCTTGCTCTATATTCCAAATTTGTGGACATGACAATTAAGCTTAGTAAGCTTAACACTTTAGACAACACAGATACAGAAACGATCTCCGCTTCCCGTTTCCGTCTTTATTGACTCTTTAGTTGTCTCCTCTTTACAAGACGCCGGGTGGCTATGCGATTTCCTGCCAAAATATCCTCGAGTTGCATTTGGGTTACCATCCCACCTCCTTTGCCCCTTAGAAGACGATTAGGATAGGCCTTGAACTTTCGATAGTTTCTTTTTACGTTTTCAAAAATAAATTTAAAGTAATGATATTTAATTTACAAACCGCTTTTGTACGTGTAGAGAAATGAGATTTTAATCGTTTTAGTACTGTTGAAAACGAGCAGGAGTGTATTATCAGGTTTAAAAACCCGAGAATTTTTGGATCTGATAACACACGACTGCGAGTTTTTTGAAAGGTTTCAAAATCTCTGATATAGATCAACTCATTCTAGCACTAATATTTTGATTTGGGGTTGTTTTGGTTTAAAAAATTGGACGTAAAGTTTAGCCATAGTTAATAGAGGGAATGGTTATGAAACCCGACAAAGTTCTTTGTTGTATGTTTTTGTTCTCTTTTTTGGCCTTGACCCTGCACAAAACACAATAGTTGTTTACTCCGTACTGAGGAACTAACCAATAGAAACGTGCTGGTTACGTAATTCATGCATAACGTATGAACGCAAAACAAAAGATTGTGCAGGGTCGTGGACCTTCTAACATAAATCTTGGCATCTTTGTTTGCTCCTTTGATGTTTGCCGGGCTTCATAACCAGTCACCTCCATTAACTATGGTTTAGCCTTGTCTTTATCGGATATAAAGACACTCATTAAACATTAATTTCTTTTGTTTTTCTTTATGAATTATTAATGAGGTTTTGAAACAGCTTTTTAGTATTTTGTTTAAGGAACTAACAAAGAAAACGACAAGAAAGATTAGCTTAAAGTTATGTTCTGTAGTAACCGGCCAAGTACTAATCTATGCTTTGTCCCATCGACGGTTTTCCCATGACATGTACGTGTACATGTACCTGTACATGTATTGACGATTCGCAGGTTTTACAGGTTGTATGGTCATGAGTTATTAAAAGCTGACAAACTCAACCATTTGCAAGTTTCAAAGACATTGTCACGCCTTACAATAATATAAGTCAACTCTAGCCTACATTATGCCGTCATTGATGCAGTGAGAGAGCTTTGCAAAAGGAAGGACTAAATTGGAAAAATGTTGGCGTGGTCTTTTGGTTTTGTTGTCTTTATTATGGCAGTACAAACTACTGTTGAAGGTAATTCGTACCTAGATACCATTATAGCCAGCCTAATTAATGTCAGTATTTAGCTTTAATACTAAACACAAATGTATTTCAATAGCTAACATTTACTTGCTTACGTGTTTGAAATATTTGGTGTAATAAAAGAACATGAGACACGAAACAGTATTTCATGAGAAATCTAGAGACTAAGTGGGTAGTCATAAAGTGAGACGTAGTCGAATTTGTTTGAATCGACTTTCAGTTGCCTGTCTCGATTGTCTGATGTAGTTTCTCAAATTTTCAATTTCTTTGGTTTCTAATTTTAGACCTTTTGTCACGTCAATAATCAGGGGTACCCAACGGCAGTTTTCTGAAGTATTTTCTATACTTTGAGAAAGGCTAAGAATTTCTGGATGACAGTTCCATTCATGTACAATTTTCGGAACTTATCTAATAAATTCCCTACGTTTTTCTGGAGGTTAATTTATCACATTTTACTCCCATGATTAAGCTCTTTTTCGCAGAAAAAGGAAACCTAAAATTTTTGGATATAAATTTTATAGCGCCGATTAGCGGATTGTATTTCTAGCCGGATTTCTGATAACGTTAGGGAAAGTTCATTTAATATGACAAGGGTGGGGGATGAAGATATTGAGGGGGGGCTCCGAAAATTTTTAGACACCCGAAGGGGGGGCTCTGAAAAAATTGTTGCGCTAGAAGGGGGGGCTCCGAAAATTTGTATACTTCAAAACCAACACATGACATCATCATACAGATCGGATGGTTTTCAACTCAACAATTTAATGACCTGTGCAACTCAG